CTTGGATCAACGAGAATTACTGTAATTCATACTTCAAAAACGTTAAAACAATAAAAACGACGACTTTAAATGACAGACAAATGAGATTAATGGCAAGTGACAACTATGCTCTTAGAATCATTTATAAAAGCCCTGTATAATAATATGTTCTACTAACCCATCACTTCAGGAAAGTGTGGTTGTTTCATCATCCATTGTCTAATTTTTCTAACATCTTGACTAAACGAATCCATAGAAGAATAATTTAACAGTTTCACTACGGTTTCCAAAAACTGTCATCCAGTTCTAGCAAGGGTGTACATTCCATTTTTGTGAATATTTCTTTCTTTTTCAGTACGCTTGTTACTGAAACTAACCAAACGCGGTAACACGTGAATGCAAAATAGGGAATTTTAGCACAATGAACTTGTTTTACTTACAAATGTAATAAACATCCACGGCGATTTAGTATTTTACCTTTTTTTTCTTATATGTACATAGTTTTCTATTCACAACAAGAAAGTGAAAACTTGTTTAAAATGGTCAATTTGTAGGCAAGCGTGGGAGACAAAATTGACCAATTGAAACATGTTTTCAGTCTTTTGTTGTGAAAAGTATGAATATTAAGAAGAAAAAGTGAAATCATAATATTGATAAGGTAAGACTGATTTTGGCACTTTTGACATTTTACACCATTTTTCAACTACATATTTCCGAAAATTAGTTGAAGACATTTTCTTGTACATTTCGATATCCACAAGTCATTTTAGGCTGCGTTTCTTCAAAAATTCCTACCATTTTTCGAAAATCCCCAATTGAAATACACCTATTTTAAAGATTTGCGCTTTTTTTGACTTTCTTCACATCCTAGGTTCCATTATAAATTGCCACTCCCACTCGACAGAAGAAAATAATTAGCCCCGCCCACCCACCCTGTCGCCTTTTCAGTGATTGATTTCAGCTGATTTAAATGAAATGAGTGATCTTATCCTGAACAGAAATAAAATTAGTCGTTAGAATGAGAAGACGGGTGGGCGGGGCTAATATTGTTAAGATAAAACTGATTTTGGCAAATGACATATCCTCTAAGAAAATAGAGGGTGGGTGGGCGGGGCTAGCATTCATGTGATAAGACTGATTTTGGCACTTGACATTTTCCACCATTTTTCAACATTTCTGAAAATTAATTGAAGACATTTTCTTGTAGTTTTCGATATCGAGAAGTCATTTTCGGCTTCGTTCCTTCGAAAATTCCTAGCGTTTTTCAAAAATTGCCAATTGAAATTCAGCTATTTTATTGGTCCTTTGTTTTACTTTTTTCACATCCTAAATTCTATTATTAATTTCCACTCCCACTCGACAAAAGAAAATAATTAGCCCCGCCCACCCACCCTGTCTCCTTTTTAGTGATTGATTTCATCTGATCTGAATGAAATGAATGTGATTTTATCCTGAATAGAATTAAAATTAGTCGTTAGAATGAGAAGATAAGACTGATTTTGGCAAATGACATATCCCCTAAGAAAATAGAGGGTGGGCGGGCGGGGCTAGTATTGATAAGATAGGACTGATTTTGCACTTTTGACAATTTCCGAAAATTAGAGAAGTCATTTTCGGCTTCGTTTCTTCGGAAATTGCTACCGTTTTTCCAAATGTAACCCTCAGATAACAAATAAAATAAACGTCAAAAGAACGAAATGAGACTTGTACATTTTTTTGGTTTTTTGTATGAAAAAATGATATTAATATTATGGTATATCATACATCAAACTGCAGTTTTTTTCATTTTCTAGACCGCAGAGACCAGTTCAATCAATTAAAAAACTATGGCTGACAAATATCTTAGAGTTTTCAGTTTTTCAGAATCGCCATTAGGTTCGGCAGAATGTATACAGGCTGATTCATACAAAAAGGTTGAGCAAAAATTCTATAGCGCGCTCTGCAAGTCAAAATACTCCAATAAATTGTTCGAAATGTCTTCCATAGGTTTCGATCACAATCATTTGTGCTTATGGTCACTTATTGCAGACGATTTTTTCAACATTTCGGTAAATTTTAGTCCCGTTTGACCTTTTGGCAATATATTCTTTTTCCGTTAAACGAGCCATTATTATGCGACTTTGATAGAAATATAGACAAATAAAAAACATATTTGTCTAAAAGTCACAAACTACCGGATTACATACAGCCAAAAATTATTGTTGATTTTATTAAACCAACAAAAACTAACAAAAGCAATTCTCTTTGACAGATTTTTGTTTTAATTTTTAGATACTAGATGCAAAAAAATAGACACTTCTTGATACTTTGGCCAATAAAACAACTGATAACAAGTTTTTATTTAAGTATTTTTTAATGAATCTTTTAAAATAAATATTTCAAATGTGTTTCGTCTAAATTATTTTTTATGGTCCACGAAGTTAACAGATCCAAATTGTGATGCAAGATTTTACAATCTCGAAGGGTACTAATAGATAACAAAACTTTGAGATCATCGGCGTACAGTAGCTTTTGACAAGTTAAAGACGATTGACGAATAGCAAAGAAAGCAAGGGGCCAAGATTCGACCCTTGCGGGATACCAGACGTAGTACACAAGTTATTACGGGCGTGTGGCGTCAAATTTAACGTTACGGCAGTTAACAGGAGCACAACAAAAGTGGCGTTCTAGCAAAAGCGGAGTTTGGGGCTACCGGTCGGGGCTGTTCTCCCCCCTCGACGGTGATTCTATCTATCGCAAGTCTACCGACACAGCACATCCCCATGCCATTTGTTCCAGAAGATCCACATCATCCAGCCTTATCCATGTTGATCAAAATGTTATCTCATCCTGGGGGTTCTACCTTTCCATCTACTTTAATAAAACCTTCAACTTTCGTAGAGTTAATCTTATTTTATTATATTATGATGATCTCATCAAAACTGATTGGACTTTTTTAAATAAGTTTGATGATGTTAATCAAACACTTGATGCATTTTACATCAGACTGTTTAATATTTTCGAACCTTACCACAAGTCGTATAAATCTTGATATCCTCCCTGGTTTACGCCTAATATAATCTCACACATAAAAAATAAAAACTAGGAGTATTACAGAGAAAAATCGCTCGCAACTAATAGTATTGTATTTCTTGATAACTTTAAGCGACTTCGTGCTATTTGCAAATCTGAAATAGGTGAAGCTTATAATTTATATTTGCATAACGTTGAAATGTTTGTTCAGCGTAATCCTAAGGAAGTTTTTAAATTTATTCATATGAAACAAAGTACGACCAGAATTCCTGGTAAAATGCACGATGAGGATATAGCATATATGAATCGACTGAAGATATTGTTAATGCCTTTGCAAGAGTCTTTTCTGATATAGGTAAACCGACCTTTATCAGACCTATCAGTTAATGATATTCATAGTAACCTACCAAGTTTTAAACGTATACCCGTCTCCGAAGAAGAACTTCTTAAAATAATGTCAACCTCCCCATCAAAAACACTGCAGGTGAAGATCAAATTCCAAGTTTTCTTATTCATGTCTAGTATCATTTGCGTTAGTTAAACCTTTAGTTCTGATCATTCATAAAGGGATATCCACTTCTACTTTTCCAGTTAGGTGGAAATGAGCTAGGATAATTCCGATCCACAAGAAAAATGAACAGTCGCAATTGAAAATTTACCGTCCAATCGCAATATTGTCCAACTTTGCTAAGATCCTTGAGCAAATTATATATAAATCAATTTCTCCTTATCAACATGGGTTTATATCTGGAAGATCAACACTTACCAAGCTTGTTACAATTACTCAATTTATTTGTGCAGAATTGGAAAATAACGGCCAAGTTGATGTGGTTTACACCGACTTTTCAAGCGCCTTCGATACTATGGATGATCAAATTCTTTTAGATAAACTTAGTTCCTTCGGTTTTGCTCAATCATTTCTGGCCCTTATAATGTCATATTTATCAGATCGAATTAATTATGTCTCCTACAATGGTTATAAGTCACAAGAATATGTCTCAACATCAGGCGTGCCTCAGGGGTCTAATCTTGGACCACTGTTGTGCACTTGCCTATGCTGATGATTTGAAGATTTAGTCTAGAATTTCATGTGTGAATGATGTTAATTATCTGCAATACAACTTGAATAAGATTGTACTTTGGAGTCTTCGTAATAAGCGAAAATTAAATATTGACAAAATGTCGTATAGTTTCGTACACTCGTAAAAAACATAGTGTTCCTTCTTCTTATAAAATCAATGACGTACCTACCATTATCCAAAGAAACTATCATTAAAGACCTTGGAGTACTATTTGACACTAATATGACATTCGTAAATCATATTGAGAGTATTCAGTGACATCGTTAATTCGTTAATATACTTGAAGTAATGTACTTGGGTTATACTTCAAGTACATTAGGAAAGTACTTGAGACTTGAAGTACTTTTAGTAAAAGCAAGTACTTGGTACTTTACTTGAACACTATTTCAAGAAGTACTTTGTACTTGGTACTTCAAGTACTTTTGTTGAGTAGAGAAGGCATTTTGAACAGTACTTACGCTAGTTACATTTATTTAATTGTTCAATTTCCTTATTACATTTCTTTGAAATAATATGTTGGTGTTTTTTTAATATTTCATTTGTGAATTTTGACTGACGTCTTTCAGAAACAGTGACAACTAACTAGTAAGGATATTCTAAAAACGCATGTGTTTATTTTGGAAACTATGTATGTTGTGTTGCAGTGAAAATTAGTCAGTGTCCCGTTATTATAATACTCACCCTGTACAAAAAAACTTGGTCGGAAGTTATTTATACAGAACTTCTCTCACCCAATTCACACATTATAAAAGTTGTATCGTCTACGCTACGTATAAGACTAGTTCACCATTTGGAAAAGTACTGTGAACGTCATCAATATAAATGAGGAAAAGGATAGATCCAAGGACCGACCCTTGAAGGACACATTTCGAACTATTTATTTATTTATTAAAAAAGTATATTTAATACACATCTAACAAACCCCATTAAAATAAAAGCAGTTGAACCAATTCTAATACAAAAAGACATATACAAAAATAAACCCAAATGATCAGTCAATTTCTAATTTCTTAAAATTACCAGAAAGTCCAAACATTTCATCATTTATAAGCCTCCGAGGTTTCAAATCATCATTTATACGAAGTTTATCTAGTTGGGTAAAATAATCTTCACTCTCTTTAAATTTTTGATACAGCATTTCTGGAAATAAATTTGTCGTAAGCAGACTAACAAAAAACTTAAAATAAGACTCTTACCTTGCAATACTTCCAAAGATTTTTCGCTGCCTCCATAATCTGCTGGAATAATTTCTTTTCCAAACTTTTCAGTTAAAATATGCGAATCTTCGCAAAAGTGTATCTGAAATTTACAATATTATTATTACTGACATTTTGAAAATACCAAAACTGCTAACCCTTTCTATTAGTTTAGGTTTAAGAAGGCTCTTAAAAGCATTAAAAAGCTTTTCTGCGTAAGGTGGAGCATTGATGATGTAAACAGCTTTCAGTCGTTGCGAAAAAACTTGCTGTAACACAAAAACTGGACAGAACGAATACGTGATCTAATATTTTACCGTGTATATAACATTCAGTGCTTTATAGAGCACCATGGGTGTGACCTTGAGAATCGACCGGAGAGGCGTATTTTTACCATCCAGTATAAACACATCCCCATAGGTAATATCTTCAGTCATACGAATTTCTTGTATATTCACCAGCAGACGAATACCATGGACAGGCTCAAAATTTTCTGTTAAATGTGGATCACGCACTTTATAGAAAAGAATTCTGTACATTTCATTCGTCAGCTTTGGAAGAGGAATAAAATAGCTAAAATGAAGTATTATAAATATTAATGCAGTAAGCTTTACAATTATTTGTTACATGGATGCTTTTACAGTTTCCATGTATGAGAGTTTCGGATGAATATTATCAAATATTTCTGGCAATTGAGACCTTACGGTGTAGTAATTTTCTATTTTTTCTTTGCTTTTTTCGACACTTCCTTTATTTAATATGAGAAAATTTTTGATTTTCTTGTCGACTGCAAAAAATTGTTTCAGTTTTATTACAAACAGAGTAAACAAGTTTCCTTATAGGGTTTTGAAAGTAAAAAATATTACCAAAATCCGGTCAATAAAAATCACAATAATCCACACTTTTATATAGAAGCCCCACGAAAAAATTAAGTTCGAAAGAGTCACAAAATGCAGATACTGACCCATCACTTCTGGAAACTGCGGTTGCTTCTTTATCCATTCTTTAATTTTTCCAACATCTTCATTAAACGACTCTATCGAGGAATAATTCAACAATTTCACAACTTGTCTCAAAACATCGTTATCTGCTTCTAGCAAGCACGTAGATCCCATATTTAGGAATACTTTCCTCTTCTTTGATACGCGTGAAACTGAATTAGATTGTACGAATTTAATGTTGTTAATTAATTGAAAGGCCACGCAAAGTGCGTAAACGCGAAATTAGGAAACTGTTTTCGCCTTGAGCTTGCGTATAACTCTTATTAATTATGAATAAAATAATTTAATAATTGGGTCAGTAACAGCAAGGAGTTGAAAAAAACCATAATAGTTAGAATAACAACGATTTTCCCAATCTGTTACTATTTTAACGTCATACCACTGCATTAAGATGTATGTGTTAAAAAAAAATAATAATCGAGACCGGCCACGGGAAAAGAAAAAATTTGGCCTGACTTGTACCACCTATTGCATACAGTTGTTTTGTCAAAATTTTGAAACTTTAAGCACTACATTTAAGTATCAAAACAAAATGAAACAAGTTATACATGTGATGTGGAATGAATTATGGCTAAACTCACGTCTATTTACAAATTTCCTGAAAATTCTAACGCAAATGACGTTTCGTTGTCGCCAAGTTTACTAATCTTTCACCGTCCATCCCTGACATTGGGTTCCACTACTACGATCTAGTAGGTCTTGTTTATAAGCACCCAAATGCGGGCGTAAGTTGGCCTTTATCGCACAAATCTCTCATAAATTGCTAAGCAACAATTGATTGTTCATTTACACTAATCAATTAATTATCAAGTCTCGATATTTAACATTTTTTTTTAAACGAATTATCAAATAATCAACGTGGTATCCAATATCCATAACAACATCAAAATAATAGCCAGCTATGTATTAAAGTTCGCATCGACATAATTCACACAATCTAGCCGAAAATACTCAATATTTCGTTAAAAATAATTTAGAAACTAAAATAGAATAAAACGTTGTATGTATTACGTGTATAATTGGCGATTGTGGCACTAGGGAAATTAAAAGCCTTCCTTCGTCGGGCGTTAAAGATTCCCTCGTGCCACAATCTGCCTGATTATGCCCTTAATGCATAAATAACACAGATCCAATTAATCCAGTTACAAAAATTGGGTTATAGTGGTGTAAACAAACAAAGTTATTGAAAATAAATATGTACAAAATGATAAATTAAATATAGTCTTTATAAACAAAGTTGATATCCAATCTTTATTTAATAAATAATAATAACGAAAAATGAAATAAACAATATCAATTATCTTTCAGAATAGTTGCCAAAAACCAAATACAAGCATTAATCTCTCTGTAGCACTGTTGCATTGGTTTCTAATTTTGGTTTTTAGTTCTTCAATAGTCTAAACAGGTTCCTTAAAGGCAGTATTCTTCAAGTAAGGAAAGAGGTAATAATCACAATTAAAACAGCGCAATTCCGTCCTCTTTCGGCATACCGCCCGCGTCCGATCCACTTTCAGCGTCACCACCTCCCCAGCACCCGAAGCAGGTTCGTCTATTGAGAAACTGCCACCACCGAGGTCAAAGGACGCCCTTGACCGCATTGTTTTTCTTTTCCTTTAGTTGCTGTTTTATCCGATAATTTTTTATCTTATCCGTTATAGTTAGCCTGATAGAAAATAAAGACCGTTCATTTTTAAATCTTAACCGGATTATTATTTATTTCTTGTCGCGGCCGCTCACGAGGTTCTGGAGATCCGTTTCTCCGGCTTAGGATACCCCAGGCGCCCGAGCAACCGTCCCCTTATCAGGCGCCATTGTCCTGGCGTGAATAAAGGTAAATTTGTTAACTTTCCAGTCATACATTTTATTTCAGGTAGGGATTGACGATGCTTTAAGATCGAACGAGCTGCTGATGTTAAATGTCGATGATACCCAAGGTTTAAATTCAACAAATTAGGTATCCATTAACAATACTAAAACAAGAGAAACAGAGCATTTACTATTGTCTGTAAAGAAGATGTAGTGTAATTTAAAAAAAATAGGGCAAGGCGGTTGAAATTTATGCGCTACGGGTGGACCAGTGGCTCGCAACCGATGTTACGCAACACGAAGAAAATTAAAGTATAGTGAACCAAGAGTTATAAGGTTATGTGGCCATCATAAAATCATCCCATTGTGTCGAAGTTAAGTTGTTTACAATAGAAAAGGTTTTAGGGTCGTAAATAACGTGTCCACTGCAGCTCGACCGGCTCTTGTGGTTTCGTTCAGGGGCGGCTTTCACTAAATATGAAAATCCACCACTCCACTATTTCTTTACTACCTGCAGCCGCTGAGGGTTCCGAAATAACCACTCGCTTTGAAAGCCGGCCCTGTTAAATATGAGCAAGAAATGTTTAGAAGATGATTTATTGCCAACCGGTAAGCTTAGTGCGAACCACACAATGGGGGTATTTATTTGCGATCAACTACTTTTATGATGGCCATATAACCTTATAGGTCTTGGTTCACTATAGAAACGTTTCTGTTGTATACAATGAAATTTTACAAGGTCATTACGAGGGGTTGGCTAAGCTGTTCACTCACTGAGTGTCCCACTGCCTTGGCATGCGCCGCTATTGTTCAACCAGAAGGACAGCTAAGAACGGCTCGGGTTACTGGTATTCCATTTGTCCGGTTTTCAAACTACAATTTATGGTGGGTATGAACCGCTGTGAAGTTATAGTGCTGCAAATGCTGGTTCGTTTTTATGACTGCATCCTACTGTGAAGGAGTTAAGTGTTCCACAATAGGCCTGTGCCGCAAGTAATCCAGCGGTCATAAACCATCAAGGGACCAACTGTCTGCACTACACAGGGCCGTATGCGTCCGTAAACCTTTAAGATGATTTATGGCACGGCTATTTACATATTCAATAGAGTTCATAATATTTGCGGTAGTTGAGATTACAGTACCATAAAAACGAAGTCAGAGTTGGACCACTATAACTGGCTTATCCATCATAAAATTTTATTGTATACAACAGGAACGTTGTCACTGTATGAGAAAACTAACGTTAACTGAACGTCAGTTGATGATTTTAAAATCCATATCCACGACATAATAATAATAACATTTTAAATAATTTTCAAGTGTCGGTCTCCCTGAAAATAAAACTATTTCTGTAAATTATTAAAAATGATGCACAATTGGAAAGAGAGAAGCGAGTAAGGCAAGGATGCACCGGGCGCACTTCAGACGGGTAAATAGGATGAATAAATTTCGACCGCCCAGCGTTATTTATAAACAACGACATTATAGCAAAACGCATCTGTGCGTGATGTTCGACGTCCCGCATGCTGATGAATGCGCCAAGGTCATCAAAAAAGGTTATGAGTGCAAACAATTTATTTACAGCACATTATCAACAAGAATACATTACAACGGAAGAATGTCACGTAGACATTTGTTTGATTTGAATGAGTTTATCGCCCCAAAACAGATGACTAAAATTATTCATAAGCCTCCATTGAAAAAAATATTCTGAATGTTATAATAATTCTTACCTTGTCATTATTTTATTGTTATAAAGACGAGCGTATTCTCACATTTTCCAGAAAATGGGGTGGCTCGTTCTTAATTTTATCAATAATAAATTGATTGATTCAATTTTTTTGAGTCACTCCTTTAAGCAAATCTAAAAAATATGAATGCAATGATTAAAAGTCTGTTCATATTTTGCACATTCGCAAAAGAATTTATTCTGCAAAATTTTGAGATGCCGTAATTAATTTTTTGGGGTTGATAAACAGATACATTTGTATTAAAAAGTCACCATGCTTACAATATCTTCAAAACGTCAAGATTTCAAAGTATTCAGTTTTGCATTTCTTGATTTAATCAATAAAATAAATTGACTCAGTCATTAATTTTTTCACACACTCCGTATAAGTATATCTAAAAAATATTTATGCAGTGATAAATCACAATTATAGACTCATCATACTTTCCACAATGCACATTTAAGATAGTATTTTTTCGGAAAAATTTTGGGGTGGCGTGATCAATTTTTTAGGGGGAGATGAGTAAATATATTTTGATCAAAAATTTACCATGCCTATGATAACTTTAAGCCATGTCCAGGATTTCAAAGCACTCGGTTTTGTAGTTCCTGATTAAATCAATAAAATTATTTCACGCATTCATTAATTTTTTTGAGTCACCCTGTATATGCAAATCCAAAAAATATGAATGGAATGATAAATCACAAGTACAGACTCATCATATTTTCTACATTTTAGAAACTTTTCAGGTGATGTTATCAATTTTTTGGAGGGGACAAGAAAATATATTTTGAGTAAAAACTTATCATGCTTATCATAACTGTAAACCATCTGCAAGATTCCAAAGCATTCGTTTTTGCGGTTTCCAAATTAAATGTCAATATGTTGTTTCCTAATTTTGGTTTTTTTCCAAAAATCTGGACGTTTCGAGCAAAATCTCAATTCGGAGTCATAAACCACATGTGTACAACTATATGTGTACAACTATATTGATACAATTTAAAACCCATTTACTATGTACAATTTTGAAGTGGCGTCATCGCATTAGTGGTGGGGATGATTAGACAAAATTTGGTTAGCGTTTTGCCATCTACATGATATACCAAATATAAATACAAAATTTGACAACAATCGGCCCAGTACTTTCGGAGATTATCTGTCTACTAAAAATCCGGGACGGCAGACAAACGGACAGACGGACAGACAGACGGAAACGGGAGACCTATTTCTTCGTCCTCTAGGAGTCATGATAGGTCGAGAAAATGCAAAAGTAGAGAGTCGGCCGACGGACTCGATTACAATTCTTCCTTTGCTTACGCTCGGGAAGTAAAACGGTCAAAACAAATCCTAATTCATAAATCCACGTTCCAAAGAGGCCCCGCAAAAATAATTCCAAATGTTAGACAATGTGAGTATTTAGATATTTGAAAAATAAAAAAAGGTGAGGGCTTAAGCCCGGAATTTAGGCAGTTAAAATTTTCATAATAGGCGCCTAAAATCGTTCTTCAAGCTACTGAAAATAGTCCCTTAAAACCCGAATTAACATTTTTAGGCAACAAAATTTTCTGGTCTATGTTGTATATTTTATTTGTTAATATTGCATACTAGATGTTCCTTTAAACTTTTCGTAGTAAAACTTTGTCTGTTCAGGCCTTTTGAGTACTTAAGTTGTACCTCGTATTTGTATGTCGTCTTGGACTGGTAGAATTTGCATTTTATTACTGCACCAACATCCGGTCGCAGACACTGCCCATTCAATATCATATTGCAACAGGAACCTCCGACTGCTGAGGAAATTTTGTCAAAGATGTTTGCAGATTCTGCTCAAGTCGTCTCAAATCGTCAACAACCCAGGCAACATGATGTCGTCTTTTTCACGTCAATAAATGGTCATCATTTACGTCATAGTGACCAAAGATTTCACGTGATATTGACATACCAATGACGGTCAAATGTCTCGTCTAGATGACGTCATTTTCTCACGAACTATTGACGTGATGTACTGACGTCTTAGAGTCGTCATTTTGTAACGAATTATTGACGTGATTTACTGACGTCCTAGAGACGGCATTTATTGTCCATTTTAAGACGTTTTTTATATTTTGATTTTTAGAAAAAAATATGCAATAAATAAAACGCTGAAATAATTTTATTTTTTTATATTGTTTAGCTTAAATAAAATATTATAATTCGTTATAATCACCAAGTAAAGCCCCAAACAAAGTATATATTAATTAAAGTTAAAACAAATTAGTGTAAAATTACAAATTAGTTAAATTTACTACAATTTTGTACAACCAACAATGAACTTCAAAAGACAAATAAAAAATATGTCAATTAAACAAATTAAAGATAAACCACTCCTAAGAACATAAACAAATCTACTAACAGGTAATTACGAGTATAATTAGTATAAACAAAAAAAAGGATATTGTACAATATATAATCAAAAATAAACGTTGCAATAAAATATGCTATTTAAAGAAAAATCAGTTTTAAAAACACAAAGAAATCTATTTAGTTACAAAGAATATTTTCATTAGTAGTTGCACACATGTTTCAGTAGCATTTCTTGGGCTTACCCCAGAAGTTCAGATCATCAATAGTACTTACAAAATAATACTTCCAGAGTAAACAAGTTTTCAGAAATAATTATTTTATTAGAAATTATTAGAATGAAAAAACTTGTCTTTGGTGTATTTCTAATTAAGCCGTTGTATTTTTTGCTCTAAATATAATCAAGCATTATGAAGGCCACTTTTTAAAGAATACGACGACCCACATCTAATTGATCATATAATCTATAAAAAATGACGAAGAGAGGACGGCCTTTTGACGTCATTAATTGACGTCAGAAGTAAGTCATAAAAATCTCGTCATTTTCACGTGATTTTTTGGGCGAATGACGTCCCCGACGAGTTATGACCAAAAATTGACGTGAATTAGACGACAGTCTGCTGCTTGGGAATTTCCTCAGATACTGTAGGTCTTCTACGAGATTTCCCTTTGTTGACACTGCCAGTTCGAACAAATCTGTTGATTAGATCTCTAATGTGAGCCTCTAACGACGTTTTTTGAATTATTAAATCACGGTATTTGGCAAGAGATTCTTGCTTACAAGCGGTTACAGAATACACTACGTTTGCGAATACCCATGGCGATAACAAGATATAACAGGATAACCCATTTCCAAAAAGACTGTTTTGTTGTTTTTAGCTTGGATCAATGAGAACTACCATGATTCACACTTGAAAAACGTTAAAACAATAAAAACGACGACTTTAAAGTCGTCGATTTAAATGACAGACAAGTGACATTAATGGCAAGTGACAACTGCGCTCTTAGAATCATTTATAAAAGCCCTGTATAAACTTATAATAATATGGTCTACTAACCCATCACTTCAGGAAAATGCGGTTGTTTCATCATCCATTGCCTAATTTTTCTAACGTCTTCACTAAACGAATCCATAGAAGAATAATTTAACAGTTCCACTACGGTTTCCAAAACACTGTCATCCAGTTTTAGCAAGGGTGTAGATTCCATTTTTGTGAATATTTCTTTCTTTTTCAGTTCGCTTGTTACTGAAACTAACCAAACGAGGTAACACGTGAATGCAAAATAAAAATTTTTAGCACAATCAACTTGTTTTACTTACAAATGTAATAAACATCCACGGCGAATAATCCATAAGCGTGCTGGCCTTGGGCTGGAAATTGTAGGGTCGGGAATTTACGTTGACGGCTATTGTTCTAAAAATGTGCCTTAAAGCCTATTGCCACCCTTGGAGTAGATTTGCATGTATGGGGAAACCAAAGATCGCCGATAAATGGCCAAAGCTACTAAACCAGTGAAGAAGTACCTAAGGCACGCCTGTGATATTTTTCTTTTTATTGGCGAGAACGTGATATCACTTTTCCAGTCTGCCCCAGACAAGTAAACAAGTTTACTTGTCTTATTGTTGACTGGGTCGTGGTTAGGTATTCATGACAGAGGACCCACACTGAGAGGTTTAATATAACTTGTGTAATTTAAGTTTTCAAGATTAGTTATCATTACAAATGTAACTCTCAGATAACAAATAAAACAAACGTTAAAAGAACGAAATGAGACTTTTATATAGTGTATAATTCTGAGGTAGAATTGCGATATGGGTAAAAAGCCAATGAACCTTAAGACTATTTTATCGAAAACAGACCGATTAACTCATTTATACAAAACTACATAGAAATTTACAAGATGCGAGTGGTTCTAAACCAGTGGTAATATTAAATGTAATAATGTATTGTGTCCCCGTTTCTTGTTGTTCCTTTTGTACTGCTGCCGCTAGCTTCGTAACGCTATGGAAGTGCTGTTTTTTCGCGTTCTAAATTCGCTCCGATCGATCTTGACCTTGTTACGTGAATGCATCATACGAAGTTGAAATTAAAAAGTGATTAATTTAAAGAGCGGATTCTGGGCAAATGCTTTTTCATTTTGGTTGCAGGCAAACGCATGAAAGTTGTATATAAATGTGTATCTGAGAAAATAATTTATCTGAACCCTACTTGTTTTTGCCTATTTTTGATCATGAGCACCTTTTTTTACTTTTTTCGAACTATTTTACATTTTTCTGCCTATTTTGTTTAAAGTCTGAATTTTCTATACCCCTAAGCACATGTTTTTTTTGGTAAAAGGGTCGGGGGAATTCCATCAGCAATTCAATAACCCAAATCTATTTTTCTGCGTATACCATCAAAGAACAAATTTTATTGTACAGCTAATTACATAGGTAGGTTTTAAAATAATTAAAACAGCCACTGTGGAAAAATGGTAGACTTGTGAAATTAATTCCATAAATTCGTATAATAATATATCAATTTTTGAGAAATAAATAAATAAATAAAATGTTCATGTTCTTCAACATGAAAATATTGACATGCACAAAACAATATCTTATTAACGATACCAGGCGAACGAACTTCAATTTCTGAGGAAGAATGAGGACCATAAGAAAAGTTTTAACTATGAATTATGCAGTGCATTTGTTACGGCAAACATATCGTTGAAGAAACTTAACAAAATATTGCGCTTATTTTTGGAGAGAAACTGCAACCTGATGAACCCTGGGGCACACCTGATGATTGTAAGTAATTAGTAGATTCACAGTTATTATAGACAACACTCAACTTTCTGTCATGTAAGTACGAAGTAAATAAAGATAAGAGAGAAGTAGAAAAACCAAATTGATATAGTTTACACAGAAGATTAATGTGATTTATGCGGTAAAATGCTTTTGATATATTGGTGTAAATTACATCGACCTGTAAATTATTATCCAAACAATTTGATAAATACTGTGTGATGCAAGTGAGGTTACTGATTGTTGAACGGGCACGGATAAAGCCATGCTGTTTGACTCACAATATGTTTTTTACGCAAGGATATATGGAACTGTAACTTACACTTTCAAAAATTTTTGCAACATTTGACAGTAGCGAGATAAGTCTGTAATTACGTATATTCGATGATTCACCCGATTTAAGAACTGGACAAATTCTTGCAAGTTTCTAAACATCCGGAAATGTACTAGTTTGAATACATTTGTTGAGAATAAGGGTGTGCATTGGAGCAGTCACTAATAAGAAATGCAGGAACACAGTCCAGGCCAGCACTTATGTTGGGTTTTAATTTTTTTATAGCTGAGTTAACTTCTTCATCAGATATAGTAGTAAGATTTATAGATGACCAATCAGTTGATATTGCAAAAGGATCAGCAGTAGGAATAGACGATGAAATGAAAACGCTGGAGACGAAGTTTTTGAATGCTTCGACAATTTGTTTGGGGGTCGACAGATCTGTTTCATGAAACTACATTCCACAGGGAATTCGTGTTCGCCCTTTTTTGTCATGAAAGAATTTCCACAATTCCTTAGGATTATGTCTTAAAGAAGACTGCACCTGATTCAGATAAGATTTATAATCTCTATTAACCAAAACTTTAACATTTCTACGAATGTTAGAGAACTCATAATAATGTAATTTAATGTTAAAGAAAGAGAGACAAGAGAGCGGACTACACCTGTTCACACAGTAAATTTTGTTAAGAAAATAGGAATTTTGTAATTAGGCTTTGCCCCTTGCTCTGCCAACGAATGAAAACTTCATTGCTATTTAGATCAGGGCAGGAATGGGTAACGCTTAATCTTTGGCTTTAATTTTTTCTTAATCTACATACTATTCCTTGAATAACACGATACTCAAAAAATGTCTGACATGGTAATTTCTTGTAGAAAAATAATAAGAATTTTGCATTTAAATTCCGCTCCTTTGGCTCTCGACGATTGAAAAAAAAAAACGTCACAATTGAGACAGGGTGGGTGGGCGGGGCTTATATTTTGACTGTTTTCTTAGTATAAGTAGTCGTCTTTTCAGAAGAAGAAACTTAAAACATGTTTAAAATGGTAAATTATTGTAGACAAACATTCATCACATTTGAGAATTGAGATCAGGGCGGCTATGAATGGGGCTTAATCTTTGGCTTTATTTTTTTCTTAATATACACGGTCTTATTCTTTGAACAGCACGATATTCAAAAACATGTTTTTAATTTCTCGTAGAGAAATAAGGATTTTGCAGTTAAGCTCCGCCCCTTGGCTCACGACGAATAAAAAAATCATCACAATTGAGATAGGGTGGATGGGCGGGGCTACATTTTGCCTCTTTTTTCTTGGTATGTGTGGACTTATTTCGACAACAAGAAACTTAAAACATGTCTAAAATGGTAAATTTTTGTAGTAATCAACTTAAATCCCCCACTTTTCTGCTACAACCCCTTTAAATACGGTAAAACGGCAAAAGTTGAACATCAACGTTACTATCAACGGCAATTTGGCAAAAGCAACGTCAGCGTGAACTTCAACGTCAAGAGTAAGTTTATAAATTCTACTGCTAACGTCGTCATCAAAAAAAGATGTTCATGGAATAGTTCCAAATCTGACATAAATCAACGATGAATTTTCTGTGGAGGACATAATTTTGGAAATTTTACGACTGAGGCGCCACTTGGAAGTCGCCAGTATTTCTTCCCAAGAAGCGGTTCAGTAGACTACATTGGACATTTTCAGATTTATCGTAAAATGGGGTTATTCTGAGTCTGTTCCGACTCCAGCGCTAGAGGTCCACAATGAGCGCATCAATTAATAATAATAATATATTTATTCCCAACAGGTAGTACACCCAATTACAGGGAAACAGCAAAATATACCCTAAAACTACCAAATTAAGAAACAAAACAATCATTCACACAAAGCATCAAACTAAACTAAAAATTCCAACACTATTCTAACGAATACTCCAACAAACACTTTTTTATTTTTGAAATGAATCGGCATGTAGATCACAGCTTCCAGATATTTTGTTATATAATTCGCACATGATGTTAATTGGCGATTTAACTGACGCATTAGTTCTATTCCTTTGACACTAAAACATGGGGATTGCCTTGAGTTATTTCTTGGTTCAAGGAAGTTCAGCTTACTAAGTAGGTAATTGCAATCGATATTGTTATTAACTAAACTGAACAAAAACTTGAATGCGATAATCCTTCTACGTGATGCAAGAGACAAGAAGTCGAACCTAGATAATAATAGGGACTAATCTATACCTCGAACAGGATAGACACCATCAACTCGATATTAAAGAAATTTAAAAAATGTCCTTTGTAGCGATTCTAAGTGCTGAATATGTACCTGATATATAGGCGACCAAACTAAGGCAATATAGTCAACTTTTGACCTCACTAATGAAAAGAAAGGGGTACGTAAAGTTCCAATTTCGGAAAACTGTCTGCAGTTCCTATAAATATACCCATAATTTTTGAAAGCCTTAGCAACAATATCGTAAATGTGTCAACAATCAATTTGGGACAATTGATTTCTGTGTTGTTATAATTCATTGTACCTGGAATTCTAGAACTACCTCTTTTACTTTGAACAAATGGCCAAAATTTTTTAGAAAGAGATATTTCAATGTTCCTCAAATAACTCATGTAGCTTTGATTAATAAGATTGTTAGTATTTCTTCGATATTCCTCATACACATGACGATAATAGGAAGACTTATATTTTTATAATTTTTGAACGCTGAAGATTTTTTACGTAGATGAAACAATATCACTCCGTTGAAGCAAGAAGTATAACGCCTGTGACGTCTACCTATATAATTATGAGTTGGAACTGTTTCCTTAAAAGCATTATTTAAAATAAGAGTTTTTCTAGTATGTGTGTCGATGAACGGTGACTCATCGACAGCCGAGCGGCGGGCGCATAAAGACAAGTCTGGAGCCGGTCACCGGAAGTCTCGAAACGGAGTCGCGATGGATGTTCGTGAAAAATCTCGATCGGAGAAGTATGGGTTTAAATAGAGGCGACCGTCGGGAATGGATTATTCAACCAGTGGAGACAGTCAAGAGCGTCCAGTGAAATTCACCGGAATAATTTCTGTACATAGTCGTTGCAATAGTGAGTTGTGTAAATACCAGTTATTAAGAAATAAATTGTTGAGTTTTTATCTACGTCCGATTAATTATTCGCCCGTCAAACATAACAATATCATAAAGTTCAAAGCAAACAGTATTGACATCGTTTATGATAGTAAGATATGACCAGTCAGTCGAAAGTAATAAACTGTAAAAATGTTGAAAATTAGCTTTCTTGAAGTTAAAACTTTTGGCTTGATCATTTACATCAAAATGAGAAAGTTTCGTGTAGTTAAATGTAAAACTAATTAAAAGCGCAGGATCATAAGAGTCTTCCGGAACAAGAGAATGGTCAGAATTCTCAACTAAACAATATTTGTTGGAAGACACGAGGTCTAAAATACTCCCATGGTTGTTAGGTATGCGTTTTTGGCGTTCAATTGAAAAACAGAGGAAAGTAAATTTTGATAACGTCATAGAATATTTTGCCGAAGTAAAGACCCGTAAGCACGTTTAGCATTTGTTGTTTTATTATATGGGGGTGTGTGCTCAATAGAAAACCGCCCTGGGTGCTAAACCACGCTACGCCGCCACTGGTACACTGTTGCGTGTATAGGTATGACAAATACAACTTAAACTACATAAGTGTATAATAAAAAGACATATATAAAAAGGCTAAAATAATCAGTCAATTTCTAATTTCTTAAAATTGCCACAAAGTCCAAACATTTCATCATTTTTAAGTCGTTTAGGTTTCAAATCGTTATTTAAACGAAGTTTATCCAGTTGGGTGAAATAATCTTCACGCTCTTTAAATTTTTGATAAAGCATTTCTGTAAATTAATTTATCGTAAACAAAAAACCAAAAGTACCCTTTTACCTTGCAGTTCTTCTAGAGATTTTGCTTTGCCTCCACAATCCACTGGAAGAATTTCTTTCCCGATTTTTTCCATTAAAACATCGGAATTTTCACAAAAGTGTATCTAAAATCTACAGTCATGATGACTGACATTTTGAAAATATAAAAAACTACTCACTCGTTCCATTAGTTTGGGTTTTAGAATGTTCTTAAGAAGAAGAACAATCTTTTCTGTATAAAGGGGAGCATTGAGAACGTAAACAGCTTTCAGTCGATTTGAGAAAACTTTCTGCAACAAAAACTGGAGAAAACGGAAGGTTGGGTTAATATTTTACCTTATATATCACAACCAACGATTTATAAAGGAGCATCGGGGTTAACTTGAGCATCCACCGTAGAGGTATATTTTTACAGTCAAATATAAACACGTCCCCATAAGTGATGTCTTCCATCATACGAATTTCTTGTATGTTCACCAACAGACGAATACCATCAACAGGCTCTACATTTTCAGCTGACTGTGGATCGCGCATTTTACAGAAAAATACTCTGTGTAGTTTTTGTGTCAGCTTTGGAAGAGGAACAAAGTAACTAAAACGGGTTTTCGTAAACATTACGCAGAAACTTTTACAATGTTTTTTTACATCGACGCCTTAACATTTTCTTTATAGGAGAATTTCGGATGAATATTGTCAAATATTTCTGGCAACAGAGACCTTAGGCTGTAATAGTTTTCGATTTTTTCCTTGCTTTTTTCCACGCTTCCTTTATTTAATATGAGAAAGTTTTTGATTTTCTTGTCAGCTACAAGACAACAAAAGACAATAGGATTTGCTCAAAAATTGAGTTTTTCACTTTTGTAGCTGCCTCTAGTTCACTTTTATACTTTTAACAAAAATGTTCAAAACAAATTATAATTTATAAAGGTAACAAAACATATCTAAAAATGGTTACATAACAAAAAAAATTCAAAATTCCAACATTGTTTATTAATGTTTAGACGATTAAAAGACGAAATAAACTCAAACTGCTAAAGATTTAAAAACTCACGAAAAGTTGTGGACTTGACCGTTTTGCCTAAAATGGCACTGCTAAGTTTAACTCAAAGTTGTATATAAGTACTTAAAATACTATGGTCTACTAACCCATCACTTCTGGAAAATGCGGTTGTTTTATCATCCATTGTCTAATTTTCCTAGCATCTTCACTGAACAAATCCATAGAAGAATAATTTAACAGTTTCACTACAATTTCCAAAACATTGTCATCTAGTTCTAGTAGGGGCGTAGATTCCATTTTTGTAACTATGTACTTTTTTACTTCCCGAGCGTAAGCAAAGGAAGTATTGTAATCGAGTCCGTCGGCCGACTCTCTACTTTTACATTTTCTCGATCTTTCATGACCCCTAGAAGACGAAGAAATAGGTCTCCCATTTCCGTCTGTCTGTCCGTCTGTCCGTCTGTCCGTCTGTCCGTCCGTCTGTCCGTCTGTCCGTCCGTCTGTCCGTCCGTCTGTCCGTCTGTTGTCCCGGATTTTTATTAGACAGATAATCTCCGAAAGTACTCGACCGATTGTTGTGAAATTTTGTACTTATATTAAGAATATCATGTAGATGGTAAAACGCTAACCAAAATTTGTCTAATCATCCCCACCACTAATGCGATGACGTCACTTCAAAATTGTACATAGTAAATGGGTTTTCAATTGTATAAAATAACATAGTCCTACACATGTAGTTTACAACTCCGAATCGACTTTTCACCCGAAACGTCCAGATTTTTGGAAAAAAAATCAAAATTATAAAACAACATTTTGAAATTTAATTTTTAATCTGCTAACCAGAATGCTTTGAAATGTTGCAGATGTTTTAAGGCTATAAAGAGCATCATAAATCTTTAGTCAAAAAATATTTGCTTACCCCCTCCAAAAACTTGATGACGTCAGCTCAAAAGTTTGTGGAATAAATCATATCTAAAATGTACAAAATATGATGAGTCTGTACTTGTGATCTATCACTCCATTCATATTTTTTGGATTTGCATATACAGGGTGACTCAAAAAAATTAATGAATGCGTAAATTTATTTTACTGATTTACTCAGAAACTACAAAACCGAATGCTTTGAAATCTTGCAGATGTTTTAAGGTTCTAAAGAGCATAATAAATGTTTAGTCAAAATATATTTGCTTATCCCCTCCAAAAAATTGATGACGTCAGCTCGAAAGTTTGCCGAATAAATCCTATCTAAACTGTAAAAATATGATGAGTCTGTACTTGTAATTTATCACTCCATTCATATTTTTTGGATTTGCATATACAGGGTGACTCAAAAAAATTAATGAATGCGTAAATATATTTTATTGATTTAATCAGGAACTACAAAACCGAATGCTCTGAAATCTTGCAGATGTTTTAAGGTCATAAAGAGCATAATAAATGTCTAGTCAAAATATATTTGCTTATCCCCTCCAAAAACTTGATGACGTCAGCTCGAAAGTTTGCCGAATAAATCATATCTAAAATGTACAAAATATGATGAGTCTGTACTTGTCATTTATCACTCCATTTATATTTTTTGGATTTGCATATACAGAGTGACTCAAAAAAATTAATGAATGCGTAAATATATTTTATTGATTTAATCAGGAACTACAAAACCGAATTCTTTGAAATCCACTGCGAAAAAAAAACATAATAGGCATGCAGTCGTCACGTTTCCGACAGCGAGGGAAGTACTGTCTAAACTCTTTAGACCAATTTTTTCTTTTCAGTAGAACGTTTGTTACTAAAGCTAACCAAGGGACCACACTTAACACGTGAATGCAAAATAGGAACTGTTATGCACATTGAACTTGTTTATTAAATTTATAATTATTACGTACAAAGGGGCACAGCCAGCACTCAGACACGACGAGTAAGCAATTTATAAGCGTCCTGGTCTTGAGCTGCACACAGCAAGGTGGGGATTTATCTAGTTCGTTTGCCTTAAAGCTTACTGCCATCGTTGCAACAGATATACAAGTACCTGTGAGAAAACAAAAACCGCTAAGAGAACACCAAAGTATTAAGTAAGGAAATAAGTAACTAAAGCACACTGTGCTAATTATATTTTTATTGCTGAAAAACTCAAAAAATTTCGCTTACCCAATCTGCCAGACAAATAATGAGAATGACCTCGTTTAATTACGTTGACTTGTGCTCCAGGGAAATAAATAAGTGCACTTGTTTTGCTTGCGGTCACTCGCATACGCGACGTTATCAGATTACTTGCTTTGTGATCTTTTATGCGTTTTTTCACTTCGCGTTCATAATCGTGCTTGTTATGAAGCAGCCACATTGCGCGCTTTAGTAGAACCGGGGTATCGGGTTTTCAAGAATGGTAATCATTACAAATGTAACGGTCAAATAAAAAGAACATGGTTTTACTGCACCTGTGGAGATCTGCAGCAACCGGACAAGTTATTTGTAATTAGAAAAAATATATACAAAAAATCAACCAAAATAATCAGTCAATATCTAATTTCCTAAAATTACCAGCAAGTCCAAACATTTCATCATGTTTAAGCCTCTGACGTTTCAGATCGTCGTTTATACGAAGTTCGTCTAGCTGGGTAAAATAATCTTCACGTTCTTTAAATTTTTGATAAAGCATTTCTAGAAATAAATTTACCGATAGCAGGCCAAATAAAAACCAAAAATATTCTTACCTTGTAGTTCTTCTAGAGACTTTTCTTCGCCTCCATAATCCACTGGCAGAATTTCTTTTCCAATTTTTTCAATTAAAACATCCGAATTTTCACAAAAGTGTATCTGAAAGTTGCTACGTATTATAATTTTTGACACTTTGAAAATACCAAAAATGGCTAACCCGTTCTATTAGCTTAGGTTTAAGAACGCCCTTAAGAAGAATAAAAAACTTTTCTACATATGGAGGAATATTGATGACGTAAACAGCTTTCAGTCGGCTGGAGAAAACTTGCTGTAACATAAAAACTCCACAAAGCGAATACGTGATTTCATATTTTACCTTGTATATAGCAATCAGTGCTTTGTAAATTACCATGGGTGTGACCTTGAGAATGGGTCGAAAAGGTGTATTTTTACCATCAAGTATAAACACATCTCCATAGGTAACATCTTCAATCATACGAATTTCTTGTATATTCACCAGCAGACGAATACCATGGACAGGTTCAAAAGTTTCTGTTAAATGTGGATCACGCACTTTATAGAAAAAGACTCTGTACATTTCTTTCGTCAGCTTTGGAAGAGGAACGAAATATCTAAAATGAACTATGATAAATATTAATGCAATAACCTTTACAATTATTTGTTACATGGATGCTTTTACAGTTTCCATAAAGGAGAGTTTCGGATGAATATTATCAAATATTTCTGGCAAGTGGGACCTTATGGTGTAATAGTTTTCTATTTTTTCTTTGCTTTTTTCAACACTTCCTTTATTTAGTATGAGAAAATTTTTGATTTTCTCGTCAGCTGTAAAACATTAAGAAAAATTAAAATACCTATAATTAGTTTTATTACAAGAAGAGTAAACAAATCTTCTCCTAGAGTTTTTTATCAGTATAGACCTATGTTAATTTTTCAGATAAACCTAATATAACATTTAAATATAAGCATCACACTCTAACTTCTTAGAAAGAATTTTCTGCAATAATTATTAACAATATTGGTACTAGTTAGCTGTTACTTAAAATTGTACATGCACATGTGATCTACTGACCTGTCACTTCTGGAAAATGCTGTTGCTTCTTGATCCATTCTTTAATTTTTCCGACATCTTCATTAAACAAATCTATAGAAGAATAATTCAATAATTTTACAACGCGTTCCAAAACATTGTCGTCTACTTCTAAAAAGCGTGTAAATCCCATTTTCAAGAACACTTTCTTCTTCTTTGGGGCGTGTGTGACTAAAGTAGATCCAGTGTTGTCAGGTATCTTGAGGAGATTCCTCGGACCTTTTCGGTATATTCCGTAAAAAAAATATCAATAAAAATAATAATCATAGTTAATTCATTAATTTTAAAATATGTTATTGAAATTTTAAATTATAACCACGAAATCAAAACTGGAATACATGTTACTTTATACCGTCGTAAAAGTTGATCAATGAGACCTGTTTATTTGAAATTGCGCTTATTATTGTGTGATGAAATATTGCAATACTGGACTTACCTAATTGTGTCTTTCACACTTGTTATGTTTATTTCTTTATCACAAGAGTTGTTGGAAGCAAATTGACCCCCTTTCTTACCATCTTTTGAACCCTTTCAAATTTTCCTATTATTTACTAATTTATGTACTTAAGCTTAAATAGACACACATTCCAAGTTTTGATAACTTACTTGTATTCGTGATTACCGAAATTAAATTATGGCGACCACCAAACGCAAATGTAGAAACGTTTAATATAATTTAGTTACATAAATTATTATTTAAGATTTTGCTCAAATACCAGGTACTCAGGTAAGTATATGGATAATTTTGTTCGAATTGCCGTAAAAAGTATTAGGTAGTCAGGTACAGTTAACCGAACTGCGGTACATTTTCGTTCGGGGTTAGGGGGCAGGGCACAACTGCGCCAGTAGTACCTGTATAATCTTGGTAATTATAAATAATTATAAATATAAAAATAAATTCTGTGCATTAAAATGAAAAACAATATATTGCAAAAGATGTACTTCGTAGACATATGTTTATAGAATCTAAAATTGTTCGATTCAAAAATAATGAAATTTCAAGGTATAATTTTGTGAAATGTGTCAGCTACAAGTTTGCTAATATCATGTCATAATTGTAGATAATAAGATAATATTTACATAGTTATATTTTAGGTTAGTTTACGGTGATTTTATTTAAGATTTTCAGAAATTATATCACTTGGAATAAATAAAGCTAGAATCGCTTTAACTTAGTGATTATACAAATCTATCTAAGTATGTGATCTACGGGTCGTTTTTCATTAAATATTTAAAAAAGAACGAAAAGTAAAGAAAATGAAGTTATGTTATTTACTAAATTTTTATTCAGTTCTTGAAACCCCCACTTACCCCAGTTCGCTCAGAGATTATAAGTTCGGCTTCGGATTTTAGGTCGTTCAAAAATGAATGAAAGGAGACATTTTTAAGTCCAAAAAGTGAAGAATTAGGTTATAAAAATCTTAGTTTAGGTTAAAAACCTGGAGGAAAAATCATTTGCTCAACGAAAAAGCAAAAAACATTATAGAAACAAATATTTTGTGTAACAAACAAAAAAATGATTAAATAAATAAACGATCTATAATTACGTCCACTAATTCTAAATTAACGCAAAAAAATGGTGATCAAATTAAAGCAAGTCGCAGTTAACAAAAAATAAAATATTAATTAAGGTATATAAAATGAGTTACAAAAGCAAACTACATATTTCTCTAAATTTTTGATTGTAAATTTACACCTTTGATCTCTTAAAATATTTTCAAGTTTTGAAAACGTGCGTTCCACATCACAAGAAGTGATGGGTAAAAAATTAAATATTGAACAATCTACGTTTTCATTTATGCATGTATTGTTGGTAGCATTTCCATTACCGCAAATTACGTTATTTACTGAACATATAAAATCGTATGCTGGATTCTTTTTTAACAGAGAATATAATTTTTGGAACGCCATTTCCCCCACCTTTCCTGGTGTGTTTTTTAAAGATGTATACACTTTTTCCACAATTTCCATACTTTGGTTTAATTTTAAATCCATAGTTTTTAATTGTTGTATTCCATCAGCAATAATTTTAAAGTAAATTTTAATGTACAAGAGTTCATTTTTAACGTTTGCTTTATTCAGGAATTCTTGAGTTTTTTTAATGCTTTGTGCATCTGTGGCTTCAGATGACATCCTAAAAATATTCAATATAAGAATGATAGTAAAAAAACCATTATATATTTACTGACTTGTTTTAAAACATCAAAGTGTTCTGCATAAAACAATGCTGCTTGAATCCAAGTGCCCCACCTGGTTCAGGTGGGAGAGGTGTATTTGGTAAACTGTTTTTATAAAACTCTACTCTTATTGGTGCTTTTAAAAAGATTTCCTTAACATTGCTAATTATCCCATTGACATCTGGATAATTCAGTCTAATTGTTTCAGACACGTAATGTAACCCATGTGCCATACATGTTAAGTGTGTTATATTTTCATAAAACACTTTCAAATTAGTACCAGTTTAGATCATGTATGAAGCACCATCTGATACAAACCATTTAACTTTTTTGTGTTCAGTTCCTTTTGGCCAGAATAAAACTACAAATTAACAATTAAATAAATTATAAAAATTTCAATGCTTAAAATTATCAATAGCACACCCAATGATTCGTTTATAAATGTCGAGATTGTGTTGCTATTAGTTTTATCAAGCTGCTTCAAAGCTAGAAGAAATGGACGGCCAGCTTCTTCAAAAGATAATTTTCCAATTACTAAATGGGCTATGTATCTTCCTAATCTGTCCGTCGTCTCATCAACGCTAATCCATATATTATTATTGCCAATAGAATTTCTAATTTCTTTAATTACCTGTAAATTATAAAATTTATGTTAAAAAGTTTTTAAATAAAAATTCTAGTGCTCACCCTATCGTAGTCTTTTGGTAAATATTTTTTTCTCAGAGGGCTTTCTGAGGGTAAAAACTTCCTGCATATTTATGCATAAAATTTTTAAACTCAGGACAACTAACTTTATTCCATGGAATATTTGCTGCGGTAAATGCCCTACATAAATCGGTGCAAAATTCCGTAAAATCATTGTCGGAACTAATGTTTAATAAAGTCTGTTTACTGGATTTATTCTTGTTCTTTTTATGTGCATCGCCACCGCAGTGTTGTTCAAAGTGTGATTTTTTTTCGCACTTAAACTAGGAAACAAAAATGTGAACATAATTCAAGCTTCAGTATTTTAAGTGTTTACTTACAACTTTTCCACACACTTTGCAGAATAACTCATTGTCTTTGGTTGAAGAAGGAAATTGAAAATTAGTGTCTAAATTATTCCCTAACCACAATTTGATTTTATCTTTCATGGATGATTTTACCTTAGGCATTTTGAGGATCACCAACACGCAAAGACACTCACTGTCACTAACAATAAACTTCTAAAATAAAATGCTTTTTCAGAGATTCACCTCCTTCCAGCTATAATCTAAATGAAATATAATCCAGCGTTGTAAGTTGGCGACACCAATCCGTACCATTTAAACTCAAGGGCGTTGTTTACAACCCATTTTTAAACAATCTGCCTGCCAAAACAATGAATCCACGGAAAATATCTATTGTGCAAGCACGTCCGCTTCGTTGCTCGTGGAATCCTATTTTAAGCCTTTTAAAATTTACAATTAGGTCGTTTAATTAACATTTTGGGTCCCTTACGGTAAATTAGGCATTTTAGGTAGTAATAAATGGGCGTTAAATAAACAGAAGGGCCATAAGGTAAATAAAAGGGCCAAGGTTCTAGCAAGCACACCTCTAAAAGAGGGGCTATGTAGGTGCGGGGCTGAGATTACCCCATGTTGAAGAATGAGATACCTTAAACGGCTATATAGAAAAGATCTTAAAACTGTAGTGTGTAGAAATGTAAAAAGATTGTTTTTTTCTTTTACTATTATTTTATTGACCAAAAGTATTATAAAACCAACGTATGACACCATTAAAAAAATAAGTAGACGAACTAGCTGCACACAAGTGCTACACAAAATATACACTAAAATAAATATCAATCAATTTCTAATTTCTTAAAATTACCAGACAGTCCAAACATTTCATCATTTTTAAGCTTTTGAGGTTTCAAATCATCATTTATGCGAAGTGTATCTAGTTGGGTAAAATAATCTTCACTATCATTAAATTTTTGATAAAGCATTTCTAGAAATTAATTTACGGTAAACAGACCTACAAAAAACCAAAAGCACTCTTACCTTGCAGTTCTTTTAGAGACTTTTCTTCGCCTCCATAATCTACGGGCAGAACTTCTTTTCCGATTTTTTCAAATAAAATATCCGAATTTTCACAAATATGTATCTGAAATTTATAATTAATATTTCTGACACTTTGAAAGCACCAAAAACTACTAACTCGTTCCATTAGTTTAGGAATTAGGATGCTCTTAAGAATATCAATAAGCTTTTCTGTATAAGGGGGAGCATTGATAATGTAAACAGCTTTTAGTCGATTTGAGAAAACTTGCTGCAACAGAAACTGCAGAAAAGGAAAGTGTAGTCCAAACATTTTACCTTGTATATAACAGTCAACATTTTATAAAGGATCATCGGTGTTGCCTTGAGCATAAATCGTAGAGTCACATCTTTACCATCAAATACAAACATATCTCCGTAAGTAACATCTTCGATCATACGAATTTCTTGTATGTTCACCACCAAACGAACAAAATTGATCATCTCTACATTTTCAGCTAAATGTATATCACGTGTTTTATAAAAACAGACTCTGTAATGTTCCTTTGTTAGCTTTGGGAGAGGAACATAGAAGCTAAAATTCATTATCATAAATATTAACGCGGTAGTTTTTACAATGATTTGTTACACCGATGCCTTGACATTTTCCATGTAAGAGAGTTTCGGATGAATTTTATCAAATACTTCGGGCAATTGAGATCTTACAGCATAATAGTTTTCTATTTTTTCCTTGCTTTTTTCGACGCTGCCTTTGTTTAAAATGAGAAAGTTTTCGATTTTCTTGTCAGCTGCAAAACATCAAAACAAATGACAATACGTTATCTACTACTAATATTTTGCTTAATATCCATCTATAGCTCTTTTATTTTAGATTTTTTTAGCTTCTTTTGATAGTTTTGTAAAAAAAAAATTCATAAAGAAAACAGAACAAATTTTTTGAAAGCCACTTTGATAAAGTCGGTCGGGTTTGAAATAATTATCAAGATACATATTTCGATATTCAGAAAATAAGAACATCGATTTATAAACGAAATTACCCCATTTTAGTATGTAAACTAAATTAGTTGTTATCATAGACCAAGTATGACTTAAGTCAACATCACAACTATAACTAAGTAAGTATATTTAAGTTCAAAACGGTAAAGGTGTTGTATATCTACTAACCCATCACTTCTGGAAGATGCGGTTGTTTCTTAATCCATTTTTTAATTTTTCTAACATCTTCATTAAACGAATCCATAGAAGAATAATTCAACAATTTGACAACGAGTCCTAAAACATCCTCATCGACTTCTAGTAAGTCTGTAGATCCCATTTTTAGGAACACTGGTCTCTTCTTGGGTCTGTGTCTTACTGAATTAAACTAAGCTACGTTGATATTGTTAGTTTATTGAGAGGGCATTCAAAATGCTCGAATGTATAATTAGGAAACTTTACGCACATTCACCTTGTTGCCTATTTTTATTAATTACTACGTTCAGTGTTAAGGTCGAGAAATAGATAAAGTTCGGAAAGAAATATATCATGCGCTTTTTATGAAGCTGTCAATGCCTGACCTTCCAAAATCAGTTGTTCTTTTACGGGTAATTTTCATACTAAATATACTAAGAATTATTAGAAAAGGACAACAAATATAGTGCACACGTGGACTGAGAAGGACTCATCCTTAGAAAAGTTGGCGAAAACGATTATTTATTTCACAGTAGTACAAATTTACACGACTGCATTCTGGGCTCTATAAAAACTAGTAGGCTGTAGTTCCTATTTAAACGACCACGTGTTCCTAGAGATTTCGCGGTTATTCTGGAGTGCCCATCATGACTTCAGCTTCTATTAGAACGCTGCCGTCATCGATGATGAGTCACCGGTCACCGCCGTTATTCAAACAACTAATTCAACAAATCTAATAAAATCAAATTTTTGGTAAAGTATTTCTGGAAATGAATATACCTACCGGAAGCAGACCAACAAAACACCGAAAGTACTCTTACCTTGCCGTTCTTTTAGAAACTTTTCTTCGTTTCCATAATGTACTGGCAGAATTTCTTCTCCGATTTTGTCAATTAAAAATTGTATAGTACATGTATTACATCCCATTTTAGGAACACTGTTCTCTTCTGTGGTCCGTGTTTTACTGAATTACACTATTAAAAATTTTTGTGAAATAGTTGTCGTTTTTCCTCATTTGTTATGTTTAATCTTTTTTTCTCGAACATTCATCACTAACTGACACTACTTTTCCACTTTTCATTTAATTTTTCCATTTCAGACCGCTGAAAGCCTAATATGGTAGTTTTTGGAACGTGATAACACTGATATGATAACATATATGAAATTCTGTGTTTTGTTTTTTTTTTAACTATACGTGATGCAATTTTTTAACTATGTTTTCAGTAATTAGCACTCGAAAATCTATCAGATTCATTTATTTATTTTTTTAAAGACAGGCTTTCTATCGTGTTACTAATTTACTCATTCGAAGCCACGCAAAATGCATGAATATGAAATTATGAATTTTTAGATGAATTGATCTTGTTTTCTGTCACTTTTAATTAGATACAAATGTTTATAACTGAATCGTAAGGTCAGTAAATAAAAAAGTTTAGCAAAAAATCTACAATAAACAATAAAGCTTTTCTTGACCAGCTATGATTAAAAAAAAGTGCACATCTTTATTTTAAAATAATTAATCAAACACTATTTCACTTTTTATTGCGTATGCTGTAGACGGAACTATCAACGGATGACGTACGACGAGAAATTTCCGGTTAGATTATTGTAATAAATAACAGAGTGAGCATTAAATGCTCTGAATATTTTGGCCACATCTGACTACGCCAAGTCAAGCCAAAAGTTTTATACATTCCAAATTAGAAAATCAAAATTAAGTGGTCTCACACTAAATATGCTCTTTGGTGGAGGACTGTGGCGTCGAATACGATTCATTTTCGTTCAAACAATTGAATTGCCCTTCTGTGAAATTAGAAACAACAATTTAAGTACAGTTACTAATGGCGCTGGATCCTTTTAAAAATGACCTACACTGTCCTGCATTCCAATTTCCCTATCACTACGAAGCCGAAAGTTATTTCATTATTTCGTCTAAGTTTTGCGTGCCATAGCGACAGTTTGTAAAGAAAATAACAAACAAAAATGAAAAATACACAATTTAGCACACAATTGTCTCTTTTAAAAACAACACGATTAGCAAATAATTAGTTGACCCAAAGACACATATATTTTTGACCCAGACCAAACCACCTTTGACATCAGTCAATGATTTATCGTGACCCTGTATGATAAGTTGTTATAAATGCAAAACTTTAATAACCAATTTAAAAAAGTTTTACTCACAACTGATCATTCCATCAAACGTTTCTACACTCTAAGTAGTACTCTTACGGATTTGTGTACGAACAATCATTCGGAACTCAACACCCAGTGGTTAAATATGACAATCCATCCATAGAAGAGACACACTGCTTATTAAAAATTAAGTAGGTTTAAAAAAACCGGCATAATAAAATATATCCAGTTTTTTTTTTAAATTACTCCCTCTGTCCCAAACCAAGTGTCCGCCTTCCCAAAAAGTATGGACACTTACTTGCTAGCAAATTATAACCTCCCAAAATGTATATTGTTGTAGTATATATAGGTATTATATATTACGTGCCTGTTTGAATGATTTTCATAGCAACCACTAACTATAAATAATTGCTTTCACAAAAAAATAGAACTTGAAATGTCTTCAAAAATGATTCAGAATGTTTTGAACTTACGTCACCTGAAATAAGTGCACAAGCAGCTGCTGCCTGCAATAATCTCTTGCCTCAAAAACACAAAAAGAGATATGAAATGATTTATCAGAAGTTCATGAACTGGCGAACCGAAAACAAAGTTACATCATTTTTAGAGACCATTCTCATTGCTTATTTTGGTAAAATCAATGCTGAAATCAAGTCATCTTCATTGTGGGTTAGCTATATGGTCCGAAGTACGCTAAGTCTGAAGCGTACCATAACTATCGCTACTGAAAACTTCAAGCATTTCTTAAAAGCGAATTTTCTTACAATAGTAGAAGTAAACAAGTTTTTGTAATAAGTAGTTTATTTTTAATACCTAGTTTTATATATAGTTTCTATATTTTCTGTGGTTTTTATTCTTTCGATGTATCGATGTGTCTCTTAAAAAAATATATTGCAATATTATCAGTCTTAAATATAGAAAATATTTGACAAAAAAAAAGAAAGAGAATAAACAACATAATAATATGCACTAATAAAATACAGGTGTTCTACATGGAAAAAAAATGAAATATCGATATTTAAAGATTATAAAAACATAATAACATGCAATAATGAAATACAGGATGTGTTGGTTGGAAAAACTGAAATATCATAATTTACTCGTATAAAATAAACACTCTGTTCTTTATCAGTCCCCAAAATACTGTATACCGCAGATTTAAACAAATATTATTTTTTGTGATAACTTTCACTGAAAGAAAATTATAAGAAAAGAAAGACAGAAAACATTTTGCTACGACATGTTAATTTTTAATTTTTTTAATATGTAGGTTAGTGAGAAGATTAGTGATGAAGTGGGCCAGAATTGCATGATAAATTTTGATTTAGTAATAGTTTAGTAGTATAACTGATTAAGTTTTTTTTTGGTATTATTTTTTTTAAGAATATTATTAAAAACTGGAATAACCTGTCAATGCCGCAATAGAATAAAAATTGTGGTTATAAAGCCTAAGAATAGGTAAATTAGAATTTCTAAAAATATATAGAGTAAGTGTTTATTTTTTTAACCTACGGGCTTAAAAGATTCTTGACATTACAATATTTTTTCTAATTAACACAAACAAAATAAATACATTTTGTAAACCAAGTAACTCTTTTTTTTTCCTTTACCCCATCCCCCCTTGCCCCAGCCTTACTCTTGTCCTCTCCACTTCTTTCATCCATTCCACCCGTCTTCCGTCTTCATTCAATATCTCTGTCACACTCTCCTCTCTTTCTTTGCTCTAGTCACAGTCATGCAGCAAGTGCTCTATCGTCTCTCGCCCTTCTCCACACATCCTACACATTCTCTCACCTTCGCTTACCCAAAACTTATTATTTCTTTCTTCATTTCCACACCTAAATCTAGCAATTATTTTTTTTTCTTTCGCGCTTTCTCTGTGTAGGTACTTTGGTACTGTTTCTGTTATTATCTTTCTATAGTCTGCATTGTACCTAGATTTACTTACACTCGTTATTCTCTCTTTTTTATCTATGTCTCTGTCACGGATACACAACTCTTCTCTCATACTCACCCCCATTTTTCTCTTTCTCTCTATTTCCATCCATGCGTATCCTAGTCTTTCATAATATCGTTGTCTACCCTTGTGATGTTCTTTCCCTGCTTCTTTTTTTTTCCTTCCAGCATTCATACAATATCCTAGATTCCTTTCTTTCTTTCAACCTTCCATCATACTTTAGAGCTCTTTTCCCAGTGTATACTCTTAATTTCTCTCGTTTACATTCTTCTCTTACTATATAGTTTGGCGTCTCTTTCCGTAGCCCTAACATCCACCTCAAATATTTTTCTTGTACTGCTTCCATCTCTGCATATTCCTTCCATCCCCATATCTTCACTCCATACATTAATACAATCTTAACTAAACTATCAAACATTTTCATCCTTCTTCTTACGTCATGTTCAAATATTCTCTCACCTATACTTCACACCATTCCCATTATCTGCATTGCTTTGACCCTTCTTTCTCTTATGTGTGCTTTTACCGTGTTAGTTGTTGTAAACTTAAATCCTAAATATTTAAACTCCTTTACTGTGTCTATGATTCGATCTTCCCAACGCCACACTTTTTCCTCCCCTTTTCTCCCTTTTTTTCTAAACACGATAATTTTCGTTTATTCTACATTTACTTCCAGTTTCTTTCTTTTAAAGTATCTTTGTAGATTTTTTTTCATCTCATTCATTCCACATTCATCCTTCGCCAATATTACCAAATCATCTACAAATGCCAAACACCGTACCTTTTCTCTCCCCACCACAATTCCTCCCGCTTGTACTCCTCTAAACATTTCCTCAATATCGCTTATGTAACAAACAAACAGACTGGGACTTAATGGGCATCCCTGTCTCAATCCTTTCGTCGTCCAAAACATTTCACTATCTATTCCTCCCACTCTCACACTGGTCACTGTCTCTCTATAAATCTCTCTTGCTGCTACAATTAAGTTTTCACTCAGTCTTCTTCTCTTCATGCATTCTCACAAACACTCTCTGTCCACCGTATCAAACACGGCTTTTAGGTCTACAAACAGTGCATATACCCGACCTTCTTTCTTTAGCAACTCTTTTTCTATTAGATGATGCAGGATATATACATTGTCCATAGCCCCTCTACCTCCTCTAAATTCCGCTTGACTTTCCGATAATAAACTCTTTTCGTTCATCTCTGTCACCAAACTTTCATTTAACACCATTGCGTACAGTTTATATGCCGTATTTAGGAGAGTTATTCCTCGATAATTCTCTACTTTTTCTTTACTACCCTTTTTATGAATGGGGCATATTTGCCCTATTCTCCATTCCCTGGGAAAACCTTTACCCGTCCACACATCATTCATTAATTCACTCAATCTTTCCATCATCCCATCCGTCCCAAATATCCACACTTCGTTTACCAACCCATCCCTCCCCGATGCTTTTCCTCTTTTCAGTCTTCCTACTTGTTTTCTTACTTCCTCTACTCGAATCTCAGCCTCCCTTTCTCTACCACCAATCCCGGTTTTACTATCTTGCACTACAATCCTCTCTTCCTTTCCATTCAACAGTTCCATAAAATGTTTCTTCCACTGTATTATAGGTATGTCTTCACTAATCGTGATTTTGTTGTTCCGTTCTTTATTTATATACTGCCATGCCTCTTGCTTAGTTCTTATGGCTTTAATTTTTTCTTCTTCTTCTTGCGGTATCTCTTCTTTCTTTTCTTTGCATCGTTTTCTATAATTATTTTTGCTTGCCAGTACTCTTTTTTTATACCTTTCCCCTTTTTCCACTTTCGTAAACATTTCCTTGCTTCTGTTATTAAATCTCTGCCTCTGCTATCCCACCATCTGTTTGTCTTTTCTAAATTTCTCGTTATAATTTCTTTTCTTATGGCTACTTTTTCAATTTCACTTTTTAATTCTTCCGTTTTCTTTTCAGTTCCTTTTTTTTAAATTCCACTTCCAACATTTTTTTTTATAATGCTCAATTCCTTTTTCATTCCATACCCATATCTTCTTCTCCTTTTCCTACTTCATTTCTTAAGCATCCGCTTCCTCTACTTATGCCCCTCACTTTTACTTCTAGTGGCATGTGATCGGAGTCCACTCTTTCTCCTATCTTGAATGTTTCTACCTCTTCTTCTGCTACTCCGTTTACTATTACGTAGTCTATTACCGATTCCCCTCTTTTACCTATCCAGGTAAATTCCCCCTCCTCGTCCCTTTCCGTCACCCCATTCAAGACTTCCCAACATCTTTCTTCAATTAATTCCCATAGCAATTTTCCTTCTTTGTTTTCTACTTTATCTTTCGATTTTCGTGTGTTTTCCCCCCCTTCTTCCCTGCTTTTGTTCCCTATTCTGGCATTAAAGTCCCCTCCTAACAGCAGAAATTCTTCTTCGGACTCTTCGATTTTTTCTTGTATTTCTTATTTCGTGTTTCTCATTCCTCTACTATATATTGTGCAGATTCTCCATCTTTTTTTATTTACTTCCAACTATGCCTTCCATTTCTATTGCCCCCTCTTCTATTTCTTTTATACCAAACATTCAATTTCTTTGTCAAGTCATCGATGTATATTTTAAAGAAAAGTGGACCCAACACCGAGCCTTGTGAGACTCCTGATGTCTGTTTAAAGAAGGACGACTGATAACCCTGATATTGTACGGCGCCTATGGACCGTCGAGAGCTTTCTAGGTTGTACGGAAATGACGCGACCGAGCGGCGTTCGAAAAGCCTAGAAGCGGAAATGGCGATAGATATTCGAGAAAGACCTCGATCGCAGAAGTATGGGTTTAAATAGAGGCCAGTTTCGGGAATGATTATTATTATTGAGTCGAGTCGAGTCCAACGAGTGTGGAGAAAACCCAGTGAAGTTGCGCAGGATTTATTTTTGACATAATGGTTAGTCATGTAAATTCGAGTTAGTAAGAACTAAATTGTTGAGTTTACCCACGTCGATTTTAATCGCCCGTTCAACGTAACAATATTTATTTAGAATTATGTTAATGTCAAGAGCAATTCACTTACAAGAAAAATAAGCAGTTTAAGATACTTATCCACGGAAAAAATAATCAACTGTTACACAATTTGTATTTATTTATTTAGTTATTGAGCAAAAGTATTATTAACCTATGTACAACACCATTTAAAATATATGTGATTGAACTAAATGTATAAAAAAATAAATCAAAATAATCAGTCAATTTCTAGTTTCTTAAAATTTCCAGAAAGTCCAAACATTTCATCATTTTCAAGCTCCTGTGGTTTCAAATCTTCATTTATACGAAGTTTATCTAGTTGGGTAAAATAATCTTCACGTTCTTGAAATTTTTGATAAAGCATTTCTGGAAATGTATATACCGTAAACAGGCAAACAAAAAACCGTAAATAGTTCTTACCTTGCAGTTCTTTTAAAGACTTTTCTTCGCCTCCATAATCTACTGGCAGAACTTCTTTTCCGATTTTTTCAATTAAAACATAAGAATTTTCGCAAACGTGTATCTGAAAATTACAAACATAAGGGTTGATACTTTAAAAATACCAACATTTCTGACTCGTGTTAGCAATTTAGGGCTTAGAACGCTCTTAAGGACAGCAATAACCTTTTCTATATAAGAGGGAGCATTGACTACATAAACAGCTTTCATTCGGTTTGAGAATACTTGCTGTAATACAGAAATTCTGCATAAAGAATGTGGGGTGTTATATTTTACCTTGTATACAACAACCATCGCCTTATAAACGAACATCGGCGTCACCTTGAGTACCCACCGTAGAGGTACATTTTTACCATCAAATATGAACACATCCCCATGGGTAATATCTTCGATCATGCGAATTTCTTGTATATTCACCAACAGACGAATACCATCGACAGGATCAACATCTTCAGCTATATGTGGATCAATTATTTTACAGACACCGACTCTGTACAGTTCTTTCGTCAGCTTGGGGAGAGGAACAAAGTAACTAAAATGGATTACCATTAATCCTACGGAGTCATTTTTACAATAATTTGTAACCCAGCCGCCTTAAGATTTTCCATGTAAGAGAGTTTTGGATGAATATTATCAAATATTTCTGGCAACAGGGACCTTACTTTGTAATAGTTTTCTATTTTTTCTTTGCTTTTTTCGACGCTTCCTTTGTTTAGTATGAGAAAATTTTGGATTTTTTTGTCAGCTGCAAATCATTAAAAAAATGACATTACGGTGTGTTTTAAAAATTCGTTGTTTGATGAGTTATTTACTACTGAGGCTTTATTTTTCAGGCCTTTCTAGCTTTTTTATTTAATTTAGCTGAACGAGTTTAGCACGTTTTAGCCTTGACACCAGTGTACCCAAATAGTTTCTTTATACAGTTGTGCATTGCCTTGCGCCAAAAGTAAATATATTCATAAAAAAAACTGTTGGGTACCAGTGTTGGGCAGTATCTAGATACTTGTATCTAAATAAAGTTTCTAGATACATTTCTGGGTATCTAGTATCTGTATCTAGATACAAAATTAATGGCGCAGATACAGATACATTTTTTTGTTTCACTTTTTTTTCAGTAGTTATTAGTTGAGTTATACTAGTAGTAATTTTTGATACTTCATGTTGGTGATTTTGGTCACATAAACAAAAATAGAGGTAAAGGTCCAGTAATAGTGTTCTGTCAAGGAAATTTTCATATTTTAAATACCATTTCCTACTTTGTAGTCTTCAGTACTTATACATCTTTAAATATAATCCTGAGGGGTAATAAATCTAAGCCATGGTAAGATGGTATTTTAAAAACCATAAACCACAATTCACTATTCACTGCGTTTTATGATTGTCGGGGCAATGCATTTTATCTGTGTACCTGAGCAACCCGGGTCCGGTAGGCCCGCTAGTTGTATTTGTGTTATTAAATAAGAGTAATTTTGATAGTAAAAATATTTGTTTAAGGCATGTTATTATTTTTAGAAAATAATAATTCCGTGTTACATAATGATTAATTTTTTCAATTAGCACAAATTAGTTTTGTAATCGACTAATCGAATGTTCAGTACATATATTTCTCTGGCATAAATCGCATATTTGTTACTGTTTTATATCTTTATTTTTCAGACAAATGTAGCATCTTTTCCGGTTACCACATGTGTCATTTCTTCACTTTTTCATTGTTGGACCTAACGCGAGGTGGGCTTGGCAGGTCCGTTTTGCCCTAGAATGTGCCGATTATGTTTAAGTGTCTGGGTAATAAAATTAATATTTTTACAACCCTCGGTAGAATAATTTATCGTGATATATTCTCGAAAATCGTGAAACGAGATTAAAATAAAATGAGTTTCAACAAAAATCTGAAAATTTAAAGTTGCACTCTGGTGATTCCGGCCTGCCAGGCAGCCTTTGATCCTATAAGGGGTTTAAATACCTTTCTAAGAAATTGTACTTATTTTGCCTTAAACGGAACCAGCAATTCTTCCTAAAATGTGTATACCTGCCGCACCGGGATAGACGATTACCGGACATGGTCATAAAACATCGTAAGCGGATATTGAAGAATAATAATTTATGACAGTTTGCCGACAACAGACCTTCAGCACAGAATAATCATTTCCCCTATTCTTTTGAAACATTAATTTTAATGCTGGAGATAATTATTAGATATACTGCACAATTTGCGACACATCAGACAGCGAAGCGATGGAATATTTGCAGGAAAAAAGAAAAGATTTTTCAGTCTTGAATAACTATGCTACAGTAAAATGTTTATTTTTTAAATTCAATACCACAATCCGTTCTTATGCACTTGTGGAACGGGTGTTTAGTAGCGGAAACCAAATTCTGACACCAAGAAGAAATAATTTAGGTGACAATACGTTCGAAATGTTGTTAATTTTAAAAAATTTATTAAACAATATATAAAAAAATATATAAACATGTTTTCAGTTATTTTATTCGCTAAAGCTTCAAAAACTATCTGTTTTCTTGCATCTGTTATCTAGATAAATTTTGAAAAAATCGAAAACAATCTGTATCTAGAAACTTTTATCTTCCATATATCTATATCTGTATCTAGATATTTTTAAAAGTATCTGTCCCCAACACTGGTAAGGACAAATTTTAACAAACCCATTTTGACAAAGTCGGAAATTCGAATCATCTACAAAATACAGGTATTTTGATATCCAGAAAAAAAATAACCACGACTTCCAAACGGAGTCACCCCATTTTAGTAAGTAAGTAAAACTAAGTCAGTTCATTCCGCAGATCGAATATGACTTGAATTATAATAATAATACTATGGTCTACTAACCCATCACTTCTGGAAAATGCGGTTGTTTCTTAATCCATTCTTTAACTTTTCTAACATCTTCATTAAACGAATCAATAGAAGAATAATTCAACAATTTCACAACGAGTTCTAAAACATCTTTATCTACTTCTAATAAGTGTGTATTAGATCCCATTTCTAGGAACACTGTTCTCTTCTTTGGTCCGTGTCTTACTGGATTAAATTAGACTAAAGCTGATATTATTAATTTCTTGATGAGAGGCCACGCAAAATGAGTGAATGTAAAATTAACAAACTTTACGCGCATGACCTTCTTTCCTATAATTCTTAATTAGATACAAATGTTATAGTTATTGATTGTTTATGTTAGTATAAATAAATAAAATATACATTGGACCTAGTTGATATTACACAACTCTGCAAAAATTTAAATGCTAAAAACCTGTTATGCATTTTTTTGTGTATTCCTAATTGCGAATTGTTTAACTTTTTTTGGCAATCAAGTGTATTATAAAAAATACATAAACTAAAATTTAAGAAATGCACATTAATGAATGTGAAATTAGGAAACTTTAGATGTATTGACCTTGTTATCTATCATTCTTAATTAGATACAAATGTTATAACTGAGTCAGTAAATAGATAAAATTCGGAAAAATCTAAAATGCTTACAAGCGATAGGTACAGATTCTCTTGTCGAGCTATCATTTTTAAGTCATTCCACCATATAGAGTGCACTACCATTTATATATATATACTATTTCACTTTTTATCACGTAGGTACGTCATAAAGTACCTACTAAGAATACTAAGAATTAGTAAAAAACAATAATTGTGCACATTTGGTGCAGTGAGAAGGATACATCCTTAATGAGGTCGGCGAAATATCGATTTCCTTTCAGTTGTCTAGTATAAACAATTCTAAAAATATGAGGGCGGTGATAAATCACAAGTGTAGTATCGACTCATTATATCTGAGAGATTTTCGATAGGATTTATACGGCAAAATTTTGCGATGAGGTCATCATTTGGGGAGGATAAACAGACATATTTTGATTAAAAGTTTACCATACTTACGATAACCTTAAAACGTCTGTAAGATTTAAAAGGATTTTGTTTTACAGAATCAAATTAAATTGCAAATTTTGTTATACAATTTTCAGGTTTTTTTTCCAATAATCTAGATTCTTAGGTAAAAATTCTACACAGACTCGTACACTTCACGTGTTATGTTATTTTATACAATTTAAAACCCAATTACTATGTACAATTTTGAGATAATGTCATCTTTATTTGTTAATTTAATCATGCTGTTACTTGTCCATTCATTATTTTTGTATTTTTGGCGCGTTTATTGGAATTTGTTAGATGTTTTTTAAAGTGGATATATGAATCCATATACCACCCGTTTTAAATCGGACCATGACGTTTGTATGCCTCCTTCTAATCACTTGTAATACACTATTTTCTTTTCTTCTGTGCTTTCATCTTCAAAGGAAAAAGGTATAAAACATTGTTAAAAGAAATTAATTTTTGGTTTGTCTTACATTGGACCGATCCAAAGTAGGAAACTGAGCACAGGTCCAAAGTAAGCAACTTGTTCTTCAATATTTTAATCTCAACTTATTTTTGCATTATTCTTCCAAGACAAAAGGTAAATAGCAAATTCAAAAGTTACAGATCTTGGCTCCTATTTTCCACAGTAAGCTAATGTATCTAATATTGTTCAAGTCAGAACCCAAAAGGTGAAGTTGCAAGTTCTACTTACGGAAAAAACCATCAAGGTGCTATATCACTTATCTTGTGTTGTTTTACGTGTCTTTAGACTTTCAACTAGTATTGTGTTTTTAAAATATTTTAGGGCATTTAAATATGACCGTTTTACATAAAATTGTATAGTTTTTTAAATAAATCTTAAAAAAAAAACAAATAAATGAACAATACTCAGTATTACACAATATGTACTTATTTTGTTATAAGTTTATCAAAGAAAGTCTATTATTAACCCATGTACAGTTATGACCATTATAAAAATAATTAGTTGAACTTAATGTATCGCAATAACGCATATACAAAAAAAAACAAAATAATCAGTCAGTTTCTAATTTCTTCAGTTGGGTAAAATAATTTTCACGTTCTTTAAATTTATGAAAAAGCATATCAGGAAATCAATTATTTATCCTAAGCAGATTAACCAAAAACGAAAAGTACTCTTACCTTGCAGTTCTTTTAGAGACTTTTCTTCACCTCCATAATCCTCCGGCAGAATTTCTTTTCTGAATTTTTCAATTAAATCATCCGAATTTTCGCAAAAGTGTATCTGAAAGTTACTATTATAATTTTTAACACTTCGAAAATACCAAAAATTTCTAACTCGTGTTATTAGTTTAGGTTTTAGAACATCCCCATAGGTAATATTTTCGATCATACGAATTTCTTGTATATTCACCAATAAACGAATTCCATCGACAGGATCAACACTTTCAGCTATAAGTGGATCACATATTTTATACAAACCTACTCTGTACAGTTGTTTTGTCAGCTTTGGGAAAGGAACAAAATAACTAAAACTGGTTATATAAATTTTACACAGTAATTTTTAGAATAATTTGTTACGCAGCCGCTTTAACATTTTCCATGTAAGAAAGTTTCGGATGAATATTATCAGATATTTCTGGCAACCGAGAGCTTACGTTATAATAGTTTTCTATTTTTTCTTTGCTTTTTTCGACGCTTCCTTTGTTTAATATTAGAAAATTTAGGATTTTCTTTTCAGCTGCAAATAATAAAAATTTTGTTTGACGAGTTATTTACTACTGAGGCTTTATTTTTATCTTTAGCTGTTTTATTTAATTTAGCCGAACGAGTTTCGTACATTTTTAGTTTTAGCATCAATGTACCCAAAGAGTTTCTTTTTGCAATTTTGTATTGTCTTTCGGCAAAAGTAAATAATGTTCATTAAAAACCGGTGGGGACAAAATTTAATAAAGTCGGAAGTTCACGAGAGTGGTAAAATATAAAATTCAGAATTCAAGGACTAAGTTAATGCCTGCCGTAGAACGAATATGACTTAAGTCAACATAAACAAGCTAAAAAATAAAACATCACAAATATAATTAACTATTTAAGTTCAAAACGATAATGGTTTTACTCACAGTTGTATGCTAACCCATCACCTCTGGAAAGTGTGGTTGTTTCTTAGCCCATTCTTTAACTTTTCTAACATCTTCGTTAAACGAATCCATAGAAGAATAATTCAACAATTTCACAACGAGTTCTAAAACACCCTCATCTACTTCTAGTAAGTGTGCAGATCCCATTTTTAAGAACAGTGTTGTCTTGTTTGCTTCATGTCTTACTGAATTTAATTAGGCTAACTTGATATTGTTAATTTATTGACAGACCATGCAAAATGCGCGAAAGTGCAGTTATGAAACTTGACGCGCATTGACCTTGTTGCTTATTTTTGTTCATTACAAAGCTGAATGTTAAGGTCAGTAAATAAATTAGATTCGGAAAAAATCTATAGTGTTTACAAATGATAAAGATTTTCTTAGCTAGTTATCAAATCCTGATGTCGAAGTTTCAGTGGGTTTTTGTCTTCTAGACCCTGATTTAGTTCAGCGTCTGCGCCTTTTTTGTGGTTGTTCTGGATCATTTTGGCATCGGTCTTATTCGGTTAATGGTTTATTAGTTGTGGAAAAATATCTAATTTGTTATGCAAATTTTAACGAAGATTGGAATCGCTGATTGTGTAAAATCTACGTCTTTGCGATCGTGTTACCTAAAACCGGAAGATTGGAAGACAACAATGTATAAAATAATCAACTATTAGATGGTTTGTATTCATTTTATTGAACAAAATTATTATTAATCCATGTATAAAAGTATTAAAAAATACAAGCAGTTGAACTAGGTAAGTCATAAAAAGGTACATTTCAAAAATACACTAAATAATAATAATCAATCAATTTCTAATTTCTTAAAATTGCCAGGAAATCCAAACATTGTATCATTTTTAACTCTTTGAGGTTTCAAAGCCTGATCTATACGAAGCCTGTCTAGTTGTGTAAAATAATCCTCACGCTGTTTAAATTTTTCATGAAGCATTTCTGTAAATTAATTTATCGTAAGCAGTCAAACAAAAAATCAAAGTATTGTACCTTGCAATTCTTCAAGAGATTTTTCTTTGCCTCCATAACATATCGGAAGAACATCTTTTCCGATCTTTTCAAATAAAACATCCGAATTGCCACAAAAGTGTATCTGAAATTTACAATTATAATTTTTGGTGCTGCGAAAATACCAAAAATTACTAACTCGAGCCAATAGTTTAGGCTTTAGAATGCTCTTAAGAACAGCAACGAGTTTCTCTGTATAAGGGGGAGCGTTGATAATGTAGACAGCTTTGAGTCGATTTGAGAAAACTTGCTGCAATAGAAACTACAGAAGACGAAAATGTAGAGTTTAATATTTTACCTTGTATATAACAATCAGGGTCCTATAAATGATCATCGGTGTTGCCTTGAGCATCAATCGTAGAGTTGTATCTTTACCATCGAATATAAACACGTCTCCATAGGTAACATCTTCGGCCATACGAATTTCTTGGATATTCACCAACAAACGAACAAAATTGACATTATCAACTTTTTCAGCTAACTGTGCATCACGTATTTTATAGAAAAAGACTCTGTAATGTTCCTTTGTTAGCTTTGGAAGAGGAACGAAGAAGCTAAAACAGGTTGTCATAAACATTAAGGTGGTAATTTTTACAATGATTTGTTACACCGATGCCTTGACATTTTCCATATAAGAGAGTTTCGGATGAATATTATCAAATATTTCAGGTAATCGAGATCTTACAGTATAATAATTTTCTATTTTTTCCTTGCTTTTTTCAACGCTTCCTTTGTTTAATATGAGAAAATTTTGGATTTTCTTGTGAGCTGAAAAACATCAATCAAATAGTGGCTTTTCAGTTTTGTATTGCTTTATATATTATATATATTTTTATAAAATTAAAAAAAAAAGTCTAAATTTCGACATAATTTCAAATAGAATTTTAATAAAATATCTTGTATTTTTATATACTTCTAATACTATGGTCTACTAACCCATAACTTCTGGAAAATGCGGTTGTTTCATAATCCATTCTTTAACTTTTCTGACATCTTCATTAAACGAATCTATAGAAGAATAATTCAACAACTTCACTATCAGTTCTAAAACATCCTCATCGACTTCTAGTAAGTGTCTAGATCCCATTTTTTGAAACACTGCTCTCTTCTTAGGTCTGTGTCTTACTGAATAATTAGATCGAATATTGATGTTGTTAATCAACTGATAGGTCACACAAAACCCGTAAATGTGAAATTAGGGCCACTTTATACGCACTAACCTTGTTTTCCATAATTATTAATTACAAATGTTACATATAACTGAATGTTAAGGTCAGTAAATAAATAAGATTTGGAAAAAATCTATAATGCTTACAACTGATAAAGATTTTCTTAGTCATGTTCGAGGAAGAAAGTGTACATTTTGATTTTAAAATAATTATTAATCAATATTATCTATTATTGGAGGAACTATTAACGTCTGACCTTTTAAAATCAGTTGCTTTTATTGAGATGATTTTCATAAGTACTAAAACTAACAAGAATTAGTCAAAATAGACAATACGTTGTACATATCTGATACAGTGGAAAGGACTATTCATAGGAACAAGACTTTCGCTTAGTTATTTTAGTATTTTGAAGTTAATAATATGGCAATTCTGATACAACACCCTCAAAAACAAGTAACATTTTTTTAATAATACTTATTTGCGATTTGTGTCTGGAATCGTAAATCGTTGTCAGATCTGATATACCTTCTGTTTTTTTTTGGGACAAAAATATAGTAAGGAATATTTTTCTCTTTTTAGCTTAAGTTGGTAGGTATACATAAATACGTCTTTTCATGTTATCAAACACATTTTGTAATGTAGCAGGAAAAATGCGAGCACATTTGTGTCTTTCAGTTCTTCTATGGTGTATACCGTTTGTATTCACTTTGTGAGCATTTTATTGAACGTATCGATATAGTAATGCGAGACCCGCCACGAAAAAGAAAAAAAAAGAGTGCGTCGACCCAGGGAACCACAGAACGCGGCGAAGTCATTAGCTTTCTCTTAAAAAATAATAAAACCGAAAATATGTTGCATTTGTATTTTTTGACAAAATGATGATTACTAGAGAGATGCAAAAATAGTTCAAGGACGCGGTTATAAGTCCCACTCCTCATTATCATTGCCCCTCCAGTGTGGCGCGGCGAAATGCAAGATTTAACATATATATCATGCACCGACGTGCGAAGCGAAGCAATAACAGCGGACGCTGCTGACGGAAAGTGGTGGGAGGCGCCTGGCCTAAAACTGCATCTCCTTGATGATTACTGATGATGATTGGGTTAATTAAAGTAAATATCCATGTATTGTCAATTATTGTTTATTATAAAATATACTTTTTTTTATTTATTTGTCATATACAAATATCATAATTAATTATCATAATCTATCTATATAAATAAAAATGAATCGCCGAAATGCATGTACCCGCATAACTTCAGAACGACTGCACCAAATTGGATGGTTCTTTTTTTATGTGTTCCTTATTGTGAGGACAAGGTTTTTATATAAGAAAATTTATAAAAAAAAAACGAACAGCTAAAAAATAAAAAAAAAATAAAAATTTTGTATGGGAATCGCCACTTCGAATCAATTTCAATAGTTGGCGTTCCTGACGGACCTGTCGTCTAACTGACGTGTCATACAAAACTATTTCTTCCGTGCGATTGTGAAAAGTATATTGCATTTCAAATCGTTCTTTGTGTTTTCGTAAAAAAAAACGTCGTTTATTTTAGAAAAGTCTTGGTTAAAGTGAATTTAGTTACACATTGCGAAAGTTTCTTGTTAATTTTGATCTGCCATTATATATTCACTTTGTTGGTTTCGACAAAACCTCAACCTTTACCGTTATTCGAGGATTTAATTTGAAGTTTTCAATATTTTAAAATTCTCAAGACAAAATTTACAGATTTGATTGACTGTGAAAATAATTCTGTGTCGTTTTATGAAGTTCATTACAATGCCGAGAAGACGACAAGCTGACAGGTCCACGAAGTCAATCCGCAATGATTTACTTCATGGGTAATTCGGATACGGAAGTTGATCAGCGTTGTGCTCATAATCAACATAATAGTCAAACATTGAAACGAGACATTGGATGGTATGAATAAAACTGAGTAGATACTCATATTCGAAGTACGAAGTACCTACTTCATTATTACTCTTATATACCTGAGCATCTACTCTATGTACTGTGTACCTACTTGTAAACATTGTATCTCCCCGGACACAAATTGAACATCTACGCGTTTTGTGAGCATTTAATCTAAAAATGAGCATCGGCGTGGCAAATGACTATTTGTCCTTATAAATAATAAATAAAATGTAATATATTTTTGTTTCCTTAAGAATATAAAGTTAACAAAGTTAGTTGAGTTACAAAATTCTCTTTTGCTCCACGTTGGCCACCAACGAGCGATTTTCATGATTTTTGTAAAATTTTGCTGGTTTTGAATTTCAATTTTCTGTCCTCGATAGTTGATGTTCAGCAAGAACCACGGGAAGGTCTGGAGCAGATCTCGCTAGGAAAGGAGAGGGCTAGGATTTATTAATGAGGGATAGAACGTTATACAGTACAATACAACGGAAATACAATACAGGTACCTACAACCTAACTACAATACAGAATACAATACAATACAGATACAATTCAAATACAATACAACTGCAAAGTTAGTACCCAATACACCACCGGAAGAAATTGCACCAAAAATTGAGAATGTTGCAAAATGAAAACCCAAGCAAGCACACCGATGGAACTCGGAACGAAATCTATTCGTCGCAGCACTCACACGCCCAAGGGAGAACGCAGACGCATAAATCCAAGGTCGTCTTACCTCATTCTCAAAGAGCGATGCAACCCAGCGTCTAAGGGCCAACAGAACCCCCCCAGGCCGAAGCGTCTGACGACATGGAGAATTCAGACTTGGAACCAAAGAATGCACTGTTGCAAATATCCACTTTCCTTCGTGTTCATAGCACTTAACACAAAACATTTTCGCTAATATTTATTAACAATAAATTAGAAATTCGCCAACACGTACTACTTTTAACCCAAAACGGAGCTCCAGTGTTGCTGCTACCAGACCGGAATCAAAACTGAACAGAAAGGATCGAAAATGTGACCTTTTATCAGGTATCTCACGTGACAGTGACATCATCGTACGTCACGATGAGATTGCAAAAATTATTTTTCATATTTTAGATCAGATATTGTACATTTTCGGGGTTAATTTAACAATGTTTAAACAAACTAATTTGTTTTTGCTAACCTCGTGTTCTTAAAAAAATGGATTTCAGTTTAATTATCATATATTGATAGTTATCATATTTGAACATTATGAATTGTGTTAATTATGTTTAAATTTTGTTTAATTATGTTTAAATTTTACTTAATTATATCGCGAAAATGTATAGCTTTGACCCACCAACTTCAAAAATTTTTCCAAAATTTAAACAGTGTCGAATAAACGAATCATGGAATCCGATAAATTGAAACTGAAGTCGTACTTACCTTGTTTTCGGTCCTTTTCGGAAAAATATCCATTTTCGTTCGTGTTCACAGCACTAACACAACATATTTTCAGTAATATGTATTAATAATAAACTAGAAATTCACTAAAACGTTCCACTTTTACGCCAAAATGAAGTGACGATCTTGCCGCCATCAAACAGAAATTAATACTGAACACAAAGGACCGCAAAACCTGACCTTTATACAGGTAGCTCACGTGACATTGACGTCATCGTACGTCACGATGAGACTGTAAAAGTTATTTTTGATATTTTGGCCGGGAAAATGCACATTTTCAGGGATAATTTAACATTGTTTAAACAAATTGAATTGTTTTTAATAAATTCGGGTTTGTAGGAAAGCGAGTTTCGGTTTAATTATCGTATATTGATGCTCATGATATTTAAATATTATAAATGATATTAATTATGTTTAAAATTGATTTATCTATATCGTGAAAATGTATAGCTTTGATCAACCAATTTCAATCGTTCCGAAAGTCTTCCCACAATTTAAACATTGTCGAGTAAACGAATCACCGAACTCAATAAATTAAAACTGAAATCGTACTTACCCTGTTTTCTGTTCTTTTCGGAAAAATATCCATTTTCGTTCGTGTTCACAGCACTAACACAACATATTTTCCGCAATATTTATTAATAATAAAGTAGAAATTCGCTAAAACGCCCCACTTTTACGCCAAAACGACGCGACGATCTTGCCGCCATCAAACAGAAATTAATACTGAACACAAAGGACCGCGAAACGTGACCTTCGGACAGGTAGCTCAGGTGACAGTGACGGCATCGTACGTCACGATGAGATTGCAAAAATAATTTTTCATATTTTGACCGGGAAAATGCATATTTTCGGGGATAATTTAACAATGTTTAAACAAATTGATTTGTTTTTAATAATTTCGCTCCTTTAGGACAACGAGTTTCGGTTTAATTATCATATATATTTATGCTTATCATATTTAAACATTACAAGTGATATTAATTACCCAATACTAACTTATATTTTGGTGACTCGATTTTTGCCTTGATGGTTGAGTACTGTCACTGTTTTCCGTTTTTGTTGTATCAAGATGCTACTTGAGCATCAACTCTTACCTACTGAAGTATTGGCATCATCTAGAAAAACTAGAAATATTTTGATTTGATATTCGAGTAGACGGTACTTCGTATTTCGAGTATGAGCATCTACTGAGTTTTATCTATATCAACCATTGTCAAAAAATTGATCAAACGTTGTTTCGACACAACTTCCTTCGCACCAAAAGTATAATGAAACATATTCAGCATTTTCAAGTTGAGTCTTTTCTTCACACAATTTTGTGATTACCTAATTAACATTTAGGATCAACATGTATACCACCTTGGATTGGTGCAGTGTAATACTACAAATAACTGTATTGTATTCCCAAAATTATCTGCGAAAATCGAGTGAGCCATTCCATCAATTTTTTGGGGGGAATAAATAAATATTCTTAACAATTTACCATGCTTACAATAACTTTAAAACGTCTGCAAGATCTCAAAGTATTCATTTCTGCAACTCTTGAGTTATTCACTAAATTGACTGATCCAAATATTTTTTTGAGTCACTGTAAAAGCAAATCTAAAAAATATGAATGCAATGATAAATTACGAAAATATACTGATGATATTTTGCACATAAGATTTCTTCGGCAAAATCTTGAGATGACGTCATCAAGTCTTTGGGCTTGATATATTTTGATTAAAAACGTACCATGTCAAACAGTAACTTCAAAACGTCTGCAATATTTCAAAATTCAGTTTTGCAATTCTTGATTCAATCAATAAAATAAATTGACTCAGTGATTAATTTTTTTGAGACACTCCCTATAAGCAAAACTAAAAAATGTGAATGGAATGATAAATCGCAAGTATAGTCTCATCCTATTTTGGACATTTTAAAAAGGATTCATTTGGCAAAATTTTGACGTCATCAATTTTTTGGAGAAAGTAAATATTATTTTGAATAAAAATTTATTATGCTGATCATATGTTCAAAACAACTACAAGATTTCAAAGCATTCAGTTTTTCAGATTCAAAATTAAATTGTAGGTGAAACGAAGTTCACGGGGTCAGCTAGTATTGTATAAAAAAATTAAAGTACAATGTGTAATTTACCAACTAAAGTAACAAGTAAATATTTATATATGTTGGAGCAGTATTTATAATTTATTCGATTTAAAATACAAATTATTGTTCAATCATAGCGTTATCGCCTTCGGTATCTTTATCCCTATCATTTAATACAGTTATTAGTGGCCTATGTTGACTAAAATGAGGGATATAAGTATTAGTTCTTAAATGAGTAATAAAACGTGTGAAAACGGCATCCATTGTTGTGCCTAATTTAGTCGCTGGAACAGTCAAACGAACACATTTTATTAAGTAGTTGTAACATCGACCGTAGTGCCCTCTCGATCATGCCTTCGCTACTCTCGCGCTTACACTCCACTCGGCCCAACCTCGCTCGAATCGCTGGTTACTAATGCTATAGAGTTATCTGTGCATCACTTCTACATTCTGAGGGTCGTTGTGGTCTAGATACTCTTTGAATTTTGGCAGTGGGTGTCGGTTGTGTTTTCTTAGAGCATCCTGGGGGTCCTAAGAGACGGAATGAGTAGCACTCTCTGAGGTGTTTCATGTACATACTGTTTGATAGTTTATTTCTCTCTCTCTCTCTCTCTTTCTATAGCGCGGCGTTACATGCCGATGTTCCGATTCAGTTCAAACCGGTCTCGATGTCCTCGACACCGACACCAAGTTCAAGCTCGTAGCTCGTAGCTCGAACTCGACATCCTATTTCGGCGCGCGTCGTGTACGTGGTTTATAATATGAAAAGAAAGGAGTTAAAACGCCAAATAGAACGTGTGGCATGACTTGTTTCCCTTATACACTCGTTTTGTCAAAATTTTGAAGCTTTAGCCGCTACATTTAAGTGTCTAAACGAAATGAAATAAGTTAGAGATGTGATCTGGATTTGAACATATTATAACTTTTTACCATAACGAATTGTGGCTAAACCTACGTCTATAAAAAAATAGTTACAAATTTCTTGAAAATTTTAACACAAATGAGGTTCCATTGTTGCCAAGTTTACCAACATTCCATCATCACTCCCTGCCACTGGGTTCCACTACTACGATCTAGTAATTTAATCACATAGATCCAATTAATCTAGTTACAAAAATTAGGTTATATTGGCGTAAACGAACAAAGTTATTGGAAATACCTAAACATGTATAAATTGATAAATTGTCTTATCCAGTCTTTGTAAACAAAGTCATGCAAATAACACATTGTTGATACCTAATCTTTATTTAATAAATAATAACGGAAAATGAAACAAACAATAACAATTATTTTTCCAAAACAGTTACTGAAAGTAATAGTCGATGGTGATGATGATTTACAGGTCATCATGCAGTCATGCAAATAACACATTGTTGATACCTAATCTTTATTTAATAAATAATAACGGAAAATGAAACAAACAATAACAATTATTTTTCCAAAACAGTTACTGAAAGTAATAGTCGATGGTGATGATGATTTACAGGTACACTGCATTCCGTCTCTTCGTGTTACCAAAAATATGCAGATATTTTACACTGTTGCATTGGTTTTTAACTTTGATTATTAGTTCTTCAATAAATTAATACAGCGGCCCATCCAAGTAGAGAACTTCGTGCTCGTAAAGGAAGAGGTTATAATCCAAAGACGTGACGTCAGGTGACTAAATTTGAGTTCTATGCGGGTATAGACTAAGGTCTTGTCTTAAAATTCTCTGACCAGTTGGAAATACAGATCTGTTTCCAGTGATAATTGGGAGCCATTTTCTACATAAAATTTGCAATAATTTAGTGACGCTGTTTATTACTACAGTTTTCTAGATTTTTTATTGACAAATTTCGCGTTCTGTCCGATAATATATAGCTATATTAAGGAACTAAAGTGTATGAACTATATCATGAAAAATTATATATAAAAAAGTAAAAAATCTCAGTCAATTTCTAATTTCTTAAAATTGCCAGAAAGTCCAAACATTTCATCACTTTTAAGCCGTCGAGGTCTCAAATCTTCATTTATACGAAGTTTATCCAGCTGGGTAAAATAATCTTTATGTTCTTCAAATTTCTGATAAAGCATTTCTGTAAATTAATTCAGTGCAAGCTGGTTAACAAAAAACCAAAAGTACTCTTACCTTGGAGTTCTTCTAGAGATTTTTCTTTGCCTCCACAATCCACTGGCAGAATTTCTTTTCCGATTTTTTCCATTAGAACATCCGAATTTTCACAAAAGTGTATCTGAAATCTATAGTTATAATTTTTGATACTTGAGAAAACTTGCTGCAACAAATACTGCAGAAAACGAAAGGTTACTTTAATATTTTACCTTATAAACAACAATCAACGCCTTATAAATCATCACCATAGAGGTACAATTTTACCATCAAATATAAACACGTCCCCATAAGTAACGTCTTGGAACATACGAATTTCTTGTATGTTCACCAACAGACGAATACCATCAACAGGCTCTACATTTTCAGCTGAATGTACATCACGCATTTTACAGAAAAAGACTGTACAGTTCTTTAGTCAGCTTTGGAAGAGGAACAAAGTAACTAAAACCGGTTCTCGTAATTATTACGCTGTAACTGTTACAATATTTTTTACGCCGATGCCTTAACATTTTCTTTGTAGGAGAATTTCGGGTGAATATTGTCAAATACTTCTGGCAGCAGAGACCTTAGGTTATAATAGTTTTCAATTTTTGCCTTGCTTTTTTCCACGCTTCCTTTATTTAATATGAGGAAGTTTTCGATTTTCTTGTCAGCTGCAAGACATCAAAAGACAATAGGATCTGAAGCGAGTTTTTCACTGTCAAGGTATTTATTTTGTGGTTGCCTCTAGTTCTTTTATTTTATCTAAGCGGGTCTGTCATGTAACTTCTGTTTTAATTAACTCTTATACTTTTATGCAAAACAATCAACATACCAACAAAAAAATAGTCAGAACAAATCATTCGTGAGGGCTCAATTACGAGACAATCAAAATTTTTATTTAAAGTTTTGTTTACTGGTAAAGACACATGTACCAATAACGGGTGTGTAAACAGACATAACTCACATTACTATGCCCAGCAAAATCCCATTGGTATCAGGAAAAGCACTTCCAAAAAGATTTCAAAGTTAATGCTTGGTGTGGAATTGTTGGCAACTAAGTAATTGGTCCACATTTTTTGAAAGAAATTTAGGCGGACCTATTTTTTGTCAGCATAGATAATTTGTCATTGTGACAGATTCACAAATCATTGCGACATTATTTAAAAAGAAAATGCGTAAAATAGTTTTACTGCAACAAAAAATTGCAATAAGAAGATGTTTTTTGCAGTTTCGAAAAGACAGGCCCGATCTTTCTTTCGAAGAAGTAACTATGATGGTTTCGAACATATTTTCTGTAATGTAAAAATGCGCTGCAAAATATTTTTTAATTTTTTTTTCTCATAGGTGGGAACATCAACTGTGGCGAAAATTTTATCAACAGGGGACTAAAATTTAAAAACATCACTATCTGGCAAGCGAAAACCAACGGATTTATTTACAAATTATATGTTTCGGAAAGACCTGCAACGACAAATTTGGCAACTTAATGAAAACGAATATTTCACAGTAGATACTCTTTTGGCATATTCTAGGGAACAGTTGGAATTTAAAGGGGGGCGAACCACATTATACAAAATTCTTAAGTCAATGGGTTATGAACACAGGGAAGTAAATGGTCGCAAAATTCTATGTGTACAAAAACATGTCGTTGCAGCCAAAATTACTTTTTTGAGAACATATTTACAGTTTCTACATTCTTGTGAAAATTTGACTTTTCGTGTATTTAGATAAAACATAAATCTATCAAAATGGTTCGTCCATTCGTCGCTGGGTGCACGATACTGATCTAAAAAGCAATCCCGTCAAAATTAAAAGTGAAGGTACGAGGTTTACTATTCTCCACGCGGGTTGTTCAACGGGGTTCTTGGATGGTTGTAACAATTTTTTAAATTCAAAAAATAACGATAGAGACTATCATAACACGATGGACGGGACAATTTTTCAAAATTGGGTGGTTAATCAGCTCATTCCTGCTTTGGCAAAGTTGAACCAAAAATGTGTGGTGGTTTTAGACAATGCACCGTATCATTTGGTTCAATTGGTTAGACCACCCACTTTTTCTAGTAAAAAATGTGAAATGCAGGAATGGCTTTTTAAACATAGTGTTGAATTTGACAAAAAATCTTCGAAGAAACAGTGGTGGGATTTAATTAAACGCTTCAGAAATAATAGAAAAAAAAAAGATATTTGGTAGACGAGACATTAAGAGAAAGTGGCCATGTAGTTCTTAGATTACCTCCGTACCATTGTCAATATAATCCAATTGAAATGGCGTGGGGATTTTGTAAGAACTATTACAACAAGCATATACATTCTCAACCTTCATTAAAAAATAGGGTGGTGAATTTATGGCTTGAGGCGCTTTCTAAATGCACTCCAAGCATGTGGCAAAATTTTTGCAAACATTGTGAAAAACTTATTTTGGCAGATTGGGAAAAAATATGGGAAATCTTTCGTACGAATCTATTATACCTCCTTTCATTATTTCGCTAGGTGAATCTGATTCAGAATCTGAATTTGAAAATGACGGTGATGATACAGATTTTCATAGCGAAATAATGAAAATGGAGTGAATTGTAGCTTGTCGGGGGGTGATATTTTTAGGCATCTTTCGTTTTAAATTTACCAAGGTAGTATGTGAAAAACTACCTGACGTACAACAAAATAAGTATGATTTTAGTTAGATCATCCACGTTGTTACTTTGCACCAAATTTTAAGCATTTTCTTTTTTTTTGTAACTCTTCATGGACCTGGAGAAGGCGTATAGTAACGTTTTTATTAATAATCTTTTGGAAGTACTTAGTAAAAACAAATGAAAGATGAAATGATAAATGTGGCATGCGACAATAGTCGTAAATTCCCATTCATATAAAAACAATGTTTAAGTGAAATTTTAGTGGTTGTTCCTTACATATGAAATAAAAAATAAAGTTTTATGCTTTCTAAGAAATGGATACCGTTAACTTGGTCATTGCTACTGAAAACTGAAAGTATCGCCAACAATGTTTATATTTCTGGCATATTTTTTAACCTTTAATTTAATAAAACATAACCTAACGAAAAAAGTTCAGGGAATTTTTATTCTTCTGCATCGAATACCAACAAACTCCCTAGATTTTCATGGCCAACCCTACTATATAAAGATCGTGAACGGATAATACTACTAGAGAAGCAGAGTACGGAACCCTCATCTAACACCATTAGATTTTCTTTGAGGGAAGATGGAAAGTGACGTTTATAGTGTCCCAATCGAAAATAAACCACTTACGTAAAAGGATAATAGCGTTGTACAGATCTATAACTCCCGACATGTTAGATAGAGTTCGTAGAAATTTTGAACGTATAGGACTTTGCGAAGATAATGGAGGCAAAAAATTAAATTGGACGAAGTCGTCTTTGTGGTGTATAATATGTTGCCTATGCAAAAATTGTCAGACGTGAACCGATAAAATGAACACCTTGTACTTATAATAATATGGACTACTAACCCATCACTTCTGGAAAATGCGGTTGTTTCATCATCCATTGTCTAATTTTTCTAACATCCTCACTAAACGAATCCATAGAAGAATAATCTAACAGTTTCACTACAGTTTCCAAAACACTGTCATCCATTTCTAGCAAGCGTGTAGATACCATTGGTGAATACTTCTGTCCTTTTCAGTACGCTTATTACTGACACTAATCAAGAGATGTAACACCTGAATGCAAAATAGGCAATTTTATAAACACTGAACTTGTTTTTTAAACTTACTACTTGCAGTTCTAATAAATAACTAAAAAGGCGAATAATCTATAAGCGTGCGGGCCTTGAGATGCAGACAGCAAGGTCGGGAATTTAGGTTAACGATTCCTGTTTTAAAAATTTGCCACAAAGCTTACCGCCACCTTTGCAATAGATTTGCATGTATGGGGAACCCAAAGATCACCGATATTTTTATTGGCGAGAAAGTGATATCGCTTTTCCAGTCTGCCCAAGACAAGTAAACAAGTTTACTTGTTTTATTGTTGACTAGGTCGTGGCTAGATAATATGTTGGTTATTTAATAATGTGCCTATTAATAAGTATTTTTCTATCTCGCGTTCATGACCGAGGACTTACATTGAAAGCTCTAATACACTGACCAGCAAAAAACGGCCACCCTGAAAATTTTTGCAAAACCACTTTAAAAATTATTAATTTAACTAGTGATCGTTATTTTATTAAAGAACCATTCACTGTTGACACACATGTTGTAGATATATAGCACGACAAGTAGGAATATCTCAATTTTCCGTTTCAAAAATTTTGAGAGCGAATAAGTTACCAAGTGACGTTAGTACAAGATCTAAAAGAAGATGATTTCCTAGAAGAGTACAATGATTGCAATTTTATGCAACATCAACTAGACTTGGACAACAATTTTTTATTCAAAGTTTTGTTCAGCGATAAAGCAAGATTTCGCAATAACAGGGTTGTTAATTGGCACACAACTGTCACTATTACTCCCAAAATAACCCACACTGGATCAGAAGAGCTCAATTTCAAAATGTTTATTATAATACTCACCCTGTATATGCGCATATTGACATGTTTTTTTTCCGAATATAATTTCGAGCTTTACTCATGACTATAAGTTTCGTGTAGAGGTGTGCGATAATTACTTACATCAGTTTAATTATTTTGTAACTTTATAGTAAGCGCATTATGAATAAATTAATAGAAAACATAGAAACATATTAGAGATTGAAAGGTAGTTAAATGTTCTTGTAGTCTCTTTGGAGACTCTAAAATTATTTGCTCATCGCGTCTCAAGTCGTTTCAAAACGTCAAAATTTGCGGTTGATTATGAAAAAGGGAATGGTTTAAGGGCAGACTTAAACTCTTCCCAATGTTTTTTTTTGTTATTATTTTTAACAAAAGTAATATAAAACCCATAACAAAACACCATCAAAAATATAAGTAGTTGAACTAGTTGCATGCACGGTCTACACAAAATACAAACTAATACAATCAATCGATTTCTAATTTCTTAAAATTACCAGAAGGTCCAAACATTTCATCATTTTTTAACCTTTGAGGTTTTAAATCGTCATTTATACGAAGTGTATCTAGTCGTGTAAAATAATCATCATAGTCATTAAATTTTTGATAAAGCATTTCTGGAAATCAATTTACGGTAAACAAACCAACAAAAAATCAAAAGTACCCTTACCTTGCAGTTCTTTTAGAGACTTTCCTTCGCCTCCATAATCTACCGGCAGAATTTCTTTTCCGATTTTTTCAACTAAAACATCCGAATTTTCACAAAAGTGTATCTGAAATTTATAATTATTATTTCTGACACTTTGAAAGCACCAAAAATTACTAACTCGTTTCATTAGTTTAGGCTTTAGAATGCTCTTAAGAACAGCAACGAGTTTCTCTGTATAAGAAGGAGCATTGATAATATAAACAGCTTTTAGTCGATTTGAGAAAACTTGCTGCAATAAGAACTACAGAAAACGAAAACGAAGTTTAATATTTTTCCGGAAATCGTCATTGAAACAGCATTTCCTTGCGACATTAGGCGCAGGAAAATTGGATTTCCCTGACTAGTACTGTAAAAACTACAAAAATGACGCAAAATAATTAGTTATTTAAACAAGAAAAATTTATTCAAAATTTCGTAAATTACACTATTTACAGATATTAACATTAATTGTAGAATTCGATATATTTGCAATGTTAATTCCAGACAGAGATTTATGATCAAGTTTAACCTTTTTATCAAAAATTTCAGTCGAGATTTCGGTGCAACAGATTTCAGATGAATCACTACTTGTAGAGGGACACGTCTCGATATTAGTGAAGGGTCTTTTTTTCGGACCACCTTGTATTTTATTAGCTATATCTAATTTATTTTCGATGGACTCTTCTATGTATCCTTCTGCTACTGAACTGCTTTGCCATCCTCCATGCCTTTTTAAGTTGGTAATATCTCCTCCTGCGTCTACTAGTAAAGTCGCGGAACTGCGCCGCATACAATGTCCTGTGTATTCCAGAGGTGTTGGTAGACCAAGGTAGGTAGCAATTTGAGAAGGAAATTTACCAAATGAATGCAAGCCCACTGGTTGGACCGTACATTTCCCTTTCTTGTAATTTAAAAATAAGCGCTTGTGTGGAGTACTAGGCGGACGTAATTCCAAATAACGTCTGTATGTAGCAAGATTTCTTTCATCAACAACTACAAAGCGTCGAGGTTTTTTTGTTTTAGAATCAGGAATGTGTACTATTAGCACGTTATTTTGATCTTCAATGTCGTCAACTAACATCCTTGATAATTCGTCGCATCGACAGGCTCCAGACACCCCAAAAATAAGCGCCACCTGAAATTACCAAATTTAATAAAACTTAAATATGTAATCATTGTAATAACTTACTTTCATTAATAAAAATTCCTTGTCGGGAGCTTCAAGCAGAAATTTATCTATCTGGTCCCGAGACAAACATTTCGATTTTTTTGGTTGGTAACCAGTCGATTTTCGTTTTAGGTAAGCAGTTACCTTACAAAACTTGCTGATATCCAAATTTTCCTTCAACAAAAGCACGGCTTTCAACATAAGCAAAATAAGCCAGAAATACGTCTTCCGTTAGCGAAGTAACATTTTTAAGCCTGCGCCAATCTTCAAAGATTTGGAACTGCTTTTCATACCGCTCCTTAGATTTCGACGGTAACAATTCTTCTGTAGCAGCAGCGGCTGCTTTGCTTAGGTCAAAAGGAACATCCTCACCAGTGTTTTCGCTTGTATTCATAATTAATTAATGAAATAAACACACAGCTCTGACGTACGCACAAAATTTTATAATTGTTTTGTTTGTAACCATCGTTTTCAAGAAATTGACAAACTAGATTTTTGCGCAATTAATTAAAAAACTTGTTGGAAAATCTCGATTTTTAGCGATTTATTGCGATTTCCGAAAAAATTTAATACAAAACTCGTCAGTAAAATGTGTTATTTGACTCGGAGCTTTAAAATACTCGGCACAAAGTGCCTCGTATTTCAACATAACTCCTCTTCAGTAATGAGACATTTTCCTGACTTTTATGTAAATATCTATTACCTTGTATATAACAATCATCGCATTATAAATGAGTACCGGTGTTACCTTGAGCATCAATCGCAGAGTTGAATTTTTACCATCAAATACATACACGTCTCCATACGTAACATCTTCGATCATTTGAAGTTCTTTTACGTTTATCACCAAACGAAGAATGTTGACAACCTCAACATTTTCAGCTACATGTATATCACGTGTTTTATAGAAAAAGACTCTGTAATGTTCTTTTGTCAGCTTTGGAAGAGGAACATAGAAGCTAAAATTGATCATCATAAATATTAACATGGTAATTTTTACAATGATTTATTACATCGACGCCTTGACTTTTTCCATGTAAGGCAGTTTCGGATGAATATTATCAAATATTTCGGGTAACAGAGATCTTACGTTGTAATAATTTTCTATTTTTTCTTTGCTTTTTTCAACACTTCCTTTGTTTAAGATGAGAAAGTTTTCGATTTTTTGTCAGCTGAAAACATCAAAAGAAAGCATGTTTGACACATTTTTGGTTTTAGTTAGATAGTTTTTTTTACAGTTTTGTTTTGCCTTGAGGCAAAAGTAAAAAATGTCAAAAAACGGCCAGGACAAATTTTTATAATTCCACTCTGGAAAAATTTGAAACAGTTTTAGAGGGACGATTTACAAACTAAACCATTGTATAGCTATACTTATAATTCTATGGTCCACTAACCCATCATTTCTGGAAAATGCGGCTGTTTCTTAATCCATTCTTGAATTTTTCTCACATCTTCATTAAACGAATCTATCGAAGAATAATTCAACAATTTCACAACGAGTTCTAAAACATTCTCATCCACTTTTAATAAGTGTGTATTACATTCCATTTTTAAGAACACTGCTTTCTTCTTGGTTCCGGATCTTACTGAATTAAATTAAGCCAAGCTGATAATATTAATTTATTACAAGGTCATTCAAAATGCGCGAATATGCAGTTAAGAAACTTTACGCGCATTGACCTTGCTTCTTATTTTTATTCATCACTAAGCTGAGTGTTAAGATCAGTAAATAGATATAATTCAGAAAAAAAACTATAAAATTGTTACTGCATGTTTCATCACGTCTCTAAGTTGTTCTTTTTTGGATCATTTTCAAAAGTACTTCTTATTTCTAAAACAAGATTATAATTTTTAATAAATTGTTCCAAAAACAACACACAAAAACGCTGAGGTTCATATAAATTATCATAGCAGCATTAGTGTTTTTATTTAAATTGTTAAATAATGTAATCGATTGTAGTGAGTTGCTCGGTTGTTTAAATTTTTATGTTCCCAGGTTTAGCTGTAGAACGGCAGTCACGTTATATTGCAACACACCTAAAACGAACCGTGGTAGAAAAGATCCCATTTATATTGTGAACTATTATTTGAACAAATTTGAGAAAAATAATCCGGCAGATATTTTTAGCTTCAAATTATCTCACTTCAAGCGTAGTCTAACTGAAAAATTTAATTAAATTAATTTGTTAATTAGGTAGAGATATATAAGACCAGAATGTGATTGTTATGTTTTTATGTTTAAGTTAATTTAGTTGAAATTATTTCTTTTGTTAATTTAAGCGTTTTTGGTTTCTTCTTTTTTTTTGTATTGTCCAGTAATTGTTTCTGTTGGGCAATAAATTTATTTATTATTTTTATTATTATTATTAAAAATTACTTCAAAAGCACACAGAAATTAATTCCCCTGATAGTCCAAAATTACGTCCAAAGGAAAGGACTTAGGAACTCTCAAAAGACATAAAGACATGAGAAAAATAGAGTCACGTAAACTGAGCGAAATGAGTGTCCAAAATCTAAAGATAGGGGCACGTGGAAAAATAAGAAATCTTTTTAGGAATTATTGTTAAATTAAAGTATAGTAATACAACAATGTATTTTATAGTAGTCTTAATTTACACGACTAACTACACAGCGAAAAATTCGGTCCAATAATCAGTTCACAATCTGGGCGACTTGACTCGGATGGTGGGCTCGATAAAAACTAGACTAGTCGTTCCCGGATGTAGTCCCTATTTAAATAGCCACGCGCTCCTTTCTGGAGATTTCGCGATCGGGGTTGTTCTGGAATGTCCATCGCGACTTCAGCTTCTATATGAACGCCGCCGTCATCGATGATGAGTCATCGGTCTACGCCGTACATACTAGAAAAAGTTTATATAAATTGTATACTTAATTAAACAAATCTAAAAAGCGAACAAACAAAAGAAATTTAAGAAATCCCTAAAAAAGCGGATTTGTATTTAGAAAAACCCTTTTCTACAGAAACTTTTCTTGTATTAATTGTACAAGAGGTGGATGAGTTTTAATAGGAATTAATCCTTCCTTTACTTCATGTCAGCTCGACATTTCTAATTTAGGTTTCGATTCCGTGGCAATGAGTGGTCAAAATTAACTCTTGCTTCCAAAATTGGTGTGGTTGCATATGTACCTCCTAGTCCAAAAACATGTGTGGAAGACATTGATGTATGTTTTGAACACTTAATACCTCTTTGCTTAACTCTCGAAGGGGACGTAGTCATCCCAGGTGATTTTAATATTCCGGCATACCCAGACTCCTTAATGGATCAAATAGGTAGTGATGGAAGGTTAAAGCTCGTTTTGAATTTCTTAGAGATGAGTGGCTATCGTCAATATAACTTCGTACGGAATTCTAATTTGCAACTATTAGATTTAATTTTGTCTAACATTGAATGCAGAGTAACAAAAGCTACTGATGTTTTACTTGATGAAGATCATCATCATCCCAGTCTTGAGATATTTATAACACACAAATTATCATCTAAAGAAAAAAAAATATGTAACGACAACTTTAGATCTTACAGTTTTCGACAAGTAGACTTTGTCCTCTTATATGACATGTTGTTAAACGTTGATTGGTCGTTTCTAAAAGATCTTACGGACTCTAATAAGGCAACATTGCAGTTATATTTTCCACTAGATAAAATCTTTCAAGTTTGTCTTCCTATGACAAAGCGTTTCAATAAAAGACAATATATATAAAACAAATGCTAAAGCTAAAATGGAAACTTTGGTTGAAATATCTTTGGTTTAAGAATTCTACGGTATACTCCAAATTCAAGATTTTAAACAAAAAATGCATCTAGTGTACATTTAGAAAAACTGAAAGTAATATATAGTCTGATCCAACACAATTCTGGTCCTTTGTTCACAGGTTGAGATCTCAAAATGTTATACCAGGAGTGATGACTTATGATTCAAAAGAGTTAAATGATCCGTTATCTATTGTCAACTCTTTCGCAAAGTTTTTTAAACAGCAATATATTCAATCTCAAGCTCCTGCTGTGCCAGACTGTATTCCAGCTTTTATTCTGAGACATTGCGCTAATATTTTCAAATCTTCACTCATGCTTATTTTTAACATGAGGGTCTCAACTCTGGTGTGTACACCTCACTGTGGAAACAGTCCAATATATAAAAAGAGGGATAAAAAACAAATTGAAAATTATCGTCCTATCGCTTTTTTGTGCAATTTTTCCAAGGTGTTCGAGATCTTGCTACACAAGAGTATTATGCGTCATGTTCAGTCTTACATCTCACCACTGCAACATGGTTTTGTTAAGGGTCGTTCCACTAAAACCAACTTGTGTTTGTTTACACAATTTTTATCAGACACAATTGACACCGGCCACCAGGTAGATACAGTGTACACCGATTTTTCAAGAGCATTCGATAGGATTGATCATTTCAAGTTAATTAACAAATTAAATTCTTTTGGTTTATGCGATCGTCTATTAGACTTGATGAAGTCGTATATTTTTGGTAGAACGCAGTTTGTGATCTGTAAAGGATTTAAATCAGTTGAAATAAATACAACATCAGGCGTTCCTCAAGGATCAGTTCTTGGACCTCTTTTGTTTATCCTTTTTATTAATGACATAACATCATTAGAAAGTCGTTGTTTACTATATGCCGACGACTTAAAAATATTTAGAGTAATAAGAAGCGTGGACGACTGTCTCAAATTGCAAAATGACCTACACAGGTTATTAGTTTGGTGTTTGGGAATCGGTCTTTTATTGAATATCGGTAAGTGTGGCGTGATAACATTTTCTTTGAAGCATATACTCCTCTTATTTGATTACATGATTGACGATGTAGTATTACAGCGATAATTTGACGTTGTCAAGGATTTAGGAGTGATATTTGACAAGAAATTGTCATTCAACAATCATGTAGAAACCATGATCATGTCAGCTTCGAAATCTCTCGGCTTTGTCTTACGCAGTGGTCGCAATTTTCGTAGCAGTGAAACATTATCAACATTGTATTTCGCGTTTGTGAGAACTAAATTAGAGTATGCGTGTAATATATGGGCCCCAGGATATATAATATATGTTAACATGATAGAAAAAGTTCAAAGAAAATTTTTACATTATAAGAAATTTGGTTTCTACCCTCCAAGAGGCTTTCCTGAAGAAGAATTCTTACAAACCTTTTCCATTAATAGTCTACAGGAAAGACGTTTATATTTTTCGTTCATATTCTTATACAAAATTGTCTCTGGAAATATCGATTGCCAAGATTTATTGAAATGTATAAATTTGTTAGTTCCAAGGGTAAATGCTCGTAGATATGGCACATTTTACATTTTTGCAGCTCGCACTAATGTGCGTAAATTTTCTCCAATTTATACTATTTGCGAAAATTACAACAGAAACCAAAATATGTTCGACATCTTTAATACCACTTCAAAAAAAATTAAAAATGTATGCTTGTTACAGGCTGAATGATGGTGTTAAATTTAAGTTAGTTTTAATGTTAAATACATACATGTGTTCGTAAAAAAATCGGTGGGGACAAATTTTAATAAACCCAATTTGATAAAGTCGGAAATTCGAATCACTTATAAAGTATATTTAGAAATTCAGAAAAAAATAACTACGTTTTCCAAACGGAGTCACCCCATTTTAGTAAGTAAATAAAACTAATAAGTCAGTTCTTCCCGCAGACCGAATATGACTTGAATTATAATAATAATAGTATGGTCTACTAAGCCAACACTTCTGGAAAATGCGGTTGTTTCTTAATCCATTCTTTAACTTAATTATTCTTCATTAAACGAATCAATAGAAGAATAATTCAACAGTTTCACAACGAGTTCTAAAACATCTTTATCTACTTCTAATAAGTGTTTAATCACATTTCTAGGAACACTGTTTCTTCTTTGGTCCGTGTCTTACTGGATTAAATTAGACCAAAGATGATGTTATTAATTTCTTGACGAGAGGCCACGCAAAATGCGTGAATGTAAAATTAACAAATTTTACTCGCATGACCTTCTTTCCTATAATTCTTAATTAGATACAAATGTTATAGTTAGTGATTGTTTATGTTAGTATAAATAAATAAAATATACATTGGACCTAGTTGATATTACACAACTGTGCAAAAATTTAAATGTTAAAAACCTGTTATGCATTTTTTATGTACTCCTAATTGCGAATTTTTGAACTTTTTTTAGCAATCAAGTGTATTTAAAAAAAATACATAAACTAAAATTTAAGAAATGCACGATAATGAATGTGAAACTTTAGATGTGTTGACCTTGTTTTCTATCATTTTTAATTAGATAGAAATGTTATAGCTGAGTCAGTAAATACGTAAGATTCGGAAAAATCTAAAATGCGATAGAGATTTTCTTGTCGAGCTATAATTTTTAAGTCATTCCACCATATTGAGTGCACTACTATTTATGAATTAGCAAAAAACAATAATTGTGCACATTTGGTGCAGTGAGAAGGATACATCCTTAGGGAGGTTGGCGAAAGAACAAATAGAAAACATGAAATATCGATATTCGAAGATTCTAATAATGAAATAAAAAACATAATAATATGCACTAATGAAATACAGGATGTCGTGGTTTGAAAAACTGAAATATCATTATTTGAAGATTCTAATAAATAAATAATGTTTTATAAACACTCTGTATAAATAAGGCTCAACTTTACTTTTAATACACCAAAGTGCGAACCATTCTTTATCTCCCCCCAGATATAGTACTTCAAATTTAAAAAATTATTGTGTTTTTTTTGTGAAAATTTTCCCTGAAAAAAAATTGAACGCGTCTAGGTATCCAGTGGCTCATATACCTACTGTTCACATATTGAATTAAAAAAAATAATAGTAACAAGTGGTCACTCAACTGACCACAGCGTCCTCGTTTCACGTATTCTGATAAAACTGAATTCGATACGCTGTTTTTTTTACGATTCTGAGAATAATAAAAAAGCAAACGGTGAGTTGCTTTGGCTATTATATTAGTAAGCATTCTGTTCTTCACACAGTAGAGTGAAAACTTAGTAGGTGCCGACTAGACATCAAAATTTAAATGTGACAGTTTTAGTTCCATATATTTGATGAAGGTAAGTCACTTTTGTAAATTTTTTTGTAACTCTGATATAAACAATATATTACCTAAAATTACATTTTTATGATTCTAAAACTACAACAATTTCAAAAAATCAGCAATATTAAACATTCAGTTTTGCGCAAAGAAGATATTGAAAAAATACGTATATCTGAAACCTGGATTTTATTGCAGTAAAATGGATGCGTTGCGTGAACGACTAAAAACGTTTGTAATTTGGAAAATTTAACATCCGATGATGTTTTTGATCTATTAGATGGTATTACTGATAATCAAGCAATAGACTCTGACAACAGTGGTGATACTGAAGTCGAAGACGGTATGGTCATCCACACTTCGTTCTCTGAAAGCACTTGTAATGGTTAGGGCTACAAGATACGCATCTCCATCCAGTTCGACATCGTCTACGGAGAAACGATTGGAAAATACTACTAATACAATAGATTTTGAGGATAGTGATGACACATTATTTGATCCCACGTACAATGTTGAACCTTCTACTACGTCAAAAGATGCAGAAATTTCTTCACATGAAAATGAATATGATCAAAATGAAAATGATATAAATGAAAACAGAAATGTGTTAGCTGGAAAGTTTCATTATTCATTCAAAAAAACTCGTTGTCAAACCAAACATTACATGGAATCAAATTATAGGGAACCGTTTGGATCATCCTTTCAAACAAAAATCGACGATCCTTTGAGTATTTTCAAGGAACATTTGGATAATGACGTATTGCAACAAATAGTACTCGAATCAAACAAATACGCATCTCAAAACTGGAATCAGCTCAATCTCACCATTGAAGAACTACAGGCGTTTTTTGGAATACTTATTTTTACGGGTTTCCATGAACTGCCAAGTATTAAGTTGTACTGGTCTTCACATCGTAATTTCCGTGTTGAAAGAATTGCAAATATAATTACACAAAAAAGATTTTTTAAAAATTGTACGATTTTTACATTTGAATGACAATCTAAAAATGACTACTAATAGAGGTGATCCGAACTTTGATAGACTTTACAAATTGAGGCCATTGATAAAACGTATAAATGAAACATTTCAGAGATTATTTGGACCATCAAGAAATCTGGCAGTAGACGAAAGCATGGTAGCTTATAAAGGCAGATCGGTTTTGAAACAATATGACGATGAAACCCATAAAAAGGGGTTTCAAAGTTTGGGTTTTGGCAGATTCATCCACTGGTTATATGCTAAGTTTTAAAATATACGAAGGAAAAGTAAAGAAGAAACAAAGTGGAACACCTGGAAAAAGAACTGTCCTAGATCTTGTACAGAACTACTATAATAAAGGCTATTGTGTGCATTTTGACAATTTCTTTAGTACATTTAATCTGTTGTCAAGTTTATTGGAAAATAACACATACAGCTGTGGAACTTTTAGAGAAAATAGGCAACATTACCCTAAGAAATTTTTGAAAAAAGATAAAAATATGAAGGTGGGTGATAGTGACTTGCTACTTCGGGGGATATTTCAGTTTGTAAATGGAAATATAGAGGAAAGAAATCAGTAATTATTGTCAGTTCTTTACATGATCCAGCTGTTTTGACAACTGTGTCTAGAACAAATAAAGAAGGTAAAAAAGATACCGTAAATTGTCCACAACCAATTCGAGACTACAATCAGTATATGGGGGGAGTCGACAAATTTGTCCAAACCTTGTCATACTACAATGTCTCATGGAAGAGCCGCCGTTGGTGGATGAGAATATTTTACTACTTACTAGATGCAGTGATTGTGAACAGTTTTATCTGTTTGAAACTGACAAATCCAGAAAGAAAGGAATGAGTCAACTTTCCTCTCGAAGTGCTTTAGCTAATAAAAGACTACAGTTCTCGACAAAAACAAGGACCTAAAGACAACTCGGTGAGGCTTGTAAACGTAGGAGTCCATTTGCCTATAAAAGGAACTGTCCGAAGATGTGCTGGGTGTAGCACAAGAGCAAAACCGGTACCTTCGACAACATCATGCCAAGAATGTGGTGTCGCATTATGTATAGAATGTTTTATTCCATTTCATAAACAAATTTTAAGTTAGTTATAGACTTATATACTTAATTTTTAAACCATTTTCCTAGTTAAAATAAATAAAATATGATGTTACTCTGATGTGGTCAAATTTTTAACCACAGCTCAGAGACACTTTTCTCCTACAAAAAGGTTCAGTAAGTTTTGTAAAAAAATATTTTTTTTATTATTTTTTTAGTGACTTATACACTTTACTGACATGATATAAATTATAACAAAAAAACCATGGCCATTCGGCCGGTGGACTCGATTAGCTTACGCTCGGGAAGTAAAAACTACGTTGTCTGTTACTTCTGAAAAATAGAACACTATGTGTGAGTTAAAATAATATGAGAGTATAGTCCTCAAAGAACGGCACAACTTCCCTCTTTAAATTTTTTCTATTTCTGATAATTAATTAGTGACGCACCCTGTAGAAATACAGGGTGAGTCACTAAGAAAAAATATGAGGGTGGTGATAAATCGCAAGTATAGTATCGACTCATCATATCTGGCACATTTTCGATAGAATTTATTCGGCAAAATTTTGCGATGACGTCATCATTTGGGGAGGATAAACAGATATGTTTTGATTAAAAATTTACCATACTTACGATAACGTTAATACGTCTGCAAGATTTAAAAGGATTTTGTTTTACAGAATCAAATTAAATTGCAAAATGTTATACAATTTTCAGTTTGTTTTCCAAAAATCTCGATCCTACACAGACAATTTTGAGATAATGTCATCTTTACCTGTTAATTTAAACATGCTCTTACATGTCCTTTCATTATATTTTTATCATTGGCGCGTTTATTGGAATTTGTTAGATGTTTTTTGAAAGTGGATTTAGGAATCCCAAATTGTCGAGCAAATCCTATACCACCCATTTTAAATGGGACCATGACGTTTGCTAGGTCTCCTTCTACTCACTTGTAATACACTCTTTTCTTTTCTTCTGTACTTTCATCTTCAAAGGAAAAAGGTATGAAAGCATTGTTAAAAGAAATTAATTTTTCGTTTGTCTTACATTGGACCGGTCCAAAGTAGGAAACTGAGCACAAGTTCAAATAAAACGACTTGTTCTTCAATATTTTAATCTCAACTTATTTTTGCATTATTCTTCCAAGACAAAATAAATAGCAAATTCAAAAGTTACAGATCTCGGCGCCTATTTTCCTGAATAAGCTAATATATCTACTATTGTTCAAGTCAGGTCCGAAAGGTGAAGTTGCAAGTTCTACTTGCGGAAAAAACCTGGTGGACAATCAAGGTGCTATCACTTATCTTGTATTGTTTTATGCGTTTTTAGACTTTCAACTAGTGTGTCTTTAAAATTTTTTAGTGCATTTAAATATGACCGTTTTATATAAAATTGTATAGTTATTTAAATAGATCTGAAAAAAGAACAAACAAATAAACAATACTCAAGTATTATACAATCTGTATTTAATTTGTAATAGTTTTATCAACAAAAAGTTGAACTTAATGTATCGCAATAACGCATATACTTACAAAAAAAAACTAATAATAATCAGTCAATTTCTAATTTCTTAAAATTACCAGAAAGTCCAAACATTTCATTATTTTTAAGCCTCTGAGGTTTCAAATCGTCATTTATAGGAAGTTTATCCAGTTGGGTAAAATAATCTTCAGGTTCTTTAAATTTATGAAAAAGCGTATCTGCAAATTAATTATTTATCGTAACCAGATCAACCAGAAACCAAAAGTACTCTTACTTTGCAGTTCTTTTAGAGACATTTCTTCACCACCATAATCCTCCGACAGAATTTCTTTTCCGATTTTTTCAATTAAATCATCCGAATTTTCGCAAAAGTGTATCTGAAAGTTACTATTTTACTTTTTGACACTTCGAAAATACCAAAAATTTCTAACTCGTGTGTTATTAGTTTAGGTTTTAGAACGCTCTTAAGGAAATCAACCAACTTTTCTACATAATAGGGAGCATTGATCAGGTAAACGGCTTTCAGTCGGTTTGAGAAAACTTGCTGTAACACAAAAATTCTACATAAAGAATGTGGGGTTTTATATTGCACCTTGTATATAACCACCATCGCTTCGTAAAGCACCATCGGTGTCACCTTGAGTATCCACGTTAGAGGTACATTTTTACCATCAAATATGAACACGTCCCCATAGATAATATCTTCCATCATACGAATTTCTTGTATGTTCACTAATAAACGGATACCATCGACAGGATCAACATTTTCAGCTATATGTGGATCACGTATTTTATAAAAACCGACTCTGTACAGTTGTTTTGTCAGCTTTGAGAGAGGAACAAAATAACTAAAAGGAGTTATATCAATTTTACGCAGTAATTTTTACAATGATTTGTTACGCAGCCGCTTTAACATTTTCCATATAAAAGAGTTTCAGATGAATATTGTCAAATATTTCTGGCAACCGAGACCTTACGTTGTAATAGTTTTCTATTTTTTCCTTGCTTTTTTCGACGCTTCCTTTGTTTAATATGAGAAAATTTTGGATTTTCTTCTCAGCTGCAAAAAATAAAAAAGTGACAATACGATCTGTTTTTTCCGTTTTTCGTGAAAGAGTTTGATGAGTTATTTACTACTGAAGATTTACTTTTAGGCGTCTTTAGCCGAACGAGTTTTGCACATTTTTAGTTTTAATATCAGTATACCCAAATAGTTTCTTTCTGCAGTTTTGTATTGCCTTTCGGCAAAAGTAAATAATGTTCATAAAAAACCGGTGGGGACAAATTTTAATAAAGTCGGAAGTTCAAGGGAGTGGTAAAATATAAAATTCAGAATTCAAGAACTAAGTTAGTCCCTCCCGTAGAGCGATATGACTTAAGTCAACATAAACAAGCTATAAACTAAAACATCACAAATATAATTAACTATTTAAGTTCAAAGCGGTAATGGTTTTAGTTGCAGTTGTATACTAACCCATCACCTCTGGAAAGTGTGGTTGTTTCTTAATCCATTCTTTCACTTTTCTAACATCTTCATTAAACGAATCCATAGAAGAATAATTCAACAATTTCACAACGAGTTCTAAAACACACTCATCTACTTCTAGTAAGTGTGCAGATTCCATTTTTAAGAACACTCCTTTTTTGTTTGGTTCATGTCTTACTGAATTTAATTAGGCTAACTTGATATTGTTAATTTATTCAAAGACCATGCAAAATGCGCGAAAGTGCAGTTATCAAACTTGACGCGCATTGACCTTGTTGCTTAGTTTTGCTCATAACAAAGCTAAATATTAAGGTAAGTAAATAAATAAGACTCGGAAAAAATCTATAATGCTTACAAATGATTAAATAGTTATAATTTTTAAGTTATGGGTAATGTCACTGTATTAAAGCATATAAGGAATGTTCGAGAAAGAAAATACACATTTTTATGGTAAATAAATAGTAACAGAATCTCCTTGACAACAAAGTCACAGCCGGATAAATTTTTATCTATGAATTAATTAATTAATGATAAATTATTGTTTTTTTATTTTTTCAGGAAACATAAAAGTTTGTATGTACTACGACATAACTTGATGTTTATGTACCAAGTGGTACATAAATAACTATTAAGATATAGAACTGCAAATTGTAGCAAAACTAATCAATAAACGAATAAACAAAACTAATCATCAAGGCAAAACTTAACAAAAAGAATTATTGAAAAAGAACACATTGTTGCAATACCTATAAACATGCGGCAGCGGCTTCATGGTGTCTACAACCACTTCATCGTCACTAACATCGACCTTTCCTTCTTCAACCAAAATCTTCTTTTTTGATTTTCTTTCTTGCCGTTTCTTCTACTTTGCTTTTCAATTCATTAATGTTTAGCGTGGAATTTATATGTCTATTCTTCTTCTTGAGAACATAAAGGCTTGAGGCACAAACGCGCCTATGGCATTCATACAGCATATCATAGTGAAGTGCGGTCCTCGTTCAGCACCAGATACCGCTTCAACTTTGTTTCGTCAGTAACAAGCGTACTGAAAGGGAAAGAAATGTTATGGTGAAACTGTCAAATTATTCTCCTATGGATGAAATACAGCCTTCATTCCGCTTTCAGCAAATTTTTCCAAGTCTATCTTTCTTCAAAATTCACCAGAAATTCGTACAGCGATTTGCGTTGGGGAAAAATCGTGGATCGTGGATGATAGCACGACCGAAGGAATCTCACGACTCGACTGAATTTTGTTTCCTGCGCTTGCGTTTTTACAGGAATTTTGGCCCATTTATTTTGTCTCCCGTGATAAAAGAGCGCAATAAAGCGATCTAATGCTTTCCCGAGTATTTGCCTTGGACGGTATTTCCCGATTTTGTAAAGTCTAGTTTCGTCCAGCATAGGGTTTCTTCTCCGACAGATTTAAGCGTTATTCGGTTCCCATGTCGCCATCTCTGTTAGTAAAGCGAGTGTCTTTTGGTCTGTTTTTCTTGAGATTTCTGCGTCTGGGTTTCGGCCACGACTGCTTTAGTTTGGGTACGAATTTTAAAGAAAATAATTGTGATTGACGGTTTTTATGGATGTACGGTTCTGCGCATGTTGTTTGCAATGTCTGACAAGCGCAATGATATTGAATATTTGCGAATTTGCGAAAGAGATCTGTGTCCTTGGAATTGCGTTAACCTATGTTCTATGAAATTTTAGAATAGGTACTGCGTTTAATTAAAACGCGTTTTGCACTTGTTATACTAATATCTTAACCAGAAGATTTGCTTTCTCTGAACCAGCTATTGAACTCTAGCAAATTTTACCATTGGTTTTTATAGTATTGTTCATATGTTTTCTACACATTCATTTTGTGGACATTTTATTGAAAAAAACTAACAAAACTATTGTTAAACACTGTTAAAAAAAGTAATTAAACTATGTGTGTCATAAAAGGGTATGTCCAAATAATAGACTAATTAATAATCAATCAATTTCCAAGTTCTTAAAATTGCCAGGTAATCCATACATTTCATCATTTTTCAGAGTCTGAGGTTTCAAAGCTCGATTTATACGAAGTTTGTCCAGTTGAGTAAAATAATCTTCACGCTCCTTAAATTTTTGATGAAGCTTTTCTGCAAAATAATTTATGATAACCAAGCTAACAAATAAACAAAAGCACTCTTACCCTGCAATTCTTCTAGAGAATTTTCTTTGCCTCCATAATCTATTGGAAGAACTTCACTCCCGATTTTTTCTACTAAAACATCCGAATTTTCACAAAAGTATATCTGGAATTTACAATTATTATAATTTTTGACACTTGAAAAACACGAAAAATTACTCACACGTTCCATTAGTTTAGGTTTTAGAATACTCTTAAGAATAGCGAGAAGCTTTTCTGTAAAGGAGGGGGCATTGATAAGGTAAACAGCTTTTAGTCGATTTGAGAACACTTGCTGAAACAAAAAAACAAAAACTACAGAAAACAAAAGTGTAGCTTAAAATTTTACCTTGTATATAACAATCAACGCCTTATAAATCATGACCGGTGTGGCTTTGAGCATGAATCGTAGAGTTGAATGTTTACCATCAAATATAAAGACGTCTCCATAGGTGACATCTTCGATCATACGAATTTCTTGTATGTTGAACAACAAATGAATAAAGTGGACCATTTCTACATTTTCAGCTAAGTGTATATCACGCATTTTGTAGATAAAGACTCGGTAATGTTCTTGTGTTAGTTTTGGAAGAGGAACAAAGAAACTAAAACGGGTTGTCATAAATATAAACGCGGTAATTTTTACAACGATTTGTTACACCGATTCCTTGACTTTTTCCATGTAAGGGAGTTTCGGATGAATATTATCAAATATTTCTGGCAACCGAGACCTTACGTTGTAATAGTTTTCTATTTTTTCTTTGCTTCTTTCCACGCTTCCTTTGTTTAGTATGAGAAAATTTTGGATTTTTTTGTCTGCTGCAAATCATTAAAAGGAATGACATTACGGCCTGTTTTAAAAAATTCGTCAAAGAGTTTGAAGAGTCATTTACTACTGAAGCTATACTTTTTAGGCGTCTCTAGCTCTTTTATTCAATTTAGCTGAACGGGTTTGGCACATTTTAGACTTAACACCAGTGTACGCAAATAGTCTCTTTATATAGTTTTGTAATGCCTTGCAACAAAAGTAAATATGTTCAGAAAAAAAAACTGGTGAGGACAAATTTTAATAAACCCATTTCGATAAAGTTGGAAATTCGAGTCATTTACAAAATACAGGTATTTAGATATTCAGAAAAAAATAACTACGAGTTCCAAACGGAGTCACCCTATTTTAGTAAGTATGTAAAACTAAGTTAGTTCTTCCCGCAGATCAAATATGACTTGAATAATAATAATAATAATCCTATGGTCTACTAACCCATTACTTCTGGAAAATGCGGTTGTTTCTTAATCCATTCTCTAACTTTTCTAACATCTTCATTATACGAATCTGTAGAAGAATAATTCAACAATTTCACAACGAGTTCTAAAACATCTTTATCTACTTCTAAAAAGTGTGTATTAGATTTCATTTCTATGAACACTGCTCTCTTCTTTGGTCCGTGTCTTACTGAATTAAATTAGACCAAAGCTGATATTAATTTCTTGATGAGAGGCCACGCAAAATGCGTGAATGTAAAATTAACACACTTTACGCACATGACCTTCTTTCCTATAATTCTTAATTAGATACAAATGTTGTAGTTATTGATTGTTTATGTTAGTATAAATAAATAAAATATACATTATATCTAGTTGATATTACACAACTCTGCAAAAATTTAAATGTTAAAAGCCTGTTTTTTATGCATTCCTAATTGCGAATAAGAACCTTTTTTTGGCAATCACGTAAAGTTTATTTGAAAAAAATACATAAACTAAAATTTAAGAAATGCACGATAATGAATGTGACATTAGGAAACTTTAGAATTGTTGACCTTTTTTCTATCATTCTTAATTAGATACAAATGTTATAGCTGAGTCAGTAAATACATAAGATTCGGAAAAATCTAAAATGGTTACAAATAATACAGATTTTCTTGTCGAGCTATCATTTTTAAATCACCATATTGAGTGCACTACTATTTATATACTTATATACTATTTCACTTTTTATTAGGTACATCATAAGTGCCTACTAAAAATACTAAGAATTAGTAAAAAACAATAATTGTGCACATTTGGTGCAGTGAAAAGGATAGGTACATCCTTAGGGAGGTTGGCGAAATAACAAATAGAAAACATCAAATATCGATATGCAAAGATTCTAATAATGAAATAAAAAACATAATAATATGCACTAATGAAATACAGGATGTCGTGATTGGAAAAACCGAAATATCAATATTTGAAGATTCTAATAAATAAATAATGTTTTATAAACACTCTGTATAAATAATACTCAACTTTACTTTTAATACTTGTACTTCAAATTTAAAAAATTATTGTGTTTTTTTTTGTGAAAACTTTCCCTGAAAAAAAGTTCCAAGAAAATTGGAATAACCTGTCAACGTCGCAATCGAAGAAAAATTGTGGTTATAAAGCTTAAGAAGAGATGAATTAAAATGTTTAAAAATATATAGGATATTCCAATTGATAAAAAGTGGCCATTCGTCCGGTGGACTCGATTAGCTTACTTACTTACGCTCGCGAAGTAAAAACTACGTTGTCTGTTACTCCTGAAAAATAGAACACTGTGTGTGAGTTAAAATAATTTGGGTGTATGGTCCTCAAAGAACGCCACCAACTTCCTCTTTAAATTTTTTCTATTTCTGATAATTAATTAGTTACGCACACTGTAGAAACATATATACAGGGTCACTAAGCGGACGTGTGCAAGATTTCAATGCATTCGATTTTGCAGTTCGTGATTTAATCCATAAAATAAAATGACTCATTCATTAATTTTCTTTCAGTTGTTAAGTATAAGCAGTTCTAAAAATATGAGGGCGGTGATAAACCACAAGTATAGTATCGACTCATCATATCTGGCAAATTTTGCGATAGGATTTATTAGGCAAAATTTTTCGATGACGTCATCATTTGGGGAGGATAAACAGATATATTTTGATTAACTAAAAATTTACCATGCTTACGATAACTTTAAAACGTCTGCAATATTTAAAAGCATTTGGTTTTACAGAATCAAATTAAATTGCAAAATGTTACAAAATTTTCAGGTTTTTTTTCCAAAAACCTAGATTCTTAGGTAAACATTCTACACAGACTCGTACACTTCACGTGTTATGTTATTTTATACAATTTCTAACCCAATTACTAAGTACAATTTTGAGATAATGTCATCTTTACTTGTTCATTTAAACATGCTCTTACATGTTCTTTCATTATCTTTTTATCATTGGCGCGTTTATTGGAATTTGTTAGATGTTTTTTGAAAGTGGATTTAGGAATCCCAAATTGTCGAGCAAATCTTATACCACCCATTTTAAATGGGACCATGACGTTTGCTAGGTCTCCTTCTACTCACTTGTAATACACTCTTTTCTTTTCTTCTGTACTTTCATCTTCAAAGGAAAAAGGTAGGAAAGCATTGTTAAAAGAAATTAATTTTTCGTTTGTCTTACATTGGACCGGTCCAAAGTAGGAAACTGAGCACAAGTTCAAATAAAACGACTTGTTCTTCAATATTTTAATCTCAACTTATTTTTGCATTATCCTTCCAAGACAAAATAAATAGCAAATTCAAAAGTTACAGATCTCGGCTCCTATTTTCCTGAATAAGCTAATATATCTACTATTGTTCAAGTCAGGTCCGAAAGGTGAAGTTGCAAGTTCTACTTGCGGAAAAAACCTGGTGGACAATCAAGGTGCTATCACTTACCTTGTACTGTTTTATGCGTTTTTAGACTTTCAACTAGTGTGTCTTTAAAATATTTTAGTGCATTTAAATATGATCGTTTTATATAAAATTGTATAGTTATTTAAATAGATCTGAAAAAAGAACAAACAAATAAACAATACTCAAGTATTATACAATCTGTATTTATTTTGTAATAATTTTATCAACAAAAGGTTGAACTTAGTGTATCGCAATAACGCATATACTTACAAAAAAAAACTAATAATCAGTCAATTTCTAATTTCTTAAAATTACCAGAAAGTCCAAACATTTCATTATTTTTAAGCCTCTGAGGTTTCAAATCGTCATTTATACGAAGTTTATCCAGTTGGATAAAATAATCTTCACGTTCTTTAAATTTATGAAAAAGTATATCTGCAAATTAATTATTTATCGTAACCAGATCAACCAGAAACCAAAAGTACTCTTACCTTGCAGTTCTTTTAGAGACTTTTCTTCACCTCCATAATCCTCTGGCAGAATTTCTTTTCCGATTTTTTCAACTAAATCATCCGAATTTTCGCAAAAGTGTATCTGAAAGTTACTATTATAATTTTTGACACTTCGAAAATACCAAAAATTTCTAACTCGTGTTATTAGTTTAGGCTTCAGAGCGCTCTTAAGGAAATCAACAAACTTTTCTACATAATAGGGAGCATTGATCAGGTAAACGGCTTTCAGTCGGTTTGAGAAAACTTGCTGTAACACAAAAATTCTACATAAAGAATGTGGGGTTTTATATTTCACCTTGTATATAACCACCATCGCTTTGTAAAGCACCATCGGTGTCACCTTGAGTATCCACGTTAGAGGTACATTTTTACCATCAAATATGAACACGTCCCCATAGGTAATATCTTCCATCATACGAATTTCTTGTATGTTCACTAATAAACGGATACCATCGACAGGATCAACATTTTCAGCTATATGTGGATCACGTATTTTATAAAAACCGACTCTGTACAGTTGTTTTGTCAGCTTTGGGAGAGGAACAAAGTAACTAAAACGGCTTATATAAATTTTACGCAGTAATTTTTACAATAATTTGTTACGCAGCCGCTTTAACATTTTCCATGTAAGAGAGTTTCGGATGAATATTATCAAATATTTCTGGCAACTGAGATCTTATGTTGTAATAGTTTTCTATTTTTTCCTTGCTTTTTTCGACGCTTCCTTTGTTTAAGATGAGAAAATTTTGGATTTTCTTCTCAGCTGCAAATAATAAAAAAGTGACAATATGATCTGTTTTTTCCGTTTTTCGTGAAAGAGTTTGATGAGTTATGTACTACTGAAGATTTACTTTTAGGCGTCTTTAGCCGAACGAGTTTTGCACATTTTTAGTTGTAACATCAGTATAGCCAAATAGTTTCTTTCTGCAGTTTTGTATTGCCTTTCGGCAAAAGTAAATAATGTTCATAAAAAACCGGTGGGGACAAATTTTAATAAAGCCGGAAGTTCAAGGGAGTGGTAAAATATAAAATTCAGAATTCAAGAACTAAGTTAGTCCCTCCCGTAGACCGATATGACTTAAGTCAACATAAACAAGCTATAAACTAAAACATCACAAATATAATTAACTATTTAAGTTCAAAGCGGTAATGGTTTTAGTTGCAGTTGTATACTAACCCATCACCTCTGGAAAGTGTGGTTGTTTCTTAATCCATTCTTTCACTTTTCTAACATCTTCATTAAACGAATCCATAGAAGAATAATTCAACAATTTCACAACGAGTTCTAAAACACCCTCATCTACTTCTAGTAAGTGTGCAGATTCCATTTTTAAAAACACTGCTGTCTTGTTTGGTCCATGTCTTACTGAATTTAATTAGGCTAACTTGATATTGTTAATTTATTCAAAGACCATGCAAAATGCGCGAAAGTGCAGTTATCAAACTTGACGCGCATTGACCTTGTTGCTTATTTTTGCTCATAACAAAGCTAAATATTAAGGTCAGTAAATAAATAAGACTCGGAAAAAATCTATAATGCTTGCAAATGATTAAATAGTTATAATTTTTAAGTTATGGGTAATGTCACTGTATTAAAGCATATAAGGAATGTTCGAGAAAGAAAATACACATTTTTATGGTAAATAAATAGTAACAGAATCTCCTTGACAACAAAGTCACGGCCGGATAAATTTTTATCTATGAATTAATTAATTAATGATAAATTATTGTTTTTTTATTTTCTCAGGAAACATAAAAGTTTGTATGTACTACGACATAACTTGATGTTTATGTACCAAGTGGTACATAAATAACTATTAAGATATAGAACTGCAAATTGTAGCAAAACTAATCAATAAACGAATAAACAAAACTAATCATCAAGGCAAAACTTAACAAAAAGAATTATTGAAAAAGAACACATTGTTGCAATACCTATAAACATGCGGCAGCGGCTTCATGGTGTCTACAACCACTTCATCGTCACTAACATCGACCTTTCCTTCTTCAACCAAAATCTTCTTTTTTGATTTTCTTTCTTGCCGTTTCTTCTACTTTGCTTTTCAATTCATCAATGTTTAGCGTGGAATTTATATGTCTATTCTTCTTCTTGAGAACATAAAGGCTTGAGGCACAAACGCGCCTATGGCATTCATACAGCATACCATAGTGAAATGCGGTCCTCGTTCAGCACCAGATACCGCTTCAACTTTGTTTCGTCAGTAACAAGCGTACTGAAAGGGAAAGAAATGTTATGGTGAAACTGTCAAATTATTCTCCTATGGATGAAATACAGCCTTCATTCCGATTTCAGCAAATTTTTCCAAGTCCATCTTTCTTCAAAATTCACCAGAAATTCGTACAGCGATTTGCGTTGGGGAAAAATCGTAGATCATACTGATAGCACGACCGAAGGAATCTCAAGACTCGACTGAATTTTGCTTCCTGCGCTTGCGTTTTTACAGGAATTTTGGCCCATTTATTTTGTCTCCCGTGATAAAAGAGCGCAATAAAGCGATCTAATGCTTTCCCGAGTATTTGCCTTGGACGGTCTATCCCGATTTTGTAAAGTCTAGTTTCGTCCAGCATAGGGTTTCTTCTCCGACAGATTTAAGCGTTATTCGGTTCCCATGTCGTCATCTCTATTAGTAAAGCGAGTGTCTTTTGGTCTGTTTTTCTTGAGATTTCTGCGTCTGGGTTTCGGCCACTACTGCTTTAGTTTGGGTACGAATTTTAAAGAAAATAATTGTGATTGACGGTTTTTATGGATGTACGGTTCTGCGCATGTTGTTTGCAATGTCTGACAAGCGCAATGATATTGAATATTTGCGAATTTGCGAAAGAGATCTGTGTCCTTGGAATTGCGTTAACCTATGTTCTATGAAATTTTAGAATAGGTACTGCGTTTAATTAAAACGCGTTTTGCACTTGATATACTAGTATCTTAACCAGAAGATTTGCTCTCTCTGAACCAGCTATTGAACTCTAGCAAATTTTAACATTGGTTTTTATAGTATTGTTCATATGTTTTCTACACATTCATTTTGTGGACATTTTATTGAAAAAAACTAACAAAATTATTGTTAAACACCGTTAAAAAAATAATTAAACTATGTGTGTCATAAAAGGGTATGTTCAAATAATAGACTAAATAATAATCAATCAATTTCCAAGTTCTTAAAATTGCCAGGTAATCCATACATTTCATCATTTTTCAGAGTCTGAGGTTTCAAAGCTTGATTTATACGAAGTTTGTCCAGTTGAGTAAAATAATCTTCACGCTCCTTAAATTTTTGATGAAGCTTTTCTGCAAATGAATTTATGATAACCAAGCTAACAAAAAAAAGAAAAACACTTTTACCGTGCAATTCTTCTAGAGAATTTTCTTTGCCTCCATAATCTATTGGCAGAACTTCACTCCCGATTTTTTCAACTAAAACATCCAAATTTTCACAAAAGTGTATCTGGAATTTACAATTATTATAATTTTTGAAACTTGAAAACACGAAAAATTACTCACTCGTTCCATTAGTTTAGGTTGTAGAATACTCTTAAGAATAGAAAGAAGCTTTTCTGTAAATGAGGGGGCATTGATAAGGTAAACAGCTTTTAGTCGATTTGAGAATACTTGCTGCAACAAAAACTATAGAAAACAGAAGTGTAACTAAATATTTTACCTTGTATATAACAATCAACGCCTTATAAATCATCACCGGTGTTGCCTTGAGCATGAATCGTAGAGTTGAATGTTTACCATCAAATATAAACACGTCTCCATAGGTGACATCTTCGATCATACGAATTTCTTGTATGTTGAACACCAAATGAATAAAGTGGACCATTTCTACATTTTCAGCTGAGTGTATATCACGCATTTTGTAGATACAGACTCGGTAATGTTCTTTTGTTAGTTTTGGAAGAGGAACAAAGAAACTAAAACGGGTTGTCATAAATATAAACGCGGTAATTTTTACAATGATTTGTTACACCGATTCCTTGACTTTTTCCATGTAAGGGAGTTTCGGATGAATATTATCAAATATTTCTGGCAACCGAGACCTTACGTTGTAATAGTTTTCTATTTTTTCCTTGCTTCTTTCGACGCTTCCTTTGTTTAATATGAGAAAGTTTTGGATTTTTTTGTCTGCTGCAAATCATTAAAAGAAAAAAAAAAGTTTTGTTTAAAAAAATTCGCCGACAAGTTTGATGAACAAGTATGGCACATTTTAATCTTTACCATAAGTGTACTCACGTACCAAGTTTATTTTCACTGTTTTATATGAGTTGCGTTAAGCAAAAATTAAAAATGTTCTTAAAAACTCTTTTTTTTTTAATGAGAAATTCCAATTATTGATAAAATACAGGTATTTAGATATTTAAATTATAAAAACGACAATTTACAAACGGAATTACTACATAATTGATCTATTTAAGTTCAAAGCGGTAACGGTTTTGACTCACAGTTTTATAGTGATATTATGGCTTATGGTCTACTAACCCATCATTTCTGGAAAATGCGGTTGTTTCTTAATCCATTCTTTAATCTTTCTAACATCTTCATTAAACGAATCAATAGAAGAATAATTCAACAGTTTCACAACGAGTCCTAGAACATCTTCACCTACTTCTAGTATGTGTGTATTAGATCCCATTTTCAGGAAAGCTGCTCTCGTCTTTGGCGCGTCTCTAACTGCATTAAATTAGTAAAGTTGATATTACATAGGTCTGCAAAATCGCAAAATGTATATGTTAGGAACCTGTTATACATGTTGGCTGCATTCCTAATTACGAATATGAATTTCTTTTTTTAGCTTTTACGTAATGTTTAACTTGTTTAACATAACAATACGAGGAAGTAAAATTTAAGAAATGCACAATATTAAACAAATTGACATTTATGTTGCATTTGAATTTTTTATCTATTAACAAAGATATTTGTGTCCATTTATTAAAAATCTTTGTGAAATCGTTATGATTTCTCCTCAAAAGTAATGTTTAACGTTTAACGTTTTTCTCCTGAAGATCCTGTGGCGCATGACATTAGGACTTTAATCTGACACTACTTCTTCATTTCTCACTTGCTCAATAATGGCCACTATGCTGTGTATTTCAGTTGTATCATTCCATTTCAAAACGTTAAAAGCCTATTGTCATATTTTTCAGAACGTAATAACAATTATATTTAATAGAGTTGAGCGTAAGCTAAGAATGAGGTATCGTTTCCGTCTGTCTGTCTGTCTGTCTGTCCGACGTCTATGTTGATTTTTGTTGGACAGATAATCTTCACAACTACCGATTGTTCTCAAATTTTACAGCTTTATTATGAATATTATCTAAATGGTAAAACGCTAACTAATATTTTGTCTAATCATCCCCACCAACAATGTAATGACGTCACCTCAAAATTATGCGTAAAAAATGGGTTTTCGATCACATACAATAACATACTCCTACACCTGTAGTTTATGAATCTATGTTGAGATTTACCCGAGATATCAAGATTATTGTGAAGGGCTTATTTCATTTTTCCGAAAAATTGGAAATGCAAACTGTTAAAATTTGTATTACACTGCACGTAATATCAAAATTTTCGCAATTTTTACTTCCCGAGCGTAAGCAAAGGAAGTATTTTAATCGAGTCCGTCGGCCGACTCTCTACTTTTACCTTTTCTCGATCTTTCATGACTCCTAGAATACGAAGAAATAGGTCTCCCATTTCCGTCTGTCTGTCCGTCTGTCCGTCCGTTTGTCCGTCTGTCCGTCTGTCCGTCTGCCGTCCCGGATTTTTATTAGACAGATAATCTCCGAAAGTACTGAACCTATTATTGTGAAATTTTGTACTTATATTAGGAATATTATGTAGATGGTAAAACGCTAACCAAAATTTGTCTAATCATCCCCACCACTAATGCGATGACGTCACTTCAAAATTGTACATAGTAAATGGGTCTTAAATTGTATAAAATAACATAGTCCTACACATGTAGTTTACGACTCCGAATTCAGTTTTTACCCGAAACGTCCAGATTTTTGGAAAAAAAATCAAAATCATAAAACAACATTTTGCAATTTAATTTTGAATCTGCTAACCCGAATGTTTTAAAATGTTGCAGATGTTTTAAGGCTCTAAAGAGCATCATAAATCTTTAGTCAAAATATATTTGGTTATCCCCTCCAAAAACTTGATGACGTCAGCTCAAAAGTTTGCCGAATAAATCCTATCTAAAATGTACAAAATATGATGAGTATGTACTTGTGATTTATCATTCCATTCAAATTTTTTCGATTTGCATATACAGAGTGACTCAAAAAATTAATGAATGCGTGAATTTATTTTATTGAGTTAATCAGGAACTACAAAACCGAATGCTTTGAAACATAGGAGATGTATTAAAGTTATCATAAGCACGTTAACTTTTTTATCAAAATGTATTTGCTAATCCCCCCTCAAAAAATTTGATGACGTCAGCTCGAAAGTTTGCCGAATAAATCCTATCTAAAGCGTAAAAATATGATGAGTCTGTACTTGTGATTTATCACTTCATTCATATTTTTTAGATTTTCTTAAGAGGTGGCTCAAAAAATTTAATGAAGTCAATTTATTTTATTGATTAAATTAAAGGCAACACTTATTATTAGTATTACATTGGACCAACCCAATTTGGTAGACATAGAATTTTTTAAAGTAAAAACTCGGTTGAAACATAAGGGTAGCACGCTTATTTACATCGACTTTAACATTACAGACGTGTGCGCTGTCTAGGTTCCGCGAATGTGGAATAGACATGTTTATAATCAACCAATTGTGAATTCCACCGTCAAAAATTAAAATAAAACTCAATATTTTATATAATAAGCGGAAGTCGAAGCAATAAAACCGATGGTCGTTTTGTTTACAGTTTCTCTGTTTGACTCTCACGTATGCTGTTACGCTTGTCATCTTAAATTAAGAATGTTTATACATAAACGATTTTCAGTTGCCTCTCATATTACTAGACAGCGGATTTCTGTCGGGCTACGTCTCGATTATAGGTGGGGACGCGCTAGATCGCCGGGACTCAATAGCGGGTGATAGCTAATCACTGAATTTAATCGGTACTAATTCCATAAATACAATTAACGATTTATTAATCAAACGGCTAAATAAATGAGAACGGGAATTAACAGCAGAGTGCAACGAAACAGCGTTATTCTAATCTCAAATAAACGAAGTGCAGTCCGTAACCGCAATGAATTCGCATCCCGCACGAGCCGTACCGAGTTTGGCCTTGCCTAGCCCGACAGAAATCCGCTCTCTACATATTACACACCGTATACGTGAGTAAATTGTTTCGTTATTTTATTGATTATAACAAATCAATATTCAAAACGACCCAATTCATTTTCCCGAAAATTTGGGAATACAATAATTTTATTCTTAGTATTACACTACATCTATCCCAACTGATATACGTGTCCTTGCAAAAATGTTGATGACGTCATAGCAATTTTTTTTTAAATTCCCACTACAAAAATGTAATGAGAAAAAAATACAATAGGCATGCAGTCGTCAAGTTTCCGACAGCGAGGGAAGTACTGTCTAAACTCTTTAGACCATTTTTTTTTTGTTAGAACGAAATTTAATTTTACTTCCCAAGCGTAAGCATTCTCTACTTTTGGATTTTTTCGACCTTTCATGACCCCTAGAAGACGAAGAAATAGGTCTACCGTTTCCGTCTGTCTGTACGTCTGTCCGTCTGTCTGCCGCCCTGGATTTTTATTAGACAGATAATCTCCGAATCTACTGAAGCAATTGTTGTCAAATTTTATATTTATATTAGGTAGATGGTAAAACACTAACGAAAATTTGTCTAATCATCCCCACCACTAATGTGATGACGTCACTTCAAAATTGTACATACTAATTGGGTTTTAAATTATATCAAATAGTCTTACGCATGTAGTTTATGACTCCGAATTGAGATTTTACCCGAAACGTCCAGATTTTTACAAAAAAAAATCAAAATTAGGAAACAACATTTTGACATTTAATTTGGAATCTACAAAACCGAATGTTTTCAAATCTTGGAGATGGTTTACAGTTATGATAAGCATGATAAAATTCTAATCACAATAAATTTACTTATCCCCTCCAAAAAATTGATGACGTCCGCTCAAAAATTTGCCGAATAAATCCTGTCTAAAATGTACAAAATATGATGAGTCTGTACTTGTGATTTATCATTCCATTCATATTTTTTGGATTTGTATATACAAGGTGACTCAAAAAAATTAATGAATGCGTAAATTTATTTTATTGATTTAATCAGGAAATACAAAACCAAATGCTTTGAAATCTTGGAGATGTTATAAAGTTGTTATAGGCATGGTAAATTTTTGATCAAAATATTTTTGCTCATCCCCCCTAAAAAACTGATCACGCCACCCCAAAATATTTCTTAAATGTGCATTTGGCAAAGTATGATGAGTCTGTAATTGTGATTTATCACTGCATAAATATTTTTTAGATTTGCTTATACGGGGTGCGTGAAAAAAATTAATGACTGAGTCAATTTATTTTTGAACGAATGTAGGTGATTGATTTTGGTTTTTAATATTTTATCTTATTTATTTATTTTGTCTAGCTTTTGCACGCTAGACGTGACAATTTGTAAACAAAATAACAAACAAAAATGAAAAATACATAACTTAGCAGCATTGTCTGTGTTAAAAACAACACAAATAGCAAGTAATAAGTTGACCCAAAAAGAGAGATATTCTTGACTCAGGGCAAACCGCCTTTGACGCCAGTCAGTGATTTATCGTGACCTGATAAAATAAAATAATGCAATACTTTAATAACCAATTTAAAAACGTTTATCACGTTACTGTTCTAAAATAAAACATGTGTCGTCAGTGTAAATTAAAAATTCCACTAAACTTTTCTACACTATAAGTGGTACGCTATAATGTAAGGAGAATCACTTTAAAGACCACCCAAAACCCAGTGGTTGAATACGAAAATTCGTCTGTAGAAAGGTCACAATTAGTTAAAGCAGAGTACGTACTTAACATGCTTTATATAGATTGCATCTATGCATCTATGTTTAATTCAATCTCAAATTACAAAATAAATTGGTCGGAGTTTATTGCGACAGAATTTCTCTCCCCTTGAAAAAAACAAATCCAGGTTTTTCTAAAAATTATTCCCTCCAACCCAAATTAAATGTCCGATTTGGAAATCAAATTTGTTTTAAAATACCTAAGTGTCCGCTTTCTAAAAAAATATGTACACTCACTTGCACGCAAATTCTAATGTCACTACAATATACATATATGTATCTATACACATATACGTAAAATTTTCCTTCGAAAATGACAATAACACTGCTGAAAAAGCACTACTTTAGAAAGCAACAGTTCATTTCGTATTGGCTTCGCATTTATCGCTGTCGTTCGCTGGAATCGCTGCCTTCGTCATATCTCTCCTCACCACCCTTGATAACTCAACAATGAGTCAATGCAGTGACCAAGACAGCAGCACAGATTGGCTGCCTACGTGGCCGCATTAAGCAATGTTTAAATTATTTTGTGCGACCCCATCAATATTCAAAATAATAGCAAGAAATTCGGTAAAAAACTCCAGAAATGTTATTTTTCAAGCCGTTTCTTGTATTTTCTAGCAGTTCCGGCCCGAAAATACCAAGGAAACTATCAAATTTTAGATATAAATCTTTTTTTATGAGTTCCGATGAAGCTTTCTTGCAAATTAATATATGATAATTATTGTTATTACCAATTAATATGCGAAATTGTGAAAATGTGTGTGAGGGAAATAAATACAAAAATACATGCAATAAAAGTAAGGAGTATTTGTCCATATACATTTTTGCTTTCGGTCAAAATTTTACGTTGATGGCATCTAAAAGTTCATTTTGGACAGTTTTAGACGTTCCTTTAAACACCGTTGCTTCTTTCAAATGATCTTATAAAGCAGGGTCCAATTCAGCCGTAAAATTAATCAGACCTCGAAATATACGTGGATTTTTTTGACAACCGCACACACAAGGATATTTATCATGCCTGTTACGTCTATAAAAATATCTATGAAAGTCTCTCGTTTTGCTATGAACACTTTTTTTATTAATAAATCTGGGGTGGTTCTGCAATTTCACTCGCTCAGAATGAAAACTAAAACCCGCAGTTGAGTTACTACTGCTGAGCACTGTCGGAAGTGGACCCAATTCCATTCAAATATCGCACATGCACGTACGGTTTCCATGGCAAAGGTGTAAACAAACGTCTAAATCAGTCATGATTCAGTCTCTGTCTTCGGCTTTTATCAGAACTTCATTGGCAACATATCATGTATCCAAGACACAACATCTTTAGATGTAAGTGGATGTAATACATTTCATACAAATTAGTTTTGATAATTATGACACAAATTTCCGGTTAATTTTTTAAAGATTGAAAATTACGATTTTGCTATGTGCAGTGTGTTTGTAGACGTTGTAACTTAGGAAGGCACGTGCCCTTTTGTCCTCTGGCACCAGCCGCCCCCGATAAAAAGTGAAGCAATTTTTGATTCATTATTTTAAAATAAAAATATGACTTTTAAGCTTTAATACGGTGAAATGAATTAAAAATTATGATTAGACAAGAAAATCTTCATCGTTTGTAAACATTACTGATTTCTTTCCGAATTTCATCTATTTATACTAACATAAACAATATAATAACTATAACATTTGTATCTAATTAAGATTTATAGGAAACAAGGTCATGTGCGTAAAGTTTGCTAATTTCACATTCACGCATTTTGCGTGGCCTCTCAAGAAATTAATAATATCAGCTTTGGTCTAATTTAATTCAGTAAGACACGGACCAAAGAAGAGAGTAGTGTTCCTAAAAATGGGATCTAATACACACTTACTAGAAGTAGATAAAGATGTTTTAGAACTCGTTGTGAAATTATTGAATTGTTCTTCTATAGATTCGTTTAATGAAAAAGTTAAAGAATGGATTAAGAAACAATCGGATTTTCCAGAAGTGATGGGTTAGTAGACCATAGTATAAGTATAATTCTACAACTGTGAGTCAAAACCATTACCACTTTGAACTTAATGGTTAATTATAGTTGGGATGTCGACTTAAGTCATATTCGATCTACGGGAGGAACTGACTTAGTTACTAAAATAGGGAAATTCCGTTTGTAAATGGTAGTTATTATTTTCAAAGTGGGTTTATTAAAATTTGTCCTCACCGGTTTCTTTTCCAAAATACTTATTTTCAATTTTTGCCTAAAAATTTTTGCGTAAAAATAAAACCTCAACAGTTAGTAAACATTTTTTCTATTGTATATTTTGCAGCTGACAACAAAATCAAAAACTTTATCATATTAAATAAAGGAAGCGTTGAAAAAAGCAAGGAAAAAAATTGAAAACTATTACACCGTAAGATCTCGGTTGCCAGAAATTTTTGATAATATTCATCCGAAACTCCCTTACATGGAAAGTGTCAAGGCGTCGGTGTAACAAATCATTGTAAAAATTACCACGTTAATGTTTATGACAACCCGTTTTAGCTTCCTTGTTCCTCTTCCAAAACTAACAAAAGAACATTACCGAGTTTTTTTCTATAAAATACGTGATGTACATTTAGCTGAAAATGTAGAGGTTGTCCATTTTCTTCGTTTGTTGTGGAACATACAACAAATTCGTCTGATCGAAGATGTCACCTACGGAGATATGTTTGTATTTGATGGTAAAGATACAACATTACGATTTATGCTCAAGGCAACACCGATGATTCTTTATAAAATGATGGTTGTTATATACAAGGTAAAATATTTGGTAAAACTACGTTTTCGTTTCCTGTAGTTCTTGTTGCAGCAAGTGTTCTCAAATCGACTAAAAGCTGTTTACATTATCAATGCCCCTCCCTTTACAGAAAAGCTTCTTGCTATTCTTAGGAGTGTTCTAAAACCTAAACTCATAGAACGAGTGAGTAATTTTTTTTTCGAGGTGTCAAAAATTATAATAATTGTAGGTAAATTTCAGATACACTTTTGTGAAAATTTGGGTGTTTTAGTTGAAAAAATCGGGAGTGAAGTTCTTCCTATGGGTTATGGAGGCAAAGAAAATTCTCTAGAAGAATTGCAGGGTAAGAGTGCTTTTGTCTTTTTGTTAGCTTGGCTATCATAAATTAATTTGCAGAAAAGCTTCATCAAAAATTTAGGAGCGTGAAGATTATTTTACTCAACTGGACAAAATTCGTATACATCAAGCTTTGAAACCTCAGACTCTGAAAAATGATGAAATGTATGGATTACCTGGCAATTTTAAGAACTTGGAAATTGACTGATTATTATTATTATTTAGTCTATTCTTTGAATGTACCCTTTTACGACACACATAGTTCAAAGTTTTAATAGTGTTTAACAATTCGTTTTTTAGTTTTGTTCACTAAATTCCCAAAAAATGAATACAAACGATGTTGAAAACATATGAACAATGCTATAAAAACCAGTAGTGGTATTATTTTATTTTTTTGCCTTACAGGCTTAATAAGATTCCTAGTAGGGGTACAAATTAACTTAATCTACTTACATAATACAAATAAATCATAAAATAAATCAAATAAATATTCGAGTTTTATATAATAATAATCGTTCTATTCTTTCAGCTTGCCCACACCTTGCCTTAGTTCCCTTATCTTCCGTACTTCTTTCATCCAGTCCAGTCCTATTCCATCCTCGTTTAGCACTTCTTCTCTGCTTTGCTCAGATTCTCTCAGTCCTTCACATCCTTCCAGTATATGCTTTATTATTTCTCCCTCTCTCCAACATATCCTACACCTTCTGTCAGTTTTATCCATCCAAAAATTATTCTCTTTCTCTTCATTTCCACACCTAAATCTCGCCATCATTCTATTGTCCTTTATACTCTCTCTCTGTGTGTGTATGTGTGTACTTTGGTACTTCATCCTAGACTCCGATATTCTCGATCTGCGTTCTTGCTTAACTATATCCTTGTCTTTTATACTCTGTTCTTTCATACTCTTTCCCATTTCTCTCATTCTCTCTATTTCTTCAAATGCACATACTTTTCCTTCATAATACTTGTCTCTCTAGTTCCAAACATGTTTTGTCGTTTCCTTTCTTATTTCTTTCCAACATTCTTCCAATATTTTACAATCACACCTCTCACTAAACTTCTGTTTAAATCCAACCGCCCTTTTACCCGTTTCCACTGTCATTTTCTCCCTTTTTGTTTCTTCTCTCACTATATACTCCGGGGAATAATTTTCCAATCCCAATGTCAATTTTAAGTATTTTTCTTGCATTCTCTCTTTCTTCCCAAATACCACCATTTTTGTTTTTTCCACATTTACTTCCACTTCCTTTTTTTTGTACGTACTTCTCGAAACTTTTAATCATTGTTTCCATTTCTTCTCTTTTCTTTGCCACAATCACCAAATCATCTGCTTACGCCAGCGACCACACTTTCTCTTTGCCCATTACCACCCCTCCTGTCTGTGCTTTTCTGAACATTTCATCTATCTCTCCTAGCTAAGCTGCAAAAAATGCGGGGCTGAGCGTACATCCCTGTCTCACTCCTCTATTTGTATAAAAACTTTCGCTCTCTATTCCATTCACTCTCCTTACTTACTGTTTCTTCATATATTTCATCCATTTTTGTTACCAGGTACGCAGCTATTCCCTTTCTCCTCAAATACTCCCACAGTTTCTCTCTATTCAAGCTATCAAACGCTGCTTTGAAATCTATGAACAATGCGTACATTCGTGCACCATCTTTCCTTATTTCTCTTCCCACTAAATGCCGCTGGATGTACCCATTGTCCATAGTACCTCTGTTTTTTCTAAACCCTGCCTGACCGTCTGGTAACATACCCCTTGCTTCCACCTCTTTTCGTAACCTCTCATCTAGTATCATTGCGTATGTCTTGGACGCCTTATTGAGCAAGGTGATCCCTCGGTAGTTCTTCACATCACTTTTTTGCCCCTTTTTAAATTATGGGATTATTATACCTTCTCTCCACTGCCGAGGAAAGCCTTTTCCCTTCCAAACTCCCTCTACACTTCCCATCTCCTTTCTTTCACTCCTTCTGTCCCGAAAATCCTTGCTTCGTTCTAGATTCCATCCCCTCCTGGTGTCTTTCCTCTTTTCAATCTTTCAGTCTGTCTTCCTATTTCATCTTTTGTTATTTCCGAACCCCTCCACATTTCTTCCGTCGTTGTGATTCCTTTATTTGTTTTGTAGAATTTTTCCTCACAACCTCCCAATAATTCCATAAAGTGTCTGTTCCATTCATGTATTTTGATTTTCCTACTGACTTCAGTCTTCCTTCTTCGTTCCTTGTTTATATGTATATCTCCATACTTCTTCTGTTTTCAGGGATTTTATTGTCTTCTCTTCTTCTTCTCATTTTTCTCTTTTTCTTAATTCACATTTTTTCCTATAATTCTCTCTTGCTTTTAAGTACCCTTCTTTTCTTCCCCTGTTATTCTTCCATTTTGTTAATTTTTCCCTTGCCATATGTATATCTTTCTTTTTTCCGCAGCTTCTACAATTACGTTGATCAGTTCTGCTATCATAGCTTCTATATCTTCTTCTACTTCGAATTTCTTTTTTTTCTAGTCTACTTCGTTATCTTTGAATTCCCTCTTCATCCCAGATTCTTTTTTGTTACTTTTCTTTCGTTTTTTCTCTCTTGTTTTTCGTACTCTTGCTTTTTTCCTTTGATTTTTATTTCTGGTGGCATGTGGTCTGATTATGCCTTTTCCTCCAATTTGAAATTTTCCATTTCTTCCCACGCCTCGTCGTTGACAATCCCATAGTCTATAATTGATTCTCCCCTAGCCCCTACGTATGTCCATTCCCCTTCTTCATTTCCTTCCTTGTTTCCATTCATAATTTCCCATCCCATTTCTTCTATTATCTTCCACAATATTTTCCCTTCTTTGTTATTTGCTTTGTCTTGTGATCTTCTTTTCTCTCCTTTTCCTTTATCTATTATTCTTGTCCCCTTATCGCCCAGTGTTGCGTTAAAATCCCCTCCTATAAGTATTTTTTCATCTCCTTTTTCTTTTGTTTCCTTTTCTATGTTTATCTTGTTTTCCTCCATTTTCTTGCTATAAACGCTTATTATTCTCCATCGATTGTTATCCAGCTGTATTACTTTCTTCATTAGTCCATTTTTATTATTACTTCCCTTTTCCAATTCTTGCATTTCTTTTCGAATTCCCAATACTCTTCTCCGCTTGCTCTCTCCTCTTTCTTTTCCTTTGTCGCCCCCTGACACTCCGACACATATTCTTGTGGTAGTGTTACTTCAAATTTCTCCCAGTTTTCTCTTTGTACCCATGTCTATACTAGCCGTACCACATCAAATTTTCCCACGTAGTCCCAGAACTCCTTTTCCTTTTTTCGCAACCCTTGGACATTCCAAAACAGTACCTTCACCTATTTTTCTCCTAATTTTGTGCCATCTTCCCTTTTTCCGATTTCCCTAACTGCATTGTCTTCCTTTTCTTTCGGCTCTTTATTAAAAACTTTCTATCTTCTTGAGTCTGCCCTCTTCTTCATTCCAGTCAAAATTTCTGCCATCTACAGTTAACTTTTTACGAAGATTATCTGTCTAAGAAAAATCAACACAGACGTCGGACAGTCAGACAGACAGACGGAAACAATACTTCCTTAGCTTACGCTCAGCATTAAATATAATTATGTTATTACGTTCTGAAAAATATTACACTGCATAGTGACCATTATCGAGCAAGCCAAAATGAAGAAGTAGTGTCAGAAGTCCTAATATCATGCGGTACAGGATGTTCAGTAGAACTTTTCTAAGTCTAGTCTTCATCCCGATTCAGCAAATTTTTCCAAATACAGCGTTCTTCAAAATTCAGCAGAAATCCGGACAGCGATTCGCTCTGAGAAAAATCGTAGATCACACTGTTCGCACGACCGAAGACATCTCAAAACGTGACTGAATTTTGCTTCCTGCGCTTCCGTTTTTATAGGGATTTTAGCCCATTTATTTTGTCTCCCGTGACATTAGAGCGTAATAAAAAGATCTAATGCTTTCCCGGGTAGACGCCAGTTTGCCTTATTCGGTCCCATGTCGTTATCTCTGTTAGTAAAGGGGGCGTTCTTTGGTCCGTTTTTTCTTGAGATTTATGCGTCTGATTTCGCCTGCTACTGTTTTAGTTTGGGTACGAATTTTAATGAAAATAATTGAGATTAACGGTTTTTATGGATCTACGGTTCTGCGCATATTGTTCGCAATGTCTAACAAGCGCAATGATATTGGATATTTGCGAATTTGCGAATTTTATTCATACGTTTTGAGTTTGATGGTCGACTGTGATTATCTGTTGGACTGGTACTATATGGAGATTTAGACGTACGTAGTAGGTAATTAAGATTTGCAAATTTGCCAATTTCAGGAAGCGTTGCGAAGCCACGTGGTCCCAAACCTGGTTCACAATAGGCCCTGGCTACAATTTTTACTAGTGGTCCATGACGATTGTGGTCAACCATCACAGCGCTGAGACGAATTTCACTTGAATAGCAAAAAAATCCTAACTAATATCAAGTAATAGTAATATTAATACTATAATGAATTTAATTAAAAAATAGGTAAGTATTGATTTATCTTTTTTTAATCCATTCTCCTAATATGTTGCGAATTGTTCCTAGCGTTGCAAAAATTGTTATCAAAGAGACTTGTGTACTTGAAATTGTGTTTACCTATGTTCTATGAAATTTTACAATAGGTACTGCTTTTAATTAAAACGCGTTTTGCACTTGTTATATTAATAGCTTTACCACAAGATTTGCTTTCTCTTAACCAGCTATCGAACTCTAGTGGTTTTTATAGCATCGTTCATATGTTTTGAACACCATTTGTGGGTATTTTATTGAAAAAAACTAACAAAAGTATTATTATTACACACTGTTAAAAAAAGTAGTTGAACTATGTGTATCAGAAAAGGATATATTCAAAGAATAGACTAAATAATAATAATCAGTCAATTTCCAATTTCTTAAAATTGCCAGGTAATCCATATGTTCCATCATTTTTTAAAGTCTGAGGTTTCAAAGCTTGATTTATACGAAGTTTGTCCAGTTGAGTAAAATAATCTTCACGCTCCTTAAATTTTTGATGTAGCTTTTCTGCAAATGAATTTATGATAACCAAGCTTACAAAAAAACAAAAGCACTTTTACCCTGCAATTCTTCTAGAGAATTTTCTTTGCCTCCATAATCTATTGGAAGAACTTCACTCCCGATTTTTTCAACTAAAACATCCGAATTTTCACAAAAGTGTATCTGGAATTTACAATCATTATAATTTTTGACACTTCGAAATACGAAAAATTACTCACTCGTTCCATTAGTTTAGGTTTTAGAATACTCTTAAGAATAGAAAGAAGCTTTTCTGTAAAGGAGGGGGCATTGATAAGGTAAACAGCATCGTCTTATAAAGCATCAATACTCTTTTTGCACTCATGATCTTTTTTGATGGCTTTCGTGCATTCACCAGGGTGCGGGAGTTCGAACTTCCCGCACACGTGCATTTTAACTTCCCGTTGCCATGGTAACTTTAAAATACTCGCGTAGTGTCAACATTGTGATGTGTTGACGGCGCCATTGTTTATAAATAACTCACAGTTAATTTCTTCAGTTTAAAGGTTTATTCGTTGCAAAAAATATTGTACACAACACGTTCGTGAGCCTGCTTCCCGCATTCACGCAAATGCGGCACTCCCTTCGGTCGTGCCGCAAACAAGCGTTCATGCGGGAAGCAGGCTATCCCGAACTAGTTGTGTAAATTACTATTATAATGATTTGTTACACCGACGCCTTGACGTTTTCCATGTAGGGGAGTTTCGGATGAACATTATCAAATATTTCTGGCAATCGAGACCTTATGTTGTAATAGTTTTCTATTTTTTCCTTGCTTCTTTCAACGCTCCCTTTGTTTAATATGAGAAAGTTTTCGATTTTCTTGTCAGCTGAAAAAATTCGTTGGTATCTTCGATAAGTTGTTTACTGCTGAGATTTTACTTAATATTTTATTTTAGATTGATGTTGGGGACGTTTTTAGCTTTAATCAAATAGTTTCTTTTGATAGTTTTGTGAAAAATCAAGATCACAACTATAACTAACTATTAAGTTCAAAGCGGTAATGGTTTTGACTCACAGTTATATACTTATAATACTACGCTCTACTAACCCATCACTTCAGGAAAATGAGGTTGTTTTTTAATCCATTCTTTAATTTTTCTAACATCTTCATTAAACGAGTTCTAAAACACCCTCATCTACTTCTAGTAAATCTGTATTAGCGCCCATTTTTAGAAACACTGCTCTCTTCTTTCATCTATGTCTTACTGAAATAAATTAGACTGATTAGACTGATATTATTAATTGCTTGATTAAGGCAAAATGCGTGAATTTGAAATTAGCAAACTTTAAGCGCATGACCTTGTTTTCTTGTCTAGCTGTCGTTTTTAAATCATTCCACTGTATTAAAGCAGAAAAGTGCACATTTTTATTTTAAAATAATTCTAATCAAATATTGCTTCACTTTTTATCACCTATGTTGTAGCAGAAGGAACTATCAGCTTCTGACCATTCAAAATCAGTTGCTTTTTAAGTTAAAAAGTTATTAAAGGAAAATTAAAATTATTAACAAAAAACAAGTGACGTTCGAGATACAGACAACATCAACTGTTTGTTCTTTTGAAAAAAAAAAATCATTCGTAGTTGCGACTAAAGCGGGTTGAAAAAAGAGATTGTTGTTATTACACGGAAAGTTTTACACACTTCAAATTAGAAAATCATTAATTAACTGATCTTACGCTAATTGTACTCTTCGGAGGACGACAAATGTAGGTTGCCTACGTTATTGATTGATTTTTCTTTTCAAATGCGGTTTCGCGTCAGTTTTTATCAAAATTTATGGCTATTTCATGAATATTCTACATTATAATGCGTAAATGACCACATCTCATTCCAAATGAATGACAGGGTCCTCCAATTTTTTATAATTAAAACATTCATCAACAAAATATTTACAAAACAAAACTTCGCAAAGATTTATAAAACAAAAGATCTGGTGTGAAATAAACTTGTCCAAATAAAAACATTATGTGAGGTTAAAACTGTAGAGCATGAAATTTACGTTCAATCAAAAATTACACAACAAAGAAAATTACTGAAGTTAAAATTGTGAGATAGGGAAATATCGTACGAGGTGAAAAATTGCAAAGTTAACAAAATGCACAAAGAGTTTACGTTATGTTAAATTATATCATGATCCAAGAGATTGGCTACTTCAAAAAAACTATTTACTTTGAGAGTTTAGAATACCGCCAACTGGTTACCCCAACAAAACACAGAATAAATAAACACAAAATTATCCAGTCATCGTTGCGAGGAAAAAGCGTCTCGATGATGTAAATTTTAACGGTGCGAGGAAACGCCTCGATGATGTAAATTTTAACGTTGCGAGGAAATACCTCGATGGTGAAAATTTTTAACGTTGCGAGGAAAAAGCGTCTCGGTGATGTAATCAATCTTTAGCGTTGTGAGATGCCTCAGTGATGTAATCATGATAACGATGATAATAACGATGAAAACCGCCTAAGGGAAGAAATTATTTTAATCCCCCGTCAGTTCGCGGTATGAATTAGTTTAACTGCCGTAAATGAACTATTAGCAATCTTGTGTGAAGAATTAAGAAGTGTTATAATTAACACTTGCGTATATGAATCCAGAAACTTAATCGTAATTAAAACAAAGGTGTTATCCTGACTAAGTGAATTTCATGAAATCTTCTAGCAAGTGGTTTATTTAAATAATCCTAATTGTTACATTGTGTTAGCACTAGCTGACGATTAACTCCTAGCCTGAACTGTGAATTTACAACAATAAAACAAATTTACGCCAAGCAGTCCGCGTTGGTCCCGAAAATTAACACTTTCGCCTCAAGGGTGGACCGTTACACATGGTGGAAATATATTATACAATATAACTAGTGCCAGATTCTAACAATCCGAATTACAAACCTTTTCTTTTCGAATGTTTATCACTGTCTACCCCGCTCTTACCTTAGGGTTTCTTTTGGAACAGACAAAATATAAGAAATTCGTTGGTGTCCGCAATCAGTACCGCAACGTTAACGAAAAACAATCACCTTTCTAAAAAAAAACACTGATCACTTTAAACTGTTTACTTAAAAAATATATAAGAATAATCAACCGTTACAACATTTGTATTTTTAGCAGACTTGAAGGCTTCAGTAAGGTTATTCATTAGTGAAATTAGGCGGACGTTTCTCAATGAAGGCAGTCATTCCTTCTTTGCGATCCTTGGTAGCGAAAGTACCGTGGAAGAGCTTTTTCTCAAAATGAAGACCCTCGGCTAAAGTCGTTTCGTATGCAGTATTGACGGATTCCTTGCACAAACGGTTAATTAAATGCGAATTCTTGGAAATCTTTTCGCCCAATTTAACAGCTTCCTCTAGGAGTTTGTCCACCGGGAAGACCTTGCTCACAAGACCCATTTTCTCTGCTTCTTGGGCTGGCACTTGTCCTCCTAACAACACAATGTAATAAAAATAAAATTTTCCAGGAAAAAATATTACCTGTGAGAACGATTTCCATGGCTTTTGATTTTCCAACATATCTTGGCAGTCGCTGGGTGCCGCCAGCTCCCGGAATGGTCCCGATCAGAATTTCCGGTTGGCCAAACTTGGCGTTCTCTCCGGCGTAGATGATGTCGCACATCATGGCCAATTCGCAACCTCCACCCAACTGTATAAAACGCAAGAATAGACACATATTGACTAGAAATGTACTGTATTTACAGCGTATCCATTCACAGCGGCGATGATTGGTTTCGGGGACTCGCTGATACGGCTCCAGTGGGACAAGAAGTTACCAGTAACAACTTGGGCATAGGTTTGATTTTGCATTTCTTTGATATCAGCTCCAGCAGCGAATGCCTTTTCACTTCCGGTGATGATTATGGCACCTATATTTTTGTCTGTCTCGAACCCGTCCAAAGCTTGAGCCACTTCACGGATGAGGCCATCACAAAGAGCGTTGAGGGCCTTGGGTCTGTGGAGGGTTATGACACCTACGGTGCTTTGGGCCCCCGCGGTGTGGGTTTTTATGTACTCGAAGTCGGTTTTGTTGGCTGAAAAAGTGTATTATAAAAATACATTCGAATTGATGACGAAAATAGATTTAGAATTTAAACTGTATTAAGTACTAAGTTTATACAAAAAAGTGAAAAGTACAAGTTCGGTGTCTAACCTTTACACAGAATAGCTTGTGTAGTTGAAAATAATTCTAAATTGATTGTACTTTGTTCTACGTGAAAAAACATTCCAAGGTTTTAAAAACTGATACCATTTTTTAATTAATCATCCGCATAAACAAAACTTTTCTGATAAAAAAAGTAACACCATGTCCAAAGTACAAAACGTAGAGTCGCACTCCGGTGACACTGGCAAATTAAATAAAAGATTTTGTACGATTTTTAGAACATTTGAAATCTTAGTGGCATTAACTTGGAACAATATTTTTTTAATGACCTGGACATTCAGGCAACACGTTAGTAGTTATATAGTGGGGGTTCTAGACCAGGTCAAATGAGGTCAAACTGGTCCAGCTCCCCCATTACTTTTCATCGAGCGGTCATTGACCTTTCATTTGTTGTCGAGCTTGTCGGTGCACGTGGCTGACCTTGCCAGCTGGTCCAGCTCCCCCATTACTTTTCATCGGGCGATCATTGACCTAGTCGTTGCTCGACCTTGGTCGTTTATTGCCCTCGTTCATCTCGAGATCTATCCCCTCTTTTCGTTTAGGTCGGGGAGGGATCTCGGACGCAATCTCGCATCCCCACTTCCGTTTTATACTTGTATAAAAGTCGATGGATTCGTGTGTAAGAATTAATTAGTTTTTTGAATTCAATTATTTAACACTTAGAAATGTCATCTTTCATTTCTACCTTGAATAAAGAGTCTCACTTGCAAGCTTTTGTGAGTGCGAAAACTTTAGAAGAAAATAAAAAATTTTTAACAAAAAATTTTAGTAAACTGTCTACAAAGTACGGTGACAAGATATTTGTGCAACTTGAAGAGTCTAGAACGATACTTCCACAGAGATTTACCGAAAAATTCACCGACTCAGTGATCAGCGATCTGAACCAGAAGATCGTGAACGGCTTGAAATTGTACTTGGTAAATAGAGGTCCGATCGGTCGAACCATCAATATCGAATTTATCGAAGAATGAAGAAGGCATTGGTTCATGTGGAAAACAAATCAAGTGCAGTTAGACTGCTTCATCGTAGATTAGAATTACATTTAAAACGAATTAGTTATTTAAAAGAAGCAATTAAAATGTATGAAATAAGGACTAAATTGAACAATCTTAAGTTGTAATAGAAATTATAATAAATATTATTTAATTCGTTCGGTGTATTATTTTCCCCAGTCTCATGTAAAAAATATTTGATTGCAAACCGTCATGAATAACAGACGTGTTTGTTTCGACAAAGTTCCGGTTATTTTCTTAATAAATGATAAAGAAAGCCGAATTAATACTTGGTTATACGATGTTAAAAGATTTCAAATGAATGTGGAACGTTTCGAATTGCAAATAAAGCCCTTAATCGAAAAAATGATGGAGGAGAAACGAAAATTTAGAGAAACAATCGAAAAATTGGATTCAGAATTGAAAATTATTCAGCAAAGAAAATAGTTAAATAGCTGTGCACATTGCAGTTAAACCACTGCGTCCTGAATTAGATTTAAATTTAAAACTTATTAGTTGCTTAAAATGTATAAAGTACGAACTTGTTTGTGTAATCTTAAGTTGTAATTAAAATTATAATAAATATTGTTTATTTCGTTTGGTGTATTATTTTCCCCAGTCTCATATAAAATTATTTAATTGCGAATAACCGCAACGAATAAAAGCCGTGTTTGTTCCGACAAAATTCCAGTTATTTTCTTTAAATAAATGTTCATCAGCAACTTTCCGCCGATTTAAGTTTCTTTGCACTCGAAATCTCGTACGTTACAATCAGTTCAACGTAAAAATAATTATGCAAAACAACGTCCGTGATTATTAGAATAAAATGTCGGAAGGCGAGTGTGTGTTGTTTAAAATTAAAAAATGTTTGCTTACGACATTGAAAACAGGCAATTAAATTATCCGTTGTCCCTCGAAAACATTCATATACACGCACACATCACAGAAGTCACCATTTAGTGCAACAAAACCACCTTTTTCCCAAATCTTTCACGGTAAAATTCATAAACCGAAACACGCCGCCCGTCATTATTACAACACAGAATTAAATAACGCGATGCTGTTTCAGCAAATTCTTACGGAACTGGACGCTTTTTCTCAATAGACAGGGACGTATTCGGAAATATTAGAAAAAAGAATTATCGCTTGAGGGTGCCAAAGGGCAGAAAGTTTGTTAAAAAAAAAAAGTAAAAATGCATCCCTATAAACTAATGACACATTTGTGTAAAAATAAATGTGGGTTAGAGGTGCAATAATTGTTTAAATATAAAAAAAAAATGTTTTACTCGAAGACGGTAAGAGATATGAGGTTCGTGCAAAGAACAAAAAAGTTCCTAAAATACGAAACACATGCACCTGTGTCGATGGTTTTTAGTTTGAGTTTAGCATTTCGGAGAAAAGGGCAAAAGTTTGTGGTGACCAAACGGAATTAGTTAAAAATTTGTTTTTTGTGTCAAATTATTTTCGGATGAATAATCGATAGGCCCATATAATTAAATATGTGAAAATTTGAGTTTGGGGCGCAACAATTTTTGTCAAAAAAGGTTGTCAAAATTCGAAAAAAAGTTTTCCTTGAGCAGTAGGAAAGTAAATTAGAAGTTTTGGTGAAAAAAAAAATTTAAAAAATTCAAAGAATCCAAAGAAAAATTAAAACAAAAAAAATCTCAAAAAAAAAATCCAAATTTTGAAAAGTTTGTTTTTCCACAAAATCAAATGCATATTCATGAAGTACTATCTAATCGTGTGTAAAAATGATTATGACTCATAGGTGTATCTACCGTTTAAATAGAAAAAATTTTTGTTACTCGAAAATGGTAAGAGATAGGAGGTTCGTGTATAGAGCAAAAAAGATTGACAAAAACAAATAATATCGACAGCCGTCGACGGTTTTTCGCTAACTTTTGACATGACTGTGAAAAGGGCAAAAGTTTGTGGCGCCCAAACGGTAAAACTTAAAAAATATATTTTTGTACCAAAATATTTCTGAGTGAACAGTCTATAGGTCCACTTAGCAAAATAAATATTTTTTGCTACCGTTTAGTAGTAATAACGAAAAAACGTCATAGTTCGTAAGCGGTAAGAGGTAGCATGTCGGCTCAGGGGAACGGGGAAATGCTAAAAAAATTAAGGCATATGTTGAACAAAAAAAATTTTGAAAAAAGTTGAAAATAAGGGAGAAAAGGGCAAAAGTTTCTAGTGTCCAAATGGTAAGAAATAGAATATCGGTTGCATACATCAAAACCTTCTTCTGGAACGAACGCATAAGTTTGTTCAAAAAAATCGATTCTGTCCACGTCAACCTTGATACAGGAGCCATTTTTAGTTTTTTCGAGGTCGCTACGTAAAACTTTTTTCAGGTCGAAAAAAAGACCATCGAAAAAGGATTCGAATAAGCCCAACATGCAACACTTAAAAAAAAAAAAAAAAAAAAAAAAAAAAAAAGCGAAATAGGTTATTCTTTATATTTATTGTTATATGACTACTACCATCACAACTAAATATACTAAGACAGTAAAAAAAAAAATTCCAGTTAACCAAAAACCGCTTTTTGTTGAATTTTATATGAAAACAACAAAAGATCATTAAAAAAAAAAAACGAAAACCTATAAACAGCCATCAAAAATCAATAAAAAAATCAATAAAAAAAAAAGAAAAACATCAAAAACAAATAAAAAACCAAAAAACTATCAAAAACCAACAAAAAACCATCAAAAAGCACTATTAAAAAAAAGATATATATATATATATTGATACTTCTACTACTTCTAAATTTGTATATGTTAGCCTATGCTGTGGTGGTGGATCATGATGAGTCATATCGTGCTGCTGGACAAATAATTTAAAACGTATTAAATAACTTGTTGTTGTATTAAATCGTAGTTGCTAAATCTTTCTGAATTAGTGAAACTCTTGCATTTTCGATAAGAGAAAAACAACTGAATCGTCAACTTGAAATAAAAATTAGAGAGGGAAAAAGAGTAAAAGAAGGGATTAATTTCGTATATAAATTCAAGACTATATGAAAGATGTGATTATAACTGATTAACTAGTATCAAGAGAATTAACCAATAGATATCTAGGGACATGGGTAAGGTTATATTTTTATTACAGTATGTAAATTTCATATATTTTTTTTGTTTTGTTTAGAGGATTTTATAGTTTGCCCATACGATAGGAGCCATCGAATGCTAGAGGGGAGACTCCAGAGGCATATATTTAGGTGTCATAGGGAGGCTTGGGAAAGGGAGCGACAGCTCCGCGAAGCTGCACTTCCCAAAGCATCACCACCGATACCATCTCAACCATCAAAATGGTTCAATTCTGAACCCCCAAAAGTAACATCACTCGAAAATTGGGACGACGACGCCAGTGGGACGTACGTTCCATCGTTGAAGGATGACTTGATGCTCGACAAGACATCAATAAATTTTTATAACGCTGTGTTCGGCAAAAATAAACAAAAATAATTTTTTGTTTTTGTCTGTCTCTACTCGTTAATTTGTACCACCCTACCAGAACTTACCATCTCTACAAGCTACCTCTCTAAATACTAACAGCGATACCATTCCCAAGGAGAACATGGACTTTTGTTTAAGAAATGCTCGTGTATGGTTTGTCACAATATTCCTGATATTATCGATACATCGATCCCACTACAGTATAAACAAGAATTTGTCTTAAGAAACAAAAGCCGCTGCAAGTCACCTAATTACACCATTATTGACGATTATAGTGGTTCCAAAAATTTTAGCGAAAATGCTACAGGATATTGTTTGGCAAAACCATTGATTTGGATATATACTGCCCAACATGCAACACTTAAAAAAAAAAAAAAAAAACAAGCGAAATAAAATACTTATATTATTTATTGATATAT